GTTGTCCTTGGACCACACGTGGCCTTTGCCAGGGCGCCAGGGCGAGGTCGTGTTGGTCATTTGGATGTCGATATCAAGGCTCTCGACCACCACACGAATGTGATACTCATTGAGCCCCGTGCCACGGAAGAAGTTGACAACGCCATCTCTAGTGATGGTGACATCGCACTCATCTCTGCTGGATTGGAACTCGTCTGGGCTGTAGGCTTGTAACACATTGCAGACTCGGCCATCGGGTGTCTCGAGTTGGATCTGAATTTTGGGTTCGAGTCCGACTTGGGGACTGGTGAAGAGCTTGGTATGAAATACCACCATGAGCTTTCCGCCATTGGCCAGGTGTGAGTCAAAGTACCACCATTCGAATACGCCGGGTTGAGAAGGGTCGGTTCTCAGGGAGTCTTCCCATGGTTCAACCTTTGTTGTTGAAAGGGAATGCTCGGGATGTTGTTCTCGGACGGAGAGCGAAGAGAGCGTCATGATTATGGTGTCCTGTGGGATGAAGTTTAAGCGGATCGTGCGAGATGCAAACAACGTAAGCCCCTCTACTGTCTTAATGAATCGTCACTGTCTCGGGACATACTGGCATTATATAGGCGCCATTCATTGCTGGCTAACGGGCATACGGACGCGTAGTAGTCCGCTGTATCTTTTGTCTCTCCAATTAATAAGGTTTCACTTGAACTCTGTCACCAGCTGTAGCAGCTCAATGGTACCATCCTAGGACTTGGCTTGTCAATTAATAATCGACCTCAGATAAACTCGCGGATATTACGGCCCGTTAAACCCGTTTTCGGGAAGTGGGACTACTCGCCTAGAGGTGTTTCCAGGTTGTCCAGGTCTTACCTTAATTGTACTGCGGAGATACCCACAACAACTACACATTGACGTCCAAACTTGAAGCTGAGGTGACTTAAGATGTGGCTCGACCTCGGATAGCAGTGTTGAAGAGAAGAACGCGCCTTGTTTATGGCTACTTCCTCCTTCGTCCCAACGCAACAGCGTCGGCGCAACGGCTAAGCAAGCAATTACTGTAGATGGCAATCGGTCAAATGTTGCGTACTATACTGATAGAGATGGCTGCTATTTTTGCGGCTACGATTCTGTGCTACAAATCAAGAACCTCACGTTCATATCCTCATGAAAGCCAGTAAGTTCCTGAACATTACTCATTGTTCAATGTTTGGGTACCATGAATAGTGTATTAATGGCTTGATACCCATTACAGTCCCATCTAAGACCAGCTTGATCGTTTCATATTGGATGATGTTTTGTTGTGTCATCCGATGTAGCACCAAGGAAGTAGAAGAGGGAGAAGCCCATGAACATCGTTTAAATAACTCAAGTCCCACCATTGGCAATGCAATTTTTGCTGTCATTCGGACTACCGTATGTCCCAGGGGTAGACTAAACATGGTATATCGATCCCAAATACTTCTAACAGGCCCTCACAGTGACTGATTTTGGTACAAAATCAGAAGAAAGGCGGATGGTCGAGGTAAATGGTAGTGATCTGCCCAAAGAATGTACAAACCTGTTGTACTTTCTGCGTTGGCAAAGAACATGTTGACGAGAATATACCCAGACATCAACGAGAATACACAGATATACATACCCCTAAGGTAAGGTGACTGTGGGGCTCGCAAATAGATGCACTGAATACTTCACCTTTCTACCTTTCAGGCTAGTAGTGGTGAATATCGAGATTTGTTTTTACCTACCAGTTTTGTTGTCCTCCCGGCGGAAAGCACGACCTTGACCGCGTTCTTCCTCCCCCACCTTCATTCACCTTTTCTCACTTTTCATAGCGGCCGGCGAGGGAGGCAAAAACTTCCAGTCCCAATATTCACCTCGCCGCCTTTTTCTTCCTTTCATACTCTACTCCGTCGGCCTGGAGTCAGTCTTCTCCGTCAACTTCGGTTTGATTGCTTCACAGACACAAGTCGATCAAAATCACCACAACCTTCTTGTCTACCCGGAGCTTCACAAAGGCCCTTATCAAGACGGTCGCTCTTGCGTGAACGGTCTTTTGCTTTTTATCTCTGAGAGCACATCCGATAATCTCCCAGGTACATGAGCCCGATCATCTTGTTCCATCTCTTGTGTTCAGCCTGGCGAACAACCATTGACTGTCATCTAGTACCATTATCCTCCTTCAGAGTAAAGAGATCACTCAAAACTCGCGCAACCCACCGCTCACACTGCGCTCAGATACTCACGATCAAATTATTGACGATGGCGACCCTGAATGATCTCCCTCCGGAGATCATGTATCAAATGTTCCCAACGCCCTCTTTACGGGAACAGTTCTGTGTCACCAACACGGATGCAGATCTGGCCAAAGAGATTCAACCATCTTGGTCATCTGCCTTGAGCCTCTCACGTACCTGCAAAAGGTATCGTCGCATGCTGGTCCCCGAGCTCTACCGAAACGTCAGCATTCATGGATATAACAGCTTCCAAAAGCTCAAGTGCTTCATTCAGTTTCTGATCAACAACAAAGATATTGCCTCGAACATCCGAAGCCTGTATCTACACTTAGATCCCAGCAACACGGAGACCAAGAACTTCACAGAGGCGGATCTCGAATGGAGTCACTGGGCAGCCAGACAGTCGGGCGCTCCGTCGCCTTACTACCTCTGGCACTCGGAAGATGGGAAGCTTCTGCAGATGTCTGAATCTCGACGCTCCAGAACTCGGATCTTGCACCTTGGCATTCTCCTCGAAATCGTTCTTTCGCGTGTACACGGAGTGCAAGAGCTAGGTCTCGCAGTGCCTGGAGGCCTGTTTTGCGACCAGTACGGCCCATGGTCCAGGAACGAGCTCGATGGTCTACTATGGAGAGGGGAGCCAGGCCCTTCAGATCCTCTCAAGATTCAAACCTTTCGGGGTGTCCAGCAGCCACTTCCGAATATCAAGATGCTCGCTATACGTCCGAGTTGCCTTCCAAAGAATCATCCAGACACGACTATTACGCCACTGGACCTTAACCATCTACTTCACTTCGCCCCGAACGCCAGATCGATTTTCATTGCAAGTCGGGATGCACAACCAGCCTCCCCTCTCGATACCCACTCACAATGGTCCAATGTTACTTGTCTCACCATCACCGAGACATTTCTGGACGAACAGAAGATTCGGGGGATGATCCAAGGATGCGCCTCCCTCGTCTCGTTCAAGTATCTGAACTCCCGGGCAGATACATACGTTCCACACTGGCCTGTGTCACCCGAAGAGATTGTTACTATACTCCGGGAGCACCAGAACACGACGACCACCCTCCTCACTCTCTGCTTTGATCTCAATGACTGGTATCGTGGAGAGTACGAGGCTATCAGAAGTCTTTCGGACTTCAGCAACCTGGAGAGTCTCTGGGTCGATGCCTCGACTGTGTTGAAGAAAGTCAAATATGGCTCCTTCAGTCGTTCAGAAAAGCACAAGCGACTGACACACAAGCTCAGTACTTCTTTCCCCGCCTCAATCAAGCGTCTTCACCTTGCAGGTAACGAGCCTCAAGTTCGTCATAACATGTGCGAGGTGTTGACAGACCGCGAGAAATTCCCCAATTTGAGATTGGTTGAACTGGAGGACTTCGTTCGGAGATTTCCGGAACTTTGGGATCCAAATGAGGACGATAGCGATGACGATGACGCGGACCAGAACGATCTTGGCGATAACGGTGATGACTTGACTTTCTCGGCCATGAATGGTGGAGGCGGTAATGGCGGCGGAAGCTACTTGCAAGATGGTGATGCTAAGGAGGAAGACATCGGCGAGATCAACAAAGACACCAACTTGTCATACCAGGAACGATTCATCAGAGCAGGTATCGAGTCTCCAAGCACGATGTGCACCCTTGGAGAGTTGTGGTAAAGGGATTACCTTTGAGAGGGCAAGGAAACAAACGCCCATTCACAGCTATGCATTCCGATGGACCATAGAACATGGCACAATCCCAGTTGCATTCAGAGATGCAAGTTGAGAAGTGGACAATAATCATACCGTCCCGGGCATTCGACACCTTCTAGTAGACACCACAGAAAAATAGAGAGGCTTTTCGCAAAGCCGTAAGGCTCCAGCCTGCTCACGAATCATTTTTTATGCACTGACTTCACTTGATCTTACTACAATGACCTCGTCACTTTGCTCAAAGTGATTCTCGTTTACTTTGCTCCAACAACGCACTTGATCCATGAGTGAGAGACTGTAGATCTCTAGTAGAGAAAGAATAACATCGGCTCGACTTTGAGGCACACTTGGTTTAGGGCAGGCGCACTTTGGCATCAGGACAGTCGTGGAGCATCATCTGGCTATATGTACCTATGTATGATTTTGGATCGCTGTACGAAAACAAGCCGCTCTGTTCCTTCTAGTAGAGGTATGATGGTTTAGAGGGATGTACGGTTCTGCGTGATATCCAAGCAAACCACACGTTTGGAAAAAGGAGAAGGAAGCAATAAATTAATATGAAGAATTCTTCTGTCGCTCCTTCCTTCAACATGATTCCTCGTCGGCGTTCCTTCCCAATCATAAGTTCACCTTTTTTGTGCTTTTTCTTCTTTTTTTCCAGTTGTCTTTTTCTCTCTTGCCCAACTCACCACTCCTCTTCTACCCACCCAGCTCAACTTCTTCTTCACACCACCCTACCTCTTCCGGTCTCTTTGCCCTCACTTCAACTACCAATTTCTTCCCTCGAGGTATTCACAGAAGAAGCTCTTCTCCCCCAAGCCAGGAAACGAGAAGAGTTTTCTTCCGCACTGCTCTCTGGTTCTTGATAGTGGTTGCTACCCACGACTCGACGCTTGCGCTTACCAGCGTCTTCTCTTTCACGCAATGGCTCCTCACGCGGTGCGCTCTATACCCTCTCATTCTTCATGATCCGCAATGCTAACGACTGTTTGAGAAGATTTCCTCAATCCAGGCCTTCCCCAGGTGCCGCCGCCTGTTCAGCTGCCACAGGTACTCTCGACTCTTCAACTGTCCCGCTGGTGGCTCACTTCAAGATGACTGGGCTGCAAAACCTCCCCACTGAGGTGGTTCTACACATTGGTTCTTACCTGTGTCCCAAATATACGTCCGGCAAGAAACTCCTTCACAACCTCAACAACGACCGGCTCATCCAAAGGGAACTTTGCGGTCAACGTCAGGCGCTTGTCTCCTTGACACGTACATCCCGTCGCCACTACAAACTATTCACATCGTTCTTATATGAATCCGTCAGTGTCCATAGCGGACTCAACGCCCCTCGACAGTGGCTGTCGCTCATGAAGACCCTCTCGCAAAACGAGGATCTTTGTCGGCTAGTCAAGCAGCTGTACATCCACCTCGACGGTGAGCATGCGCTGTCATCCACTGATGATGCCGATTATGAGTATTTCACGGACTTGATCGCACTGCAGGCTTGGCTGAAGAAGGCTTCTTTGCCTGCGGCGATGCACTCCTTCAATACCTTTGAGCTGTCCTCTGCTGTTCTTTTCACCCTCGTCAACAATGCCCAAGACTTCATCTTGTCTGCAGAACCGCTATCTCTTTCCGGAATCTTGGATGCCATCCACGACATGGACGAGATTGTCTCAACCCAACAGACCAACAAGTCAACAATGTCCTCCTTGAAGTCTTTCTCTATGAGAAAAACGTATACCGATGCAGAAAGCCATTGGGCTTGGCCTCGCGAGAGACTGTTCAACGCAAGGTTCATTGACGGAGCGAAAAACCTGAAAGAGTCGTACATCATTGGCACAGCTCTCCAGTTCCACAACTGGTCATCGACGCATCTGACAACCCTCGCCTTTAACGACAGTTCAATGCCGCTCGGCATTCTTGCCAATGCCATTCGAGCCTGTCCTAGACTGGAACGATTCTTTTGGAAGAAGCCGATACGGAGAGACATGCATCCCTACGCAGTCCACCCGTGGCTGATTCTGGGGGCTCTGGGAATACGTCGGGCCACTATCCGCACTCTGGTCATCGACTTCAACGGAACCTGTGAAACTGACTTGCAGAGCCCCGCCTTCGAGCTCAGCACCTTCACAAGACTGGAGGAGGCCTGGGTGGACATCAGCGTCTTTGAATCGAACAAAGCCAACTTTACAGACGCAAGCTCTGATCCGCTCAATCCGACCGTTGTGGAGGGAAGCCCTCTGATCCGAACCTTGCCGCCTTCACTCCGAAAGCTGCACATATCCGGTTCTATGAATGACTTCATCTTCGATGAGGTTCTTTGGCTGACCAGACCTCGCAACCACGAACCCCGCCATGTCCCGGCGGAATTCGCGCTTGATGGAGGCTATCTGGATGGCGACATGTTCAAGCTGTGGGATTACCGCAACGACTATGAACATATCCCGACAGCCGATTTGGATCCTCAACCTTTCCTATGGTAAAGAGTTGCGAATCAGACGATGACGATCAAGACGCTTTTGGGATGAGAGAAGAACACTAATTATGATTCGGGTTTACTTTTTCTTCAGGGTATGGATGGGAGGGGGAGTCGAGTGGCAGGGACAATGCGTGGCTGATACAGACGACGGACAGAGGCGTCGCGGCTTTGGGCCAAGGTCCAAGCTGGGGATATCAGGAAACAAAGCATGCCATTGCCACAGAGCATTCCCCCATTCCAGGAACAGTTCCGTGCTTTCAGGGTTGTCAGTGTATAATACTTTCGTTTCTTCAGAGTCGTCAATCACGTTTTTGCTTGTTTCCAAACACCACTGCAGTCTTGCAGAAGCCTACATGTAGTCCACTGCTGCCACAGTCAACTTCGGGTTTGTGACTTCAATGTTAGGGGACATGCTTAGCTCTAAGATACATGAGTAAGGGTTGCGATTGGAGTCTGAGAGATCGAGCGCTGGCTCGGAATGGGAGTTCTAGATGGGCGAAGAGAGTATTTAGCTAAGAACAACTCATTGCGAAGGTTGCCGGGTGGCTAGGTTTTAGGAGAATTGCTGACTAGGATCATAGGACACGGGATTGATGTAGCTGAGTAGATGTTCTGCATCTGATCGTCCGATTAGTGGACTCTTCGCTAAACAAACCCTGCCATCTGCCAGGATACAACTCTCCTATGAAGAACTAAGATTTCCGACAACCTACAACACCGCCCTTCCATAGCAATATCCTCAAGCCTAGGCAGAGTGGGCCTTAACTCAATAGTTCGAAACATGAGGGCCTGGCAGTGCTTCTCTCTATTACTCTAGCAGGTCACATGCAAACTCGGCACTTTCAGAGGGCTGAAGACAAGAAAGGACTCTAGACTCAACATTTCCGGCGGGCAGGGATCACCGGCAAGGAAGGAGGAAAGACGGACGCACAATGGTCTGATACGCGCCGCACAATATGCAGTTGGAACTTAGGAAGAGGAACCAACCATTTTCAAGTGACGGTGGATAAGTCGCCAAGCTGCGGGGGTTTCTTGTCGACGGAAATCTCGCTACAAATATCTCGCAGCTGTTCTCAGCATCAACGAGCGGTCTTGGAAGCTTTTCTTGGCTCAAATATTGTTCTCCAGCGTCGATAACACGACGTACTAGATTCAAAATGTCAAGTCCATCACCGCACGCTTCGGCGAGCCCAAGGAACGAATCGCAAGATTCGCCGGCAGCTCCCACAGCCACTGAGCCCGTCGCCGCTACGATCGAGCCTGCAGCGATTGACGTCGATGATGAAGCAAGCGTACGTCTGCACGGTACTCTGGTACATTAATCATGGGGACTAATGACTAGGTCTTACGGGTGGCTAGGAAAATGCGTCCACAATTGATGATCAAATGTACGCAAGCCTCACTGCTTCCTTCCAAGTTCTGGGCTCTTGGAGACAAGGGGCTAACCGTCGCAGGTCCTCATACACAGCCTCGCTCACGTCTTCAGTCGTGGATTACCCGACAGAGTACGGCCGCCGGTACCATGCGTTCCGCGCTGGAGGTATGTCAAAGGAGCCTTGGGGTCACTATGCAGAGCTCCACGAACGCTCTGGTCTTCATCATTACTAACAGAAAGTAGCGTACAACTTTCCTAATGACGAGGTCTTAGCCCTTCTTTGTCGCTGGAAATGATGCCTGGGCTGAACATTCGGGTGTAGGACGAAATGGACCGCCTCGATTTGGTGCACACGTTGATGGTCAAGACCATTGGAAACAAACTATTCCTTGCGCCTATCAACCAAGCAAAACTGCATCGCGTTCTGGATGTTGGTACTGGGACTGGCATTTGTACGTTGTAATACGCTGCTTTGCAATCTGTCCGCCGTCTTCAAAGTTCTGATACCTATAGGGTCCATCGAGATGGGAGACCTGTTCCCGGAAGCCGAGGTACGGTGGCTTTTACCTCACCTGCAACCCGTATGGAGAAGAGTACTAAGAGTTTCTTAGATCATCGGCAACGATCTGAGTGCCATCCAGCCAAAGTGGTATGTCCACCAGCACCAAGGCATTAATTCAAACATGCCAGAACCCATAAAATAGCGGTTCGCTAAGAGTTTATCGCAACAGGGTCCCGCCGAATGTCAAGTTCGAAATAGATGATGTCGAGAGCGAGTGGGTTGGGCAGAACAAGTACGACTTCATCTTCAGTCGATACCTGTCCGGCTCGCTAGCAGACTGGCCAACCTACGTCAACAGGGTATCTCAGTAAGTTCCCGGATCTTAAAGCTCCCATACTTTCTAACAGCGTGGCCAGAAATCTCAATCCTGGCGGTTGGGCCGAATTTCAGGACTGGAGCTTCATGCTCCAAAGCGACGACGGCACGCTCAAGGACACCGCCATCCAGCGCTGGGCTGACACCTTCATGGACGCATGCAAGGTATTCGGACGCGACGCCCAGATCGGTCCCAAGCTTAAAGACCTGGTACAAGATAACACCGACCTCATCAACGTCCACCACGTGCCCTTCAAGATCCCCAATGGTCCCTGGCCCAAGGACGTACATCTCAGGGACCTTGGGATGTGTAACTTGATTCAACTGCTCGAAGGGCTTGAGGGATTCTCGCTCAAGCTGCTCTGTGGAGGTCTTGCATGGACAAAGGAGGAAGTCCTTGTCCTGTGCTCCCAAGTTCGTGAGGAGCTGAAATCGGGCAAGGTACATGCGTGGTATCATTAGTAAGTTGTTGCCATGAGATGAGATGAGATGCTCAAGCAGCTGGGCGGTTTGCTGACTCTATGCGCAGTGACGTTGTTTATGGACAGAAGCCTGAGAAGGAAGAATAAGGGCCAGATGATGTGTTGCATAAAGTATTCAGCTCCCTCACATGGCAAATGCAAAGGCATATCTTTAAGAGTCGCAGGTGATGGGAACAGAACATAGTACATAGTATGCTCTCGGCGCGGCATCTAGATCACAGCTCATCCTTCACCCTCTCCTCCTCAGTCATCCCAGTCTTCTGACGCTCCACACAAGTCCAACCAGACTCAACCGTTTTCGTGACCAAGGGAAACCTACAGAAAGGAGTCTTACCCTCCGCCACCTCACCTTCAGCCAGTCCCATAACAACAGGATTCAACGTCTCCGGCGCGACCCCCTCCTCAACCCACCGCCTCAAAGCATCCAAAGCCCTCAAAGGAAACCCAGCCCCTCTAGGCGCAGCACAATGCGTAGTCCCAGGAACCTCAAAGAACCTGAAGTACCTCTCGGTCTCAACTCGTTCTTCTCTCCCTCCATCATCCTCTAAGACCTTGCCATAATACCGCCTCATGGCATTGATCGTGATAGCTTCATCATTGATAGAATGCCACGCAATCATCTTCCCCCCAGCCTCCCTGAATCTTCTTAGATCAGGGTCATCGCTCCCAATCATATCCCCAAACTCCTTCACCGTCTCCCTGAATAGCCGAGCAAACTCCCGCCTCGTCATACTCGCCGGATCATACCCAGCATCCTTCTTCGCCAACAACCGAATCCAATCCGTAGCAATCGTGAACGGCCTTCCACGACACCTCGCGCCCTCACAAACAGTATTTCCCAACGCCATCAACCCCGTCGCAGCAGTCCCCGCCGTCGATCCCGGAAACAAACTCCGTCCCTCCTCATCAACAGGACCCCCCAACAAAGCCTCAGCAACAACAACCGCTCCCTCGGAAACCTTCCCCTTGACCCCTTCACACTCAATCTCCCTCCCAAGCACCACTCTCGGCTCAAACGCACATAAATCGTCCCTCGCAATAACCCCATCCTTGACTCCATCCTTCCCATCACAGGCCTCGATCGCAGCTTTCTGTATAGCCTCCATCTCGCAAGCGGAAGGATACACACCCATCTCGTTCATCACCACCTGCGGCCAGAACATCCCCATCAGCAACGCGGGAAAACTGACTGCTGGGCACCCGACGAGAATCCCGTCATAAGCCCCCGGAAACCGCTGCGCCATGGCGAGACCTTGTCTTCCGCCGGTAGAGCACCCGCTCCAGTACGCAAAGTCGGGCTTCTTGCCGTAATACTCTGCTGCGACGTGTTTTCCAATGAGCGTCATCTCATGCAACCCCCTATGCGCGAAGTTCTCCAACGCCTCAAGATTCGGTTTCCCATCTTTGAATAGCCATGAGTCTGCTGTACCGTACGGGTTATGCTCGTACCCCCCATCCGTAGCAGCAACAGCGTATCCTGAAGCGGTATACCCCGCCATCACATCGTCGCCAATTTCACCCGCCAACCACCCGCCGCCACCGATGCCCAGAAAGCGAGCGTTGTAGGCGTCTTGGAGAGGCAGCCAGATGTGAACTGTGACGACAGAGTGCGAGTTGGGGCGGGTGTATGAGATGGTGACGTTACATGTCGTCACGCCTTCCGGGGGCACGAGTGCAGCTTCGGGTTTCCATCCTGAGTTTTGTGTGAAGTTTGTGAAGTGTTTGGCGGTTGTGGAGTGATGTGTGAGGTCTCCGACTTGAGGGAATGAGAAGGACGTCGGTGAACAGGGTTTTGCGGCAACGTGGACTGAGGTGGCTAACGTTAAGCCGACTAAGGAGAGTAAACCGGCCATCTTAAGTCTAGAGACCATCGTTCGGATGAAGCGTCTGCGCAAAGGAGAGAGGTACTTGCCTATCCTCAAGCTTGACGGATCGTAGCCATGAACAGTGATACTGGATATATAAGCGACGTCTCGCTTAGTTCGTACATCGTACTCGTATGCTTAAGCGATGAGGAGTAGACGACGTCGACTGTGGAGTCACGGGGTCCGCGCAGAGTCCGACTTTGTAGCACCATGAATCCCTGTTGACGATCGTCTACGGACTACTCCGTAGGAGATCGTCAGTCAGTATCCGTACGAGAGCTTCACCTTGCAAGGCAATTAAGTAATTTGTATGTAAACCACAGTAAAGATGGTAGCATGCCAACAGGTATCATTCCTCTACGTCTATCATTCACAAAAGTAAAATAACACCATCAACACCTCGTTGTCTAGCCATCCTCGAGCGGCCTCCTCACAAAGATCTCCAAAGCCCCCCTCATCTTCTCCTCAACAGCCTTCCTCTCCTTATCCTTGGCAGGCAACCCCACCCGGCACACAGCCTTGCCAAACACCTCGCCCACCCTCCTCTCGCGAAGACGCCGTCTCGCCAACGCAGCCTCGGCAGCCGCATTGCCGCCCGTGAGCCGTCTAAAGCTGAGACTCCGCCTATTGGGCTTCTGCATAGTCAGCGCCTCGACCTCTGACCGTGAGATGGGGGCCATCTCCGCGACCACCTTGGACAACGTCGCCGTGAGAAAGACGAAGGCGATGTTATGGTTTGGCGCCGTGGCGAGGATGTCCAGCACCGCAGTCTTGTCGTCTTCGACTTCGGGTGGTAACCGTGCTGCAGCCGCGCCCAGGTGGGGGATGGCGACTTCGATCTTGGCCCAGAGGGCTGCGGTGATGATGCCGTCAGTCAGGCCGCTGAGGAAGAGAAGCAGGACCTCGGCGAGTACTTCGAGGCGGTAGAGCGATGGGACTTCAACGGGAAGCGCTTCGACAAGGGGTTGGTCATTGTCCAGTGCCTCGATTAAAGCAATAATCTGGCTGTCGCGAGACTCTTTGTCTTTGAACAGCCATGCAGTCTCGTCAAAGGGCCAGCCGGGCTTGTCAGCCGGGATGACATGTTCCTCAATCATGTTTGCTTCCGCGATGGCGCGAAGCATCATCACCTCGACGGCTTCTGTGAGCTTGAAGAGCTCCTTGGGAGCAGCGCAGCGGACGTCGAGATCGTATGGGATGGCCCCAGAGCTCTTGCCATCCCTAGATTTCATGAATGCCCGAATGCCTCCGTCAGGAATACGGATGAGCTCATCTATCGAGCGACCGAAACACGTCGGAAGCCACGAAGCGCGGACTGGAATGAAATGGTCTCTGCCGTCTTCAACCCGCAGAACCAGAATGTCCTCAAGAGTTGACCGGCCGTCGTTGAGGGCTCGGACATGGGAAATGTCGCTAACGTATATCTCCAAAACACCACTGACCGTCTCGCCGGGTTCTAAGGTGACCTCGTCGCCCAAATCTGGCGACTCCTCTCCACTGTCGTCCGCGGCTGTCCGTTTAAACGATGAGCTTAGCCAGGCTGGTGGGCTCGAAGCCTCAGAATCCTCCTCAATTGTGGGTTTCTCAACAAAGGCAAACTTGGCCGGCACTCGTCCAGTGTTTGCAATTGTCAACGTCGCCGTGTGTTTGCATCGGTAGGCAACATCCCCAAAGTCGACAGCTTCGCCCAGGTCCACCCCATCCTCACCCTTGGCTTGCATATCTGGGTTGTCGAGGATGACAGTGACGAGAGGTCGTCCCTCGTTCTCGGCACGATCCAGCTCCTTTGCAACTTCGGCGTGGACTTTAGCCTTGAGATCCGGCACCACCGCATCGTAGTCGAGCGTGAAGATGGAGATGATGGGCTTGTGGTCTGAGGAAATGATCCGCTGGTGTGAAGTGTAGATATCGAGCTGTATCCTGTCCGTGAAACCTTCCTTGGTAACAACTTCTTCTGGTTCGTTATCATCTTCTTCATATTCGTCGTAGTCGAGGCCAGCTTCGCCCGTAGGCACCTCCTCGCCGTCCGCATCCGGGTCGTAGCTGAACAGGACGTCGTCGTCATCGGTCGCATGGTCGATACCCCGCGCTGTCATCTCCTCGTCCTTTTTCTTTGCCTCCTCGGCCTCCTTGACCCTTTTCTCATACTCCTCCCTGTCCTTTCTTGTTCTGTACAAAATACGATCGCACCAACTCGGGGCTCTTTGTTTCTCGCTCGAGTCAAAGAGACTGATGGTCCCGACGTCGTACTTGTACGAGGGCAGGAAAGTGATTTGTCCTTCGCGCCAGCCGTCGTGGAAGGCCTTCTTCTCCTTGATTATCCTCCTTAGTTGATCATGTGGCAGAAGAGAGTCCAAGGTTGCTTGCAACGACGCAGGATCGTCACTTGGGTCAGGCAAAAAGTCGTCTGGATCTGGCAGGGAGCTTGACGAATCATCGAAACTAGCTTCTGAAGAAAGAGTCGTTTCGATCGTTGAGGTGTCGTCATCTGTGTAGTCACTCTTCTTTGCGCTCTTGACCACCAGAACCTCCTCACCGGCGATCACTTTGCGCCCCCTCTTGTCCAGGTCGTACTCGCCACGGGTGTGTAGTTGAAGCAGGCGCCGGATATCATTACCGGGCAGTCCATCCACGCGGAAGTTCAAGTCACCCACCCAGAAGGCAAAGTCCTCGTCGCCAATCTTCTCCGGCTCGGCATCATTCTCTCCTGCCAGATTGATGGGGTCAAACTGTGTCCTTGTCAATATTTGACCAACGTCCCACAATCTCCGGTCCAGGTACGTCTGCTCCGCGCCGCTAGCCAGGTGGCAGTTGACAAAGACCATGCGTGTCGTCTCCCCGAGCAACATCCGCGTAGTGACAGCTCCCTTGTTCCCCAGGTATCCAAAGAGGCCCGTTCCGACAGAGACTGTGCTCACGTTGCTGACTGTAGGTGCTACTTCAGGGGAAGCATAAGCCAACAGCAGCAGACCAGACATTTGCTCTGCGGCAACGAGCTCGTATCCATCCGGCATGGCTTCTTCCAGAGCTTCTTTCCACTTTTTCATGGGTCCTTGGTCAGATGCCATGCGGTTCATGTAGTCCCTCGCCATGTTCAGGTCTACAATCTCCTGCAAGCCCAGGACGTACAGTCCGACCTTGTCGCCTCCGACCAAGTGTACCGAGGCATTCGGATCTTGCTCTTCGGTCGCATCCTTGGCTAGTTCCTTGGTTCCGTCCTTGGCGGCCGGCGGGGGGTCCGTCTCTACCGTATCGTGATCGGCAACGTTGAGCCTCGAGAGCGTTGTGTCGAGGCCATACCCGTCAACAAACCAGCTCGCCAAGTCCTTGTCGGTGCCAGGACACGCAGCCACGTTCCATGTTCCAATCTTGACCCGGATCCGGTGTGGCCGTACGTACTCTGCCCGACGGGCGTAGACGGCACGAGCAAGGGACTGCGGCGTGGACGAGAGGTCGACGGGGTCTGATGTCGTGGAGGGGATGGTCTCGGAAGGGGGCGCCATCGCGGGAGCCGAAGCCATGCGCTGGTTGCTGCTGAGATGCGAGCGAGCGTGCAGAAGTCGTAGTTTCGAGAGGTCCCTAGAGAAAGGGAGCTCTAGGGGTCTAAGGGGGTATTATTTGACGAGGTCAGGGGACGGCGCTGGCAGCGGCGGCGGCGGCGGCTAAGAGGGGTGAGACAAGAGGCCGGTCCAGGGTCCTCTGCTTTGGTGTGTCTGTTGTTGGTCGTCGATCAGTCCGGCGTGGCCCGGCGCATGATGTTCGTATTTTGAGCGTGGCTACGAGTCGTCGTAAGTGAGGTCACGGACCAGGATGGCTTCAGTTATGCGCAGGAGTCGACCAGGCGCGAGAGGTAGTCGAAGTAGTAGTCAGTGGGATAGCCTGGATGCTGGATGAAACTTGGATGCCCTGGAAATGTACGGACGAGCCGGAGCAGAGAGGAGACTGGAGGGGGAGAAGATGAACAAGGTCTGAACAGTTCTTGAAGTCGTTAAAGAAGTTTGTTCAATAAGATGTTGTAGAAAGTATCCCGGTACCAGGTATGGAGTATCAGTAGAGAAAGGGAGGAAAAAGAGACTGGGGAAGGGAAAGATTGTCGCCGGGATCTCTCATCCACAGATTCCCGTCGTCGGACGCCTCGTTTCTGGGTCGCAGGACCGGTGACGTGCATCTTTTTTCGGGGGGGTCGCACCTCACAGTGACTGACAGCGCTGCGCTGGAATGACAGGGGGTTTGCTAGGGGACCCCTCTGCATTTCTGCACTGCCACAGCGCTGGGATTGGCGGGGTAGACTCGCTTGCTTTATCGCGATAAGGCTCCGATAAGCCGATAAGACACCTGCGGCCTGAAGACGGGAGAGTTCCACCTCGCACACTGACCTCATCCGCACCTCTTCCGAAGCACCAAGCTTCACCTTACTCACCTTACACCTTACAAATTGACAACACCACAACCTCCAACTTCACGATACCTGCTTACTTTCTTTGCCGACAACACTCCCCGACCCCAAGGACTTGCTAATCGACTCTACGATTCACATACAAACACCAACCCGAATCTAAGCTCACATTCGTACAGCAACACCAAATAGACAGACAAACACACATCACCAACACCATAATGTCCCGATCAACCCCCCGTCGACGCGGCGGCGGCCACGCCCGCCACTCCTCCCAGGGAAACCCAATCTCCGGCCCCCGCCCCGTCCAATCCGACTACGAATCCGACGCGGCGCACTACATCGACTCCCACCCCGTCCCGGACCCGAACCCAGCCCTCCTCAACCGCACAAACACGGACCTCAACCTCTCCGTCCTCCGCCGCTACCTACCCTCCATAAACTCGACCCTCTCCATCGCCGCCAACGCTGTCGTCTACACCTTCAACCCCACCCTCCCCGGCTGGGACAAGACGGGCATCGAGGGGACCTACTTCCTCTGCATGCAGGATCCCGTTCCCGGCGCGGCACCGAATCCGAGGGCATGTATCTTTGTGTTGAACCGCCGCGGCCTGGAGAATGTGATTCTCGATCTGAGCGAGGTGGACGACTTTGAAGTCATGGACGAGATCTACATCTTCCGTTTGCGCGGGACAAGCGAGGAGGCGGCAGAGGGAACGAACAAAGTCATGGGCATCTGGATCCACGCAGACAAGGAGGACACGCGCGTTATGAACGCCGCCCTCATCTCCGAGACGCTCAAGCACGTCCGCCTCGCCGAGGAGCAGAATGCCGTGGCTGGTTTCGGCGGCCCCGGTGGGCCAGGCGGCGAAGAGGAGCTGGGTCCCGCGATGCAGGCCATTGGCCGGAAGCTGAGCTTGAGCGACCTGTTTGGCGCGCAGAATGGCCTCCAGGGCTAGGAGCCCGCGGTTTATGCCGCGGGGGTCAGGGCGCGGGAGTCTTCGGTGAGGGGATGGGGTATTGCGGAGGGGTCCGATGTGTGGGGAATGGCAAAGATTTGCCTGCGTGGTACCGAGATGAAGAATCTTCAGAGACGTTGAAGTCGGTATTGATGTTGAAGCTGATGATAGACTGGCATGGCGAGGAACGGACTGCACGAAACATCTACTCAGGAGAGTAGAAAAAGGGGACGCTCAGGAGAGCGAAACGGTTGAACCAATGATACCCTTGATTAAGAAAGAAAGAAAAAAGTCATTTTTCATACATGAATGCAAAGTCGTCATGGGACTTGGGTGACTCTCCCAAAGTCCCTCCCGTCGTGACTCGCAAAGTCTAGGAGGCTGCGTTTCTTTTTCTCTATTACAATCCCCAAAAGCCTTGACCCTTCCTAGACCATGCTCGCGTGAAAACTCCCCTCCCATTACCAGCAGACTCTAGAGTGAACCCCATCACCCCAGATTAAGACGCGGAAAGTGAACAAAAACAGAACGAAGGTCTCGCTCATACGGTGCCGCTGATGCTAAGCTCGCGAATCTCCTGCAGCACTTGCTCGACACGCTGATCCAGCTGGCCCTGCGCATACTGTTCTCTCGTATCCGCGTCCAGGTACTGCTGCACCTGTGCCATACGACTGTACGCCTCGGCACAGAAACGCAGCTGGATCTTGACGAGGGCCTCGAAGGTAGGGTCGAGATACGGCACGCGGAGGTCGATGAGCTGAGGAAGTTCCGACGACAGCTGCTCGTTGAGCTGCTCGTAAGCGGCCTTTGCCATTTCCATCTCCTTCTCGGCGCGGGGTAGCTTGGTCACGTCCTTGTCGGGCTTCTCGACGAGCTTCTTGACCTTGGCACGTAGCGCATCGTAGTCGAGAAGCTTGTGGCCGCGCTTCTTGATGCCTGGGAAGGGTCAGCAATTTGACGTGAGAGTGTAGCCTGAGTTGTACCGACATTCGTTTACGTCTGGGAAGTAAGCGCAGAAGCGCGAGATGGGCTCGAGAACGGTTTGCCTAAACGACATGTTAGCCAACATGCCGATACCCGAGTCGTCGCCAGTGATCATACTGGTAAGGGCCATCCAGCGCCTTAATGGTCTCGGCATCAAGGTCCTCCACTGCCTGCTTGTAACTTCTGCTCACGCCGTCCTTCGCGCCAGAGTCTCCGTAAAAGGCGTCTATCGTCTCGGCAATGCGCATCTGGGAAGCAGTCATGGCTGTTGAACAGAGTTAGCCCACAGTGATCCTTGGCAAGGGGGGTCCATAGTAGTAGACCGCCAAACACACCTCGCAATGAATCCAAGTAACCCTTTGCCTCCTTCTGCAACCGCAAGGAAGCCGTCTCCATGGTTCTGAATCGTCTGCCAAGAAAAAAAGTCTCAGTATTTTGATTTGATTCGTCGGGTATCTCGGCCTTGAGGAAAGGGTTTTGCCCACCTCTCTTCCACCTCGTAGTCGCGGTCGTTGGTCTTCTCCACATGGCCTGCCAAGATCAGAACCTCTCCGTATTTCATGACTATAAGTTGGGCAGAAAGGGCTCACCCGTTTTCATCATCACCTGCGTCGTCGCGCGGTTGACATTTTTCTTGAATCCTGTAGCCAAATACCATCAGTCCAGATCCTTTAGTTCTTGATCCTCCATTTGCTTTTGCTCAGGTTGCGCCCGAGGAGGGGTCATCCGAGACTCTCAAGTCGTACCTGCCCACGACATCTTGGCTGTCTTGCTGTGTGTTTCCTCTTCGTACTCGGTGCTAAGGTTCGGAATAAAGATTCGGAGGCACTAGAATGCTCGAGCGGGTAATGTATGTGAACTGATCACTCGGTGGTTTCGGCAGGTATCGTTGTTCGTAGAAAGGCCGTTTCGTCGTCCGGAGTTGAATTGATGGGGGGGGGTGGTGCACTGGGTGGTGGAGGGGGAGAAAGGAAATGCGGTTTTGATTGCGCGGACGAATCACTCAATGCACCTGGAGCACAGCACCTGAACATGCTGGGGAGACCCAACTGCAGCTGGGCAGCGCCCAGAAACGGAAATCGACGTCAGCGAACAGAGGCTTTGGAGCTGCGCCACGTCCTTGTTGGTGCTAGCTCCTCTTAGCGCCGGGTAGCTCTGTGGCTCAGCCCTGTAGGCAGCCTTTTCTTGCTGTGCTTACCTAAGGCCGCTAGAGCCAAGACGGTGGGCGCAAGTGCCGTTTTCCGATTGTTCGCTCCCCGGTGACTCAGCGTTGGTGATTATGTAAGGACTCATTTGTACAGCCGTGCACGAGGCCAATTCTTGCCCAGAAGCTTCTTTGTGCAAACACAAGCTGCAGATACGACTTTTTATGCACATCTTGTTAGACCAGGAGAATGGCCTCAAATTCTTTTATGCTGACGGAGACATGTTCAGTCCAGTCTTTAATAACCTTACAAGTCCCTATATTTCCTAGCCTCTCATTCTAGACATTCAACACCATCATCGCGTCTCAGTTCATTCATCTCATTACATTACACTCAGCATCACAAGAAAGATACCCAAATGAGCGCACCTCGTTTCCTACTCATCAGCCTGGGAAATCCAGAGCCACACTACAACACCCTTCACTCAGCAGGCCACCATGCTCTCAACTCTCTCCAAAAACTCCTGGGCCCCTCTCAACCAGCCTTCCACAGAGGCCGCTTCGGTGGCAGCTCCTGCCTGGCCTCATTCGGGCCTAAATACGCAATGATCCAGAGCCCCTCCGTCATGAACGTAACCGGAAAATGGCTGGCAAAAGCATGGAAAGAAACCCTCGGCACCCGGAACCCAGCAGATCTGAGCCTCATCCTTGTCCACGACGATCTGGAAGAGGAGCTTGGATTCGTCAAAACAAGAAAGTGGAAGAGCAGTCACAGAGGCCACAATGGTATCAAGAGCGTCAACAACTGTCTCCGTGAGGCAGATTACCCAGAGTCAAAATGGGCGAGGATAGCAGTTGGCATTGGACGGCCCGATCAGCGCGATCACTCTACGGTATCTAACTACGTCCTGAAGCGCATGACCAAGGACCAATGGTCTGCCCTCGAGACCAACGGAGGCCCTGGCGTGCTTGAGTGCCTTCTCGCATTCGAGGAGAAGCTTGACGCTGCAGCTGGGAAGTGAAGCATCCGAAGCCTCATCCAGTTCCTATCCTCTACCTCACACCTTCGGCGCACGGTAGCCCATACCCTACCCTGCATCCATTCTGAGCCTTCAACATAAATCGAGGCAACAAGAATGCAGCATGAGACGACGGCCGTTGCCAATGCGCCTCCCGATAGACCTAGGACAAGATTGAGTCTGTCCCTGGTGCCGGGCGCTCAGAGCAAAGCTTCACGTCGTCGGAGCTAGAGGCTATGAAGAAGCCACCGGGCGATTTAATTCGCCATCAGTGAGCGTCTCGTTCCTTACTTCATGTAGCCTCATCGGGCCCAGGCCGCCCATCAAGCCACTTGCTCATGTACGGCCCATCGAGCCAGTACCCGAGCTTAGCATAGTAGCTTCTCACACCTACTCCAGAAATAACACTGATCTTCTCGCTGCCGTGCTCGTCCCTTGCAATTCTCTCTGCCTCCTCCATCAGGAGCGTGCCGAAACCCTGGTGCTGGAATTTCTTCGGGTCTCTGGCGTGTACCGGCACTGCGGTACCGTAAACGTGCAACTCTCTGACCAGACTCGTCGGCTGTCCGACGAGCTCCTCTCGGTACGTGTACTTTTCAGTGCACTTCCGTAGACGCAACAGGGCAACGAGAATGTCCTGCTTGGGGTCCTCGTAGGCAAGGAACGTTTCCCATCCGCCGTTGGCTGTGTAGTCTCGTCGCACCAGCTCGATCTGGTTCGGCCTAATCTTGTTCTTGACCTCGTTGACACCGACCTCGCGCGTCCGCACATCTCGACATGTTGTGCCGAAATCCTTCATTCTTGCCAGTGCCAGTTCACGCAAGTTGCCGTTCTCTACACCAGACGTGACCAAAGGCATGGGGATATCTCTCTGCACTCGGTAAATACGTGTCCATGGCGGGATAAGCGCCAGAATTCGCGCAACCAGATCGATCAAGCCGTTGGGGGTGTAGTTCTGGTAGCGGCCTGTGCGCCATAGCTCGTACAGGCCAGTGCCTCTAATGACGAGAGTCGGGTAAATTTTGAGACCGTCCGTACGGAACGCAGGGCTCTCAAAGTACTCTCGGAACTGGTCCAGATCTCTCTCCATGCCCACGTTGGGCAAATCAGGCATCATGTGACTGACCACCTTGAAACCAGCGTCCTTGGCCAGGCAGAACGTCTCGGCGACAGCGGCAACGGTGTGGCCACGATTCGTGTCTCTTGCAACGTCTTCGTAAAGCGACTGTACTCCAATCTCCAACCTCGTGCAGCCATAGCGTAACATATCTGTCAGATGCGGCTGCCAACAGTAGTCCGGTCTCGTCTCGATTGTTATACCGACGCACTTGATGTTGCTCATTTCGCTAGCCTCAACTGCCTCGTCCACATTCGATGTCTGATACCCACTGAGCGCATTGTGTAGTTGGGCGATAAAGTCCTCCCTGTACGGTACCGGCAGTGACATGAATGTGCCACCCATGATGATGTACTCGACCTTGTCGACTGAGTGACCCAGAGACTTGAGCTGGTCAACACGGCCACGGGCCTGCTCGAAGGGATCGTAACGTGCGCGAATCGCTCGCATCGATGTAGGTTCGTATCCGGTGTAGGATTGTGTGCTGTATTCGAAATCGGAGTCTGGACCGCCGGGGCAGTATACGCAAATGTTACCCGTATAAGCAATGTGCGGGCACCTGTGAGGCTTGCACATGACCGCCACTACGGCGATACCCGACGATGTTCCTAGCAGCTATAGTGAGCATGGGCATGCTCATGAGGGGAATGCAGGGAGGCAACATACGGATTGGCTTGGCAATGAGCTTCGGCAGGATGTATTTCTTGTAGTGCTCAGGAATCGCAGCAATAATGGCTGTAAGCGGCGGGATATTGGCAAGCTTGTGCTTCCTCGAAAACTTGTTGCGCAAAGAATTGAGGTTGAGATCCTTTGGCGGGTTCTTGGGGTCCCTGATAGCTTCGTGGTCTTCGATTAGGGCGTTGGCGACATCTGCACAGCATCGCAGGAAGCGCTCGTTCTCTGGGGGGAGGTTATCGTTCTTGGACCGCCCCTTGGTGACGGTGACGGTAGTGGTCGCCATCTTGAGGGGTATGTGGGTAGTCCGAGTTTGGTGGGCGCTCGTCTCTTTGGTCGTTCGTGCTATTATGGTGGTATCGTTGCAAGTCAAGGCCGATCGCGTGTTTCCCGTAAGTTCGCCCCCGTAGCGTCAAGTCGTCAGAGTCATAAAGTCGGAGTGTCGTTGGGGGTTGGAGAGTTGACTGTGCGATCACTTTGGAAATTTTGGAGGAAACCGTCAAATGCAAGTTGCTGGATGGTGGGGTAGATCAGCCACAGCTTCACCCATTTGGAGACGCCACACGTCAAATCTGCATGTTAAAGTCGGTACGTACCGTACGTACCATTTGACGCAGGAGGGGTGTGGCAGGCACAGCTGGCAGGGTGCCCTTCGGTGCCTTCCCAATGTTCCCATCTTTGAGCCGTGCTGATTGCCGCGGCCTTCATTGGTCCGACCGGATCATCCCCTTCACCGATCCGCCGAAATGGGCCACGGGTTTTCCCGGACGGTCGGGTCCCGTGCTTCCCTCGTGGAGTCGTGGCTCGCCTGCTGCAGACCCGGTTGTCTCGCAAAAGAAGCGAAAGAGCTCGGTTCAAGTTTTGCTGCTGGCCTTCCCCTACTGCGAGTTTGACCCTTCTTTCGGAAAGTGACGTGAATTTGCATTGCAGCCACAGCTATCTTCTCTTTTTCCCTTCCCCCACGATAGCTGCCATCTGCCATCCTCTCTCACCAACGAGATCCTCCTCCGAATCCCAATACTTTTCTCTTCTTAATTGGCGCTGCGGTTCTTTCCAAGCTGCGCTGTTACACGTCTTTTAACACACACACATACACACACATCGCCCAAGATGCAGTCCCTGAGACAGATGCGGCCGGCAGGCAAGCTCCTGAACCAAGCCGCGAAGCGTGCATACAGCGCCTCGGCAGCTGGCCCTTACACCAAGACCATCGACAACCTGCGCATCAACTCCGAGACCAAGGTGCTTTTCCAGGGCTTCACTGGCAAGCAGGGAACGTAAGTGGTGTTATCTTCCTCCGACGCCCGAAGGGCCGACTACCTCAGTAGCACATGTTTTCCCACCCCTGTTTAGGTGTTTTGGGGAGAGGCATATCTGGCGATATTTACTTTGTCCGCGCCTGCGCAGATTGATAGGCATGAAAGAAAATCAGTCCAGCTAACAACGATTTGCGACGCAGCTTCCACGCGCAACAGGCCATCGACTACGGTACGCGATAATAACTCCGAAGCAATTGCGCGACCCATATCTCACTTTCGCGCATCGCAAAACCTTACTTTGGAAACACTCCGAGGCTGATATCAATGGACATGTACAGGCACCAAGGTCGTCGGTGGAACGAACCCCAAGAAGGCTGGCCAGGAGCACCTCGGTCTCCCCGTCTTCGGCAACGTCAGCGAGGCCGTCAAGGAGACTGGCGCCGATGCCACTGCCATCTTCGTCCCGTACGTTGATTCTACAATACGAAAATTCTTGGGAGAGTAGGACGTTGACCTAGAATTCAAACAGCCCCCCTCTGGCCGCCGCCGGTATTGAGGAGGCCATTGCCGCCGAGATCCCCCTCGTCGTCTGCATTACTGAGGGTATCCCCCAGCATGGTATGCTCCCCTTTGCCCACTCCAAGTTCCTCTAAAGCTTCAAAGCTCTGAAGTGAAGCTTTAGAGTGGCTTGAACCTTTAAGCAACCACGCAGTTCGAATACTCACCATCCCCCAGACATGGTCCGCATCACCAACATGCTGAAGACGCAATCCAAGACTCGCCTCGTCGGCCCCAACTGCCCCGGCATCATCGCCCCCGGCCAGTGCAAGATCGGTATCATGCCCGGCTTCATCCACAAGCGCGGCCGCATCGGTATCGTCTCCCGTTCCGGTACCCTCACTTACGAGGCCGTCAACCAGACCACCCAGGCCGGCCTCGGCCAGTCCCTCGTCGTCGGTATCGGCGGTGACCCCTTCAGCGGTACCAACTTCATCGACTGCCTCAACGTCTTCCTCAAGGACGAGGAGACGGACGGCATCATCATGATTGGCGAGATTGGTGGTTCCGCCGAGGAGGACGCCGCTGACTTCCTCCGCGCCAACAACACCGTCAACGGCGGCAAGCCCGTTGTCTCCTTCATCGCCGGTATCTCCGCGCCTCCCGGCCGCCGCATGGGTCACGCCGGTGCCATCGTCTCTGGCGGCAAGGGCGGTGCCGACTCCAAGATCTCCGCGCTCAAGTCCGCCGGTGTCATTGTCGAGCCCTCCCCCGCCGGCCTCGGCAAGGCCCTCTACGACGAGTTCGTCCGCCGCGACCTCTTGTAAAAAATTTCAACCAGAACCACATCATATCTTCCAGACGTTGAAGGGGAAAGCTTCAGCTGTGTATGTAACATGTTAAAGAAGAGAATCTTGTGTTAAGAGCGTAGTCAACCGGGATAGCTCCCTCGTGTCGTTGCGGAGGATAACGGACGGCGCTGCTCCCTTTTGCATCGTGCGGGTTGCGCTGAGTGCGTGTGCGTGTGTGTGTGTTTGAACATGTTGCCCCAAATAACTTGATATAGACTGGAGGTTGGGCAAGGAACAATAGGGCAAGCATATGAAGGAAAGTGGAAGAAATGGGAAAGTTTGAACAAGTTCCTCAAGCCTTCACGAAGTGAGAAACATTGCGGGCCCTCTCTCCCATCTCTCTCCATCTCCTGTTTTTGTATCTCCAATTCCCCAAGCTTATAAACATTTTTTTTTACCGCGAGATATATGCAATGCTACCCGCTATCTCGTTCCTCTGACCTCATTCGTTGCGCTTCGCGCCATCTCGGCATGTAGGGCCCTTGCCGTCGTACGACTCCCCATACAACATACAACCCCCGAGTAAAATCAACAAGGGTGCCGTCCCCGAACCCCGAGGGGAAAGCGGCTTCGGCCCAGAAAAACTGGGGACCAGTATCCGGAGGAAAGGATGCAGCTTTCATGTTGGATGATGTGGATTTTGAGTCGCCAACCTACTACTAAAGAGGCCGATGCGACCTTGGTATGCGAACAAGCATACATAAGCTAGGGCTACCTGTGTATCTTACAGAAAACACTCTTTGCTAGAAAGCTGCTGAAGAGCAGTGATGGAAGAAGAGTAGAACAAACCAGAAAACGTCCCGCGTGCCCAAAACGCCAAAAGTCCGCGATGCGGAACTGCCAGAGCCAAACGCTCAGGCAGACAAATACTCCGTGCCCCGGTCAAACCAACCGTCCTTATTCCCGCCTGGATAACAGACATGCGACAGGTTGCTGTCAAAGCAAAATGGTCCATACGAGCGCGCAAGCAGTGAGGACTCGAAGGCGGCATTCTGAGCTTTTCAAGCCAGAAATGCTCCGAGTTCCCTCTACCGCAACGTCAACGAACCACTCGCCCCGAAAGCCAGAATTCCACTAATGCCCAACTCTAGATGTAGACCAACTCCATACTCGATGCAATGCTGCCCGTCGTCTCATGATTTGCCGTGTTCGTGACTTTGTACTCATTTCGCCCTCGGATCGACGAGGTCATGGCCGGCTAACCTTCGACCTCGACCGACCGTTCCGTCGAGCGATCTGTTGCCGGGTAGTCGAATCATTGCTCGCCGAGGAGGTGGGCGGTGATGTCGCCAAGGTACGCCTCCTCCAGCTCATAGTCCATGCCACCATTGCGGTCGATCCCAATAAAGGTAAAGGCCTCAACGACAGCATCGAGCTCGAATCCCATGCCGACAAAGCGGTCAATAAGATCCTTATTGTAGCCGGCATACCTAAAAACCCGTCAGCCTTGTCTCTTTATGCATGTTTCCTGTGCTGTAGACTCGTCCACGTACAGCCGACTCTTGGAAACGTACCTGTTTGCGTCATCTTCCTTTACTTCGGAAGCAACCTGCTTGTACTTTGTTGTGTCAAAATCCTTTGACGGTGCACCAGCGTGCTTGACGGCCCACTCGTGTGCCTTTTTCGCAAACCCCTCGGGGTTCTCCAGCATCATCTTGGCCACCTCTGCGTCTTGGGGATCCTTGGGATTCGGGAACTCGAGCAGCATGCGGAGGGAAAGCAGCGCCGTCTTTATCGTCTGCACTGGAGACCAGCCACTGCCGAGCGTGTCGAGACAGATGGCTCCCTATTCCAGTCAGCATCCCTGGTGCTAGTGGTCTTGAAGGGCATGTATGTTGTGGGAGACGGCGGAACTACCACAATAAGGCGATGGGAGAAATACTCACGGTTTGACTGCTGACATTGGGATGCCAGATCTTGGTGATGAACTTGATGGTGGGAGACTTGAAGGGGTAGCTGTCGGGAATCTTAATGTCGACTTCGTACAAGCCGCCGGCGTATGGTGTATCGGGAGGTGCGGGAAAGGAGCCCTTCAGATGCAGCAAGTTGGTCTCGTCGAGCGGCTGAGCAAATACTCCAGAGTTGTCCCTGTCATTGCGAATGTCACCCAACTCCTTGAGGATGCGTCGCTCCTTGGGGCTGGACATGTTGCAGATGCGTTGCGGATTCGTAAGGGTTGTCGATGGGTATTCCTTCGCCGTAAGGTAGGCGATGCTGAAGACTCGAGAGACGTGTTGCTTGTAGAGTATGTAACGTAGTAAATTTTGAGCTATGTGGTTCGAGTTGGTGATGTGTCGTTACTTGGTATTTCTCGGGAAGAAAGCGAGGCAAGGTTGTGTTGGCGTTGGTGGTGGTGGTGATGCTGGCAAAAGACCGTTCGGTGTCGGAACCCAACTTCCAGTCGCAGCTTGCCTCGTCTGAGAGGAGAAGGAGAGCCGGTGGACGTGCCCCTCCCCCCCTTCAGCGACAGATGATGCTGGAATGGTCCGTGCAAGCCCACTACCGCACCTTAGCGCTCTGGGATTGTCAGGGCCGTCAGCCTCCAGGAAGCTGTGTGGCCCGCTGGAGCTGAGGTGCGGGAGAAGGCGGGGTTGGGAACAGTGCAAGAGCACAAGACGTATCTCGAAGCTTAGGTAAGGCAACGTAAGCAGCACCGGACCTGTCACTTTTACCGTCTGGTTACACCAACAATTCTCAATCAATATTTCTCGAGTTCTGAGTGCCCAAGGTAGCCAAAGCAGATGAACAGCTTGCTGCATACAAAGAAATCATGTCTATCATGGAGAACCGTACATATAGAGAAGTAGGGACTGATGCTGACCTTGACGACCCAACCAGACGCCATGGCCCTCGGTGTCACCGGGGCTTCACTTACACAGATGTGACAGACAGCCATCAGCCAAACTCTGTGTCAGGGAGCTGGGCTTTGGCTCAACTTTGCTAGCGAGCAGGCCCTAGGTTTTCTAAAGAGTCGAAACAATCTTATAAGAATTAGTGGCAATCAGTCAGTGTTTCCTAACCAGTCTTTGGTCAGCCTTTTTAATCATGCTTTTATACAGTTGACTATTCGAGCACTCAGTTCAACCTTCTAGCAACAAAAGCAAAGCATGAGGACCAGGCTTAAACTTCAGTCATATGATTTTTCTTCCAATCCATAACTGGTATCATTTCGTCAGGGTAGCAGGCAAAGATGGCGTGGAAGCCAGCAGCATATTTACAAATGCTAGGAAGGCGTCCGTTACTCATATATTTGACTGGTCGCCTCCTAAGGTTTTACAAGCTATCCTCGACATGCAGCAAATCATACCAGCTAGGACCGGCTCTGTACAGAATACCACTGTTGATAGATGCCAGCGAGCTCCCCTCGTAGCTTCGTCAAAGGAGCTATTAGATCATTATGAAGCTGGGCTTTACTTGGTGTAAGATGAACGAGAAAGCGAGGCCAAGGCTACTTAGAATCCGAGGAACAAGCCCGTGGAACAAGCCGGCCATTATCATCTCCTCTCAGAAGGGGTTCTTTATCACCGAATTACGGCATGAAAATCTAGGTAAGACAAGGTCTGTAGTCTTGCTCTTTTTCTTTTATTTCTTGGCGGCTTCAACAGAAGGGTGGAGGAGACCATCGAGCCCGTCTGGTCGGGGAGACTGACTCAGCAGCGTCGCTTAGATAATCGTTCCTCACCGACACGTGACCTTCTTCCCGCCCTTTCCTCATCCGGCCCAAGTGAGCCAGGGAAGCTGAGCGTCGCGTTTCCTGCCGCCTGCAGTGGCTCCCGGTGTTGCTACGCACTGATTACCTACGCAAGCAGCAGCAGCCTTGCCTTCCATTGCTCCCCTGCGCTTCCATCTCCATCTCCGGAACCTACCTACACCCATCATCATCACAAGCTCATTGACGACACCACGACACCTCCCCGAATCAGAGGATCGCCCGTTTTCCTTCTCATCAACACAGAAAAGCCGTCTGCACACTCCCGCTGAGCTCTTGGAGCTCCCCGTGGCACAAGATGGTGAGCATCACTGTCCGAAACGTGGCAGCCACAATCTAACAGCTTCGTAGGGTCAAAACCAGTCAGGAATGGGTGGTGGAGGCGATGGAAAGGACGAGAAGGATAAGAAGGTATGTCACTGAATCTGCCATCGTAAAACCAAAGGCCCCATACTGACTGACCGGCAATGCAGAAGGAGAAGCCCAAGTACGAGCCTCCCCCACGCCCTACCACCAGAGTCGGTCGCAAGAAGAGAAAGGCGGCCGGCACCAGCGCCGCTGCGAAGCTTCCCGCCGTCTTCCCCACCAGTCGATGCAAACTCCGCCTACTACGAATGCAGCGAATCCACGATCACTTGATTCTGGAAGAGGAATACGTCGAGAACCAAGAGCGCCTTCGCAAGGCCAAGGCCGTCAAGGAGGGTGCTGCCGTTGGCCCCGAGGGTGATGTCGACCGCATGGCAGACGAGCGCGGTCGTGTCGACGATATGCGTGGCAGCCCCATGGGCGTCGGCACGCTGGAGGAGATGATTGACGATGACCATGCGATTGTCAGTAGCACGACTGGTCCCGAGTACTATGTTAGCATCATGAGCTTCGTCGACAAGGACTTGCTGGAACCTGGCGCCAGTGTCCTTCTCCATCACAAGAGCGTCAGCATTGTCGGTGTTCTGACCGACGATGCTGATCCCCTGGTCAGTGTGATGAAGCTGGACAAGGCTCCGACGGAGTCATACGCCGACATTGGTGGTTTGGAGCAGCAGATCCAGGAAGTCAGAGAGTCAGTCGAGCTTCCTCTGCTGCATCCGGAGCTGTACGAGGAGATGGGTATCAAGCCGCCGAAAGGTGTCATCCTTTACGGTGCTCCCGGTACCGGAAAGACGCTGCTCGCCAAGGCTGTTGCCAACCAGACGTCTGCCACTTTCCTGCGTATAGTGGGAAGTGAACTTATTCAGAAGTACCTCGGTGACGGTCCCCGTCTCGTCCGCCAGTTGTTCCAGGTACGTTTGTCTCGGGTTGTTTTGGCCAATGCGATTGATCACTGACAAGTTTAGGTTGCTGGCGAGAATGCGCCCTCGATTGTCTTCATTGATGAAATCGACGCTATCGGCACGAAGCGTTACGACTCGACGTCTGGTGGTGAGCGTGAAGTCCAGAGAACCATGCTGGAACTTCTCAACCAGCTTGACGGTTTCGACGACCGCGGTGACGTCAAGGTCATCATGGCCACCAACAAGATCGAGACTCTCGACCCCGCCCTGATCCGTCCCGGACGTATCGACAGAAAGATTCTCTTTGAGAACCCCGATCAGAACACCAAGCGCAAGATCTTTACGCTTCACACGTCCAAGATGTCGCTCAACGACGACGTCGACCTTGAGGAGTTCATCTCGCAAAAGGACGACCTTTCTGGTGCCGACATCAAGGCCATTTGCTCAGAGGCTGGTCTCTTGGCTCTCCGTGAACGCCGTATGCGCGTCCAGATGGCAGACTTCCGGTCGGCCAGAGAGAGAGTCCTTCGCACCAAGCAGGAGAGTGAGCCTGAGGGCTTGTACTTGTAGTTTGTATGACGAGGGTACGGGACTAAGGCTAGACGGGACTACGATAGAGATAATGGCAAGGCATGCCTTGACGTTACTTGACGTTGACTTGGCATTGATTAACGACATGACATGGATTGAAAATGATGCAGCGTGAAGTGATGACCGGTGATTATAAAGTGCTTAATCTCCTTACCCAACAACGACTCCTCAACTCCCAGACGAACTGCAAGTTATAAGCATCGAACTACGACCCTAAATTCGACCTAGATGAAATGCCATCTGCCGATATCAAGCGAGTTGGTCGAACGGAGGCCCTTAGTAAAGCACCCATATCACTCCGCATACCAACGGAAGGGTGCCAGGGTCTCAACGGCGAAATTGACCGCCGGCTCACAGAGTGGCAATCTGAAATTCAGCGAAAGGGCGATGTCCAGACGAACTTTCTCCATGTCACTCGAAACCCAAGGTGTGATTGTGCAGCTTGACAGCCTCGGCCAGGCTCTTTCTTGCATTGAGTGAAGTGAGGTCTAGACTTCACAGCCTCTACTCCGAAGGGACAGCATCCCTGACATGTGCGGCTGGCGAGTGTCAAGGAAGTTCCTGGCCAGCGAGGCGAAGTACCGGAAGTATATTCTGATACGATTTTCCGCTGAACTTGGGGTTATGGAGGGGAAAGTTGTACATGGGAATTTTAAAATACGAATTTGTTGTGTCTTGATATCGTGCTAGCTATAGGAAATCATTTTGACAGTCTAATATCACGCGCCATAATCCGTAATCCCAAATGCAAAAGAAATGATACTCATTCTAACATGGATCATTCAAGCCAAGGCAAATCTGTCAATGATATCCGTCGCAAATACAAATCGTGCTGAGGCGAAAACTGCAAATCACAACTTAGTATCCCGCCCGCCTAAGCCTCTCCTTTTCATCTAAAACAGGCTCCTCGTCAACATCCTTGGGGGTATTCGTGATCCCCTCCTCTCCACCACCATAAGTGTTCAAATTCAACTGCGATGCAACAGAAGGCGTATACGCCGGTGCAGGCACATCATCCTCCATCGGCGGCGGCGGCGTAGCATCCCCCGGCGGCCCCATCATCGCCACCTCCCTCGCAATAGCAGGATCCATCGAGTACCGCCCCTCCAGCGCCATCAGCGTCTGCCAAAGCGGCATCGACCCCTCGGGCCACTCGGCCTGCGTCTGGAGAATCTTCTTGGCCGAGATGCGGCGGTCCGCGTAGGCCACGCCGTTGCAGTCTTGTCTCGCGAGGATGATTGTCCCGTCGATCTGCACGCCCGCCCAGAGGCCGCGGGACTTCATGTAGCTGTACATTGGCCTCGCCGTCTTGGATACCGCGGCTTCCACTGCGCCGCCTGTGCCGACGGGCCCGATTGCCACGGAGGCTTCTGTGCCGAGAGACACACGTGGGTGAGTAAAGGCTGCGACTTGGGCTGCGGTGTTGAGGACGAGGACGCAGTCGTATATATCGAGGCCGAACATGAAGCCCGCTCCGAGGGTGGACACGACGAACGACGAAGGGGGGGACCACGTCCCATCCGGTCTGCGCGCGACGACGATGCCGGACCCGGCGGCGAGGGAGCCCATGTACGCGCCCGCGCGGAGGGTGTTGAAGATGGCGAGGCCGGCGCAGTGGGCGAGGACTTGGTGGGGGATGGTGACCATGGAGCGGCGGGTGATGCCGAGCGGGTGGAGGGGGCCCTGGGCCTTGGGGGGTTCGGGGCCGAGGTCCGTGAAGGCGTGGAGGATGCGTGCTGCTTTTGCGCACTCGCGGGGCATGGTTTGCGGGAACCAGCCTTCTGCGCCGACGAGGTTTGCGGCTTTGTTGAAGGGGATGCCGGCTGTTGTTGTTATCTTGTGGAGGTTTGCGCCGAAGCCTTTGTTGGGGGGTTTTATGGCCGGAGGAGCAGGCCTTTCGGTGGCCGTGGTGCTGTTGGTGCGGGTTCGGTGGAGGGAGGAGAGGGTGCGGGTTAGGGAGAGGCGGCGGGAGGTTGTTGAGCGGGCTGAGGAGGTGGAGGATGGGGTTAAGTGGAGGGAATGGGTGTCTGCTTCGGCTTCGTGGGTTTGGGAGGGTGCCTGGGAGGGCTTGGGTTCTGCGGTGAGGGTCATGGTGTTGTTGAGTGGTGGTGATGTTGAAGTTGTGGTGGTGTAAGTCGATGTTGGGATATCGTGATATCGGGTGTGCTGGATATTGTTCTGCAAGCTCTGAACTACTACAGGTATTTGCTTGTCTGTTGTGTTTGATAGAGAGAATAGGAAACAGTCTCAACTTGAACGGTGCTCATAAGCATGATATATACATTCTTCGTCTCAACAACACACCTTACTGAAGGCGTGAGCAAGAGAGAGGTGTCATCAAGGATCGCCCCTCCAGCCGGACCAACAACCTCCAGGCCGGAAGCCGGGATGACGCTGCACTCGCGCGTAGCTTCCAGCTCTCGTCAAGTCTGCCCGTGAGAATAGCGTGGTAGATGCAAAGGGGAGGGGCCGAGAAAGAGGTCTCGCCTCGCGAGGATGGGTTCCAAGACGGCGAGAGGTGAGACGGTGGCCGGGAATGGTGGATGAGAAGAAAAGAGAATGAGACCGACGGGCCAATGGGAGTTTGTCCGTTGGAAGAGGAGGTGGTGAGTGCTTGGTGATGGTTCATGCTTCTTGGCGTCTGGGCGTCCGGCTGGGCGAGAGATGTCTACAGGCAAGAAGTGTAGGTTGGTTGTGGCCGGGATAGGGATTCACTCGGAGGCGGAGGGACTTGGGTACGGAGTGAAGGGAGGACAAGACGGATGGGATGCGTAAGTAGAGAACATAGATGGCTGGAGATCGGCATTGTGAAGGGCAGTGTAAGGACGCGGGGTCATCAATCATCCCATGTCCAAGACTACTTCCTATACTTACCCAGAGAGAAGGAAAGCTTGGGTTTGTGTTATTCGTTTCATGTGACTGGTTCTACCAGTCCAGCCCCTCAGAGCTCTTAGAGATGGACTCGAGATGGGATGGAATGTTGTGCCTTACTCCAGCTCACCCCATCTCGGCAGAAAGAGAACGAAAAGACAGTGGAGGCGCAGCAAGAGTGAGACGGAGAGTTTGGCAGCATCTAGTGGTGTGTAACTGTCAGATACGCGCAAGTGTCCTCGCGGTCTTGGGAAACTGCTTGATAATTAGGTCTCAGTAGGAAGCTTGGCCAAGAGAGCCAAGATGATCTTATTCTACGTTGGTCGAGTTTCCGGGAATGGCAAGACGAGAAGTGCGCGGTTCGGTGGAACTTTCAAGTCCTCGCGGCGATTTGAGGTGGCCGAAGTTAACGGCGGGAGGCCGAAACGCGGCGGAAGAGCGAGGTGGGGCGCGGGGGCTGTGGGGGGGCGCGGGATGGCGCACAGGCTGCACGCTACCTCCGCTATGCTACCTACCTAAAGCCCTAATCAACCACTTTCTCCATCAAACAGTCTCTATGGCTCAGTCGGTAGAGCGTTGGTCTCATATCAAATACATATGACTCTAGATCATCTAGGGGTTATCCAAAGGTCGCAAGTTCGAGCCTTGCTAGGGACATCCACTTTTGCTTTTGGTTCTCTTTCGCTTGGATTTCAAGTTGCTACTCAATTGAACTCATATTTGGCACTTTTTTGCGTTGTTGCTGCGCCGCGGTGGCATCCCATCCCGTTCTTGATAACTCGGCACTAACATAATAGCCAACCAAGATTCAGCCGCGTAGGTCCTCAACATGAATGGCATAATTCGATACTACATATTGAGTTGATGGATGTAAATTGATGGGCCGAGCCCGATATCTCAATTGGCGTCACAGGTATTCCGTACTGCCAGATGATATTTCCGTTGACACAGTTTTTGAAGGTTCACACGGTTGATATATGTTTCCTCATTTGCCCAACCCTCTTTTAATGGCGACATGCCGATCTAAGTTGCCCATGCCTTCAGGCTCCCTTTATACTTCCCTCTGTACAATGCCACCATATGGATGGATTTTTGGCCGCCTCGAGCGTTGCGCGTTGCATCGCTCAATGACTGTGAATGGCCCACTGTATGAATTCACCAGTCCTTTCCTGCGTGATGCCGTACATGCCGCTGGTACTCTGACCGGATCGACCTCTCAGTCCGAACCAGGCCATGTTATCTCACGTGTAGGCAGGCCGTCACATCACTCCTGCCGGAAAACAGCTAGGTCAGAGCCGAAGCTCGGCGTGTGCCTATGCTATCCCGGCGAGCGAAGCGTATACCTGCTCAACTTGAGCCGTCGTGAAGAAGTTGGATCGCCAGAATCTCTCGCTGTGTCCTCGAGCGTTGCCTTGAAGATACGATCTTGGAGAAGAGCCGCTCGGGAGCCGCGCTCTCGTTCGACGCCTCGTCTGGACCATTCCAGTAGACTGGGCTGTTTCCCATAGAAGTCTAATCTGAATCAAATCCTCGAGCGCGTCATGCTGGTGGCTCACCCAGCCTGAAAAGGTCCAGCTTGAAGTTGGCAGCAGTCGGAGGCTGCGTCCTCGGGACGCTCTCAATCGGAACCGGCTTGAACGGCTCAACCTGCCGAATATCAACACCCTCTCGAATACACCTCAGAGGCCACTGGATCCACTCCCTCCATGGTTCCTGAATAGCTTGATCCAAAGCTGAGGCGACGTTGTTGCCCCAGCCGACGAGGTACCACATATTGCGCTCAAAGGCGTGCACCAGCGCCGCGTAGTGCATGAGGATGACGAGGGCCATGGGGTGATTCTGGATCATCAGCTCGAGGAAGGGCTGGGGGAGAGAGACGGCCCAGCGCCAGACGAGACCGGACCTATGCTGCGGGGCGGAGACTGCAGCAAAGGTGATTTTCAGGCCCTCGAGGGCGGATTGGCAGGTCGTTGTATCGTCTGAAGGGGCCATGCTTCGCGTAAGAGTAAGAAGATCGTCGATTTTCGAGGCAAAGTTGCCTCCGACGGCGGGCTCGACACCGCCTTGGTAGAGCCAGCGGGCTAATGGGCCGTTGGAGATGTATCGATGGGCAAAGGGGAGGGTGAGAATGCTCTTGATGCCTGCAATGGGTCAGCATGGGCAGAGACGTAAAGTGGGTGAAGCACCGACCTTGTAGCAGGATGAAGGACTGGGCAACGTCCTTGGATGTGATGGGCCCGTGGGGGTTCGCGATGGAGTAGGTGTTGAGCAGAAAGATGCATATTGCGTGGAGTACGTATGCGTCTGCGTTGTTCTCGCCAATCTCGCTCAGTCCTGGCGAGAATTGGCTCAGGGCGATGTTCTGATGGCGTGCTGATAAGTTGGCATACTCGTCCCTTTTCTCGGGATTGATGTGCGCTCTGTGAATAGCTGATACGGCGAGGATGCCATGGAGAAGGAAGTCCTGAAAGGCTTAGTGGGAGTATAAAGATGGATATAGGGGAACACTTACGTTGGCGAAGGCAATTTGAGGAACGGTTGTAGTCCACAAATGCACAAAGTCTGGATTCTCAGAAAGAGTATGAGCTGTGTTGGAGGTAAAGTGATGGACGAGTTGCATGTCGGTGAGCCAGTCAGCTTGTGAGATACTCTGAGAGTCTCCCGAGTCTCCATGACTTGAGCCATTGGCCGGGCTAGAGTAGTTGTCATGACCGTTTTGGTTGAGGGCATCTACTTCAGCCGTAAACTCTGATAGCAGCCCCTGAATGGCGGCGACCTTGTCTTTTAATGAAGACAGTTGAGGCGATGGTCTCTCGCGGCGGCTGACTGGGCGACTGGTCGTCGAGGCGTCCCCGATACTACCTGGTGTCGCCGTACTCGCTGCATCTTGAGTCGGTTTTGGCGACTCGGTCACAGCAGGAAGCTGAGGTGCGAATGGCGTCAGGACAAGACTGCACTTGACGTCGTGCCGTACACAATTGCGACATGGCCGGCTCTCATCACACTGGACGTTTGTTAGTTACCGATTTAAGTCACCATGAACCTCACCAATCTCCAGTCTCCATAAGGGGATGGCTTGGCGTGGCTTGCTGCAGAGAACGGGGTCCTGAATACAGGGAACTGAACTGACCTTGACACGCCGTTTCTTGCACTGCTGACACCCATTCCTCGACTTCTTGTGACCTATGCGTGTTCCGCGGATCGCGGTGCCCATCTTTGGCCGTTCGGCGCCGTTCTCCAGAGCCGTGACTTCGTCCTTGAGCGAGGTGGTGGACCCTTTCCTTTCCGGCGCGCCGTTCATGGCATTTGACTCGGTCTCCATACGGATGGAGTACGAGTACGGAGTCTTCGTACACCTTTCAGAATGACGAGCACCACCGGGGAGTTACCGTTTAACTGGTAAGTTCGAAGAGTTTGATCCTTTCTTCCTCTCTTCCTCCTATGTTCCCGGGGACTGTAATGAGATGTCTCAAAGGCTGTTTTGACGCTTGGACAAAAGAGATGCAGTCCGAAGATGGACTATTGTCTGATCCCCAAGCTCGGTGGCGCCGCTCTTCATACTGCCGGGCTGCAGGACGCAACTAAACCAACGCCAACTGCCAGCCCAGTTCCAAGTGTGAAAGAGTCGCGCGGCCCGGGGCCCTACACGCTGCGGCTAATGAACCGGGACCCATGCACTCGCAGATGCATATGGAGCATGCGCAACACGGTCTGTAGGATCTGATCTGGAGTGCGTCGATGACGAATATAACAGATGCAATCAAGATAACGCGAGGGCAGTGTTTAAAATAGAAGAATGATGGATTTGACAGCCTGACAGATTTTTTTTGACAGATTAAAACCTTGTAGATGTCACAGATGGAAAAGGTCGCGAGAGTCGAGGCTGTCGAGCAGGGACTTGGGGACCGGCAACCTTCCCGAGTTGCTCCTGGCTCCTGCTCTCCTGGAAATTGGAACTGCTGGCAGGTGGTCCTCTGGCTGGGCAGTTCCCCCGCCGTTCCGCACCGGCCGAAACAGCACGTGACCGTAACTTTCGAAACGGTACTTGTAAAGAACGGACGGAGAGAAAGGTCCTTCCGTTTCGTGCAGATCTGCGCACGGATACTTTCTCCATGGGTGGCCCAAGCTCCTTCTTCGGCGAGGGCAGTGAGAACGTACCTTACCGAAAAGCTTCATCCATCAGGGTACATGTGGCTGATGCTGCGATGTGTGGCTTGCGCACTATGCTCTTTCCTCTGCGGGGCAGCACGAGCTTGGAGCAGGTAAGGTAGGTACTTTCCCAGGGACCAGCTGAACGCAGGCACGCAGTGCTAAATTACGACTTGCATGACGCGCCCCGGCGGAACGCGATTTGCCGTCCTTTCCTGAAGGTGGTGAGGTCAACCAGCAGCAGTCTGTACCTTCTTCACCTTTCCTCCTCTGTCAAAGAGAGGAGACGTCAGAAGTGTCAATGTCAGCATCAGCTGCAAATTCAATTGTCCATCGCTGGCTGTAGCTCCTTAGCTTCTTGCGTCCAGTTCAGCTACCGTCACTCATCCGTCACCGGGCCTGCCGCTTGCCGTTCCTGAGCTATCTCACTTGTACCAAGTATTCCGTCGCATAATCGTCGCTGCGCTGCGCCAGTGTCTCTCCCGTGTCTCCCTGCGAGCGCCCACCCCAATCATTCGACCGACCCCTCTCGAATTGCAGCCTCCCGTCCATCCCTGGGAAGCTAAGAAGAGGCGTCAAACTGCAGATTGAAGAAAAAGGAGACTACCCCGACGAACCTCCTACAAAGTCCCGATCGACTATCGCTCCATCAGCAACATCCCTGACGCCCATCTACAATCAACGAACGTCATCCGTCCACCATAATATATCCCTAGAGCAATTGCGCACCATGGCATCGCACAGCGACTACAACGACATCAAGGCCTCGGCCAAGGAGAACGCCGCTGGCGTCTATGCCTACAGCCAGCGACAGATCAATCGGGTCGTCAGCTCCGACACCAGACAAAGAGCGTACGGCAATGCCTACAGCTTTGCCCAGGAGCAGCCATTCCTCTTCGTATGTTATACTCCAATGACACTTGTCTCTCTAATGTCGGACATCTTTGCTAACGAATCAATTACAGGCCTTCATCCTCTGCCAGTTCATCTTCTCCTTCCTCCCAATCCTCGTCTTCGTGTCCTTCTCCGCCTCGACAATCGCCTTCGCTCTCGGTGCCGCTGTCGTCTTCTCCCTCTTCTGGATCGGCATCGCCCTCCTCGTCCTCGTCCCGATCCTTTTCTTTACCTGCTCCATTGGTGTCCTCGTGTGGATCTGGGCTGCCGGCAGCTTCGTCGTCGCGAAGCGGTTATATGAAATGTCGCCGATCCGGGCCAGGGGTGATCTCGAGGTAGATGCTCCCAACGGGAAGACGTATGCAGTCACCAAGCGCGAGGACGGCATCCATACACACGCCCACAACTAAACTAGGGCAATTTTGTAAACCATATATGTACTAGGTATCATCATACTGTGATGAGTAACGGCCGCTTTGGCGTTGGGAAAGGTATGGATATCAGGAATGGGTCTGGGAAAATGGGGTCTTTCAAAACGGATGGGCACACTTCCCATAGGATTGCTATTCAATATTTACACTTCTTCGCTCATCGAAGCAGTACATCGTGGCCACCTAATATTCGCCGGTGCCTGTTCTCAGCTGTAATGGCATATTGTGACTGTGCTCACTACAGTTCGGCATATGCTGTGACCCCAAAGCTGAAAAGTATGTCGCAATATTTCCCCAACCATCCCCCAGAACTCGGTCTGTGCATAAACCTTCAAGACAAAGTGAAGACAGAGCTACCAACGACCACATTCGAACACATTCTAATTCCAAAATAGCAACCTGCACTCCAGCCCATATTACCGTAGATCAAAAATGCAAAACGTAACATTGGTGCCAACACTGTGGATCGAACACAGGATCCCCGCATTACAAGTGCGATGCCTTACCACTTGGCCATGCTGGCGAATTGGATGTTTTCCAATGTCAAAAATGCCAATATGTATCTATTCTCTTTTTCCGTTCAGCAATAGTAACGGTAACAGTTGCATATCCGTCCACTCTCGAAGCATCTACCCTCACACTTGTATGCGTTCCCCCCTCCGCATCTCGTATGCAGAATACGAAGAACAAACATAATGATCACCCGCTTGAGTTCCCATCACGACTTCCAGGTTCATGCGAGAAAGGCGGTAGAATCCGTGGGCCCGGACGTGAGTGGTTGGGTTGGTTAATGCAGGAGAAGGCTTCGCCAACGCAGGCTGCCGTATTGCCTAAGATCTATTGGCTTTGCACCCGCCGAGGCAGGCTTGACCTAGATCTCACATGATTCAGAGGAGGAGCAGGATGGGTTGAATGGCTGCCTCAATTTGCCAACCTCCGTTCATCTCATTCTTGTTCTCAACAATCACCTCCATCAGTTCAACAAGTCTGCGGGAAATCGCTGCCACTGCCATCAATATGAGCCGCTGGCATGCGGACTGGTGCACGTCACCTATTATCCAAGTCGGCGACGATCAAATCCCTCGATGCGAGAAATGTCAAACCTCAGCTCACGCTCGACTCAAGACGGCGAACCAGCCAAATCTTGTGCTTGAAGCACTAAACGACGAAGAAGAATACGGGAGTCTCAACCTCAGCTGGCCGCCTACAGTCACATTCACCTCTGGGGAAAGCGCAACACGTCCACCAGCCGATAAGAGCAAGGACGATCAAGGGGCTCAGCCGGCTCCATGCCACTCCTCTGATTCGGCCGTCGTAGGTCATGGTACTGTCACTGCGCTTTCATCAGATGAATTCCGCCTAGCTGTTCTCCATGCGGTCGGGGACAAAGGCAAATCGTATCCCATACATGTGGACTTGGAGTCATACAAGGATACGCACTTCCCTGACTATGATGCCGTGTCATACACATGGGGCGATGAGAATGGCAACTCCGAACGGTAGATAGGCACCAGTCATGTCTCAATGGAGCTTAACATTCACTAACTCTTGAATATAGTTGTCACCCAATCTACACTGACGATCACTGGGACATCATCTTTCAAACCAAAAATTGCTGCGACATGTTGAGATACTTACGCTCATCCCGAGGTATGAAGTTGATTTGGATCGACGCAATCTGTATCGACCAGAACAATACGGACGAGAGGTCTTCACAAGTGGCCAAAATGGGCCAGATATACTCGAGATGCTCGCAAGTATGGGCTTGGATGGGCGATGATTTGGTATCAAATGATCTGCAAGGTTTGCCGGAGCGACGATGGCTTCACGAGCTTGGAACAACGTCAGGTTGTAGTGTGACGTTCTCACAGAGCCGCCCTATCCAGAATATTCGGGTACTATTGCAGAGAAGATACTTTCGCCGGGTTTGGATCATACAAGAATTGGTGCTCGCCCCGCGCGTTCTCATTCCAATTGGGAACGTGATCTTCACAGCGGATCATACCACGGCTCGCAAGCTCACAAAGTCGGAAAACGACTCGACGAACAAGAGCAAGATATCTTGGAAGAAAACAGAAGCCCCTTGGTTGGAGCACATTGCTCAAGGACGTATTGACGGCTTGAGTCTCTGGGATATGGTTGCACTGACCTCAAAGTCGCATGCTTCAGACTTTCGGGACAAGCTATACGGCATTCTCGGTCTCCTGTCCTTTGGAAGTAACAACAACTTGCTGCAGCCCAATTACGCTATCTCAGCCCGCCAGATGGTTATTGGGTTTGTTGCGCACTGCATCATCAACGAGGGAAAACCTCAGCTCTTGTTAGCGGCCCAAGGCTATTCTGCGCAGAAGGACCCATCCTGGCTTCTTGCCTGGGAGACGCAACAGTCTTGGGAACAGTCATTCGTGGAGCTGCCTGATATGGCGTATAATGATGAACTCAAACGAGACAATACTAATCCTAAACATACAAAAGGAATGTCTAAGCATTCTGATGCTCACAAGGCTTCAAAGCATGATTATTTTCGAAGCAGAGGAATTGTGTTCATAAGCAAAAGCCGGAATGCAGAGACTCCGCTTGAAACGCGATTAGATGAACTGAGGAGACGCCCGCGCTATACTATAAGAGACTTTTGCCTGATACGTCCTTGGGATCGGGACTTCACTGTCGACACAGACACTGGAGCCATCTCGCTGTGGTTGACAAGACTAGCATCTATCAGCTCGACCCCCACGGAGGCCCTAAAAGAGGTCTTTGACGACCTGCCTCTGTACAGAATTCACTTTGGCCAAGGCCAGTCGTTCTTGGCTGGGAGCCAGCACCCACTCGATAGGTTGTTGGAATATGATGACGAGATTTTCGCCCTGGATCCTCAGTTGGGTCTCAACAGTTCCAAGCTCAAACACCTTGTTTACATGGTTCTCAGAAAAAGGGGCGACAGAAGGCACAGATTAGTAACGGGTATCTTGTACTTGTGTTTGTGCCCTACACGATCGCAGCTCTTTGTAAACAACCGATATCTCACGGAGATCCAAGGAAACTTTTATGTAGCCCGGGAAAAACTATATGTTCAAGCCAAGTTGGATAAATCGGTGTACGAAGTTGATGAGAGATCGAGGTGGGCACTGAATGAGAACATCTACGTTTTCCCGCTGGTTTTCCCCGGCAACAAAGATACAACCGTGGGCCACATCTTGCCAATCCTGACCGGTCATGAAGGTTTTGGACGGTTGCAAGAGAACAAGGATTGTGCTGCGCGTAGACAAAGAGTTATAGGAGACTACCTTGAGTTTGAGTTTGAGATTGATTTTGCATTTCGGCCAGGTGTCACGAAACAAGGTGAATGCATGGCGGAGAATGCATGGCGTGCCTTCCATTCATCGATGGCGTGGGAATGGCGCAAAGCCGGGGAGCAAAATAGGCTGCTTTGGCGGAGACTTCCTCAGTTGCAATATGGAAGCAACGAAACTCATGAGGATCTAGGACTTCCGGGTGGGATGATGCGAATTCACCTAAGGTGCCGACTGGAAGCGGTTGCGAAAGTCATTACTGACAAGGCTCAGTCATTGGGCATTACGGCGCTCTGGGAGACTCGAATGTTAGGGGACACTCCTGAGGCCTTTGAGAAGAACATACGAAGCGAGATGACGGAAGAGGACTTCTTGGTTCCCAATCCAAGTTCCGGACGAAGCGGGAACAGTCTGAGGCCTGATGAGTTTGCCGGGTTGGACGGTTACACTTACAGAGTCTGCATTGTTTAGGTAGTCTCAATGATACGCATAAGACTGTCTCACTATTCGTATCGAACGCTACAAGCTATGTCTGCTGTGCACACCCATCAACACAATTACATATATAATTAGTTGTCTAATGTTTTGAAGGGGGATCGTGGTGCTAAATGATAATAGCATTCAGTCACTGGATCCAATCGGAACTATAATGGGCAACGTGACTATGACCTTGCCATGTTGACACCGCGACTCTCTACTCCTCCTCGGCGGGAACCTCATCCTCGTACTCCTCGGCATACTCGTCATCCATGCCCGCGTCCTGGTACTGCTGGTACTCGGACACCAAGTCGTTCATGTTGGACTCGGCCTCTGTGAACTCCATCTCGTCCATACCCTCGCCAGTGTACCAGTGCAAGAAGGCCTTTCTGCGGAACATGACGCTGAACTGCTCGCCAACTCTGCGGAAACTGTTCTGAATCGCGGTGGAGTTGCCGATGAACGTGGACGAGACGTCGAGACCCTTGGGCGGGACGGAGCAGTGGGCAGTTTGAATGTTGTTGGGGATCCACTCAACAAAGTTGGTGGAGTTCTTGGTCTTGATGGCGTGAATTTGGTCTTCGACCTGCTTCATGGACACCTTTCCGCGGCTGTGGAGGGGGTTAGAAGTAGCTCGAGAAAAGGGGGGGTGAGAGCACAACTTACAACATGGTGGAGCAAGTCAAGAAGCGTCCATCTCTGAAGTCGGACGCCAACATGACGTTCTTGGGGTCGAACATTTGCTGCGTGAGCTCGGCGACGCCAAGGTTCGAGAAGGACGCGGAAGAGGTGAGGGGCGCGAATCCGACGGTGAAGAAGTGCAATCTCGGGAAGGGCACGAGGTTAACAGCCAACTTGCGGAGATCAGCGTTGAGCTGGCCGGGGAAGCGGAAACCAGTCGTCAGGCCGGACATGACTCTCGACACGAGGTGGTTCAAGTGTCCGTATGAAGGATGGGCCTGCTTAAGCGTGCGTCTGCAGATATCGTACAGCGCCTCGTTATCGATACAGAACGTCTCGTCCGAGTTTTCAACGAGCTGGTGGATCGACAGGGTAGCATTGTACGGCTCGACGACGACTTCAGAGACCTTGGCGGACGGGAGGACGGAGAAGGTGGCCATCATACGATCGGGGAATTCTTCGCGGACCTTTGCAATGAGCAGAGTGCCCATACCGGATCCCGTACCGCCACCGAGCGAGTGGGTGATTTGGAACCCCTGAAGGCTGTCGCAAGCCTCGGCCTCGCGGCGCACGACGTCCAGGACGGAGTCGACGAGCTCGGCGCCCTCGGTGTAGTGGCCCTTTGCCCAGTTGTTACCGGCGCCGGATTGGCCGTTGACCATGTTGTCCGGGCGGAAGAGGTTGCCCAGCGGGCCGGAGCGGATCGCCTCCATCGTGGCGGGCTCGAGATCGACCAAGACAGCGCGAGGGACATACTTTTGTCTACCGGCCTACGTTGCATGAGTTTGCGGTTAGAATTTTGAGAGATATCATGAGAGGGGGTGAGGCGCATGTGAGATCATGAGGCGCGTGTGAGATGAGAGTAGTACCTCGGTGAAGTAGACGTTCAATCGCTCAGATTGCTGCTCATCAGTTCCAGTGAACCTGGGAAGAACGTCAGCATACAATGCTCATGGATTTACATCATGGTGACTGAGCAGCTGGAAAACTCACTGTCCATCCTGATCCAAGCCATGCTCAGGGTGAATGGTTTGCCTGTTGTCGCAGACATTAATTGCACGTTCAACTAAGTCCTTTCCACATTGATCTTAATGTCGAGATTGGCATGTTCATACCAGAAAGCAGTTCCGACTTGGTTGCCCTACAAAGACTCATCATCAGTAAAGGCGCGTTGTGACGCGTTGAGCGCCGGACAGGGGCATGGGGAGACGTACACACTGGCCGGTTTGGAGGTGAATCTAGAGTGGATCACATAGCGTTAGTCTTCAAGAGGGACTTTACAAAATATGGTACTTGAACATGTGCGCGCAACTCACAATTTCACGCATGATGCTGGTTTGAGGATAAGACGGGGTTGTGGTATATTACGATGGTTGAAGGACGCAAGACGCAGGACGCAGATTTTTACCCCGCTATCGAATTGTTGAAATCACGACAGGTGGTCATCTTATAGCGGGATTCCTTATTTCACAACAAACCCCTATCCTGTCCGTATCGCACGCTCGTCTCGCTTGCGCTGTGCGCTTGTTCGCCCCGGATAGGCCCGACCGTGGACTCTCGGTCTGGACTCGGAAAACCATCCCCCACATGTTGGTACATGCATCTTGTTAAACTGCTGCCTTTTTTTGGAGTTTGATAGCTGCCTGGTTTATGATGTGTTTCTCTGGCACAGCAGAGACATGGGCTTCCCGGGCTGTCACACTTTGATGTGGGAAGACAGAATAGACGGTGAGCGGTCAGAGCTTTTTGGGGCACTTTTTGGGGGGAATCTGTGTGGGAAAAAGAGAGAAAAATTAAGAAATAAAACTAAAATAAAGACAAAAAAGAACTTTGGCTGCCCAACCAACGATTCGAGCGGAGGTATCACCTGGGAAGAGACGCAAGCTAGACCATGTTGGGCCCATGACCCGTAGAAACGATTGGTAAATGTTGCTCTGTGCCACTCGAAAGTCTCTTGTGGATGTGTTCAAAATCCCCAAAGAAGAGTCTCCATGTCTCCATGTTCGGCGATAGGCGCATCATCAAGACTCAAAAGGTGTGGTGTCACCATACTCGTACATCTTGTTGAAGAGCGTTGCCTAACGCCGTGACGCCGTTCCAAACCGCCCGACCAATGACTCTTTGGGATATACAGCTGCCTGCACTCCCTCGAAACAAGCCAGTTGTTGTCCGTCGCCGTGTTGATTCACGGTTGCTAGGTGTCTGCCTGCGTGTGTCACACCACCACACCCCATCAACCGACCGGTGCCGCCGCCGCCGCTTGGCCGGACGAGCCTGATCAGAGAGTCCGAATGCCCCCTCCCCTTCTCCCGTTCAGTCCGTGCTCATTGCCCCTCGCTCTCGGCGGACGAAGAGAGTTCGGCGCGCGCTTGAAATTCCCCCATGGCTCGGCCAACATTCCAGCGCGCACCCACGTGGGACGATCCAAACATGGAAGAAGTTAGGAACGGTGCAGCTGAGGAAAATCAGGGAAAATGGAGAGCTCAGCTTCCCCGCTCCCTCGAGTCCCCGGTGGCCTAGATTTTACATTTGCAGCGTTGGGTTTCGCGTCTCACGACGGCTTGGCTGTCTGCAGCACCCACGGTCTGCAAAGACGGACTATGCCGACGTCGTTGCTGACGGATATGGCCTCTCCCACATCCCGGAGCCACGGAGTCTCTCAAAGGTCAAATGCTGCATAGGACCTAAGCTTGCTGCGGACAGCCGAGTCGTCGTAACAGCGCGGAGCCGCGAACCCAACGCAGGAGGCAGACCTGCCCGGCCGTGGGGGAACGCGTATGTATGTGGCTTGAGAAGGCTGCTGATTCTGGACGAGAACTGTTATCCAAGCCCATCGCAGCGGAAGCCAAGAAGAATTGTTAATGAAAGATAAGGTTATTCATTCTTAAAAGTTTATCGCCAAGCGAGCATTGCTGCCATTGCACGACAGGTAAAGCAGAGTTTACATGTCCGCGCCCCTGACATGCCAATGATATCAGAGACATGCTGTGCGAGTGCTGATCATTCACATTCGACGAGGGCCTGCTTTGCCAGCTTCAGCACATCAACCAAGCAACCTTTGACACGGAGGGTGGTGATCCAGCCACTGACGAGGGGCTCAAGATGATCTGGAATGCAGATGTTTTGGGCGATCAGGGGCAGACGGGCAAAATGAAGGGTGTTGGCGGCTGGGCAGCGGGAGCGGCAGCGTGTTTTCCTTTTCTTCTTCTTCTTCCTCTCAGCCTTCTCTCAACTCGACCGTCACCCCGGGGAGCCTCACGAAAAAGTTTGCATGAAAGCGTCGTCGTCGTCGTCTCCTTCAGCCTCTTGCAGTAAACCCCTCATACGTCTTGGGTAGATCTAGACACCGATATGGCCTGGACCCTTTACTCGAATCCGATCAGAGTACCCGACCGTTTACCAAAAGCGATCGGTGACAGCGGCATCTAGTCTGGCTAGACGATAGAATCTGGTTTAGGGGGACTCGTAAGTTCTCTTTCAGACTGAGACATAGTGTCTTGAAGTTAAATGAACCGGAGGATGTGGCTTGCGCTTCAAAGAAACTGAGGAGTTTTCACCCCCAAAGCCCCGTGTTGCTGAATGCGGTAAACCTGCCGGGACTCGACTGCAGCTGTGCAATCCCCATGGTACCGACTCCCGAGGGAGACTCCTGAAGAATGAGAATGGAATGAGATATATCTACATCCTCGAAACCCTGGTCTATGCGGGTTTCCTTTTTACTCTCCCATCTTCAAGTCACCACTTGGAACACTCTCCTTGATTGCATCCTTTTCTGCTCTTCTTCAGCTTCTCGACACTCCTATTTTCCCGGGTATCATCAATCTCAGTCTTCAGCTCAGTGGCAGGAACCATCCTTCCATTCAGCCAGTCATTCCTTACGACGACTTTACTTCGACCAGAAAGATCCCGGCGATTTCGACATATCCGAAGCCCCCAATTCCCACATCTCAAACCACCGCCATGCACTTCTCATCCAGCGCAACCTTCGCCTTGGGGCTGATGGCCACGCAAGCCGCGGCGAGGGGCATCGTCAAGGTGCCAAAGTTCAACGTAGCAGCCGGAACCCCGACCTACACGACCACTCTCACCGCCCCCTTGACGCCTGTTCCCACGATCTACGCGCAGGCGACGGTGACCTCGTCATCGACCTCGTCCTCGGCGACTGCCACCCCAACTGCCTCCTCCAACTCGACCCTGAGCGCCGACTTGCAGAGAGCCCTCGACCTCCACAACATCTACCGCGCCGCCGTTGGCAACGCCAACTTGACCTGGGATGACGACTTGGCCGCGAGCGCTCAGGTCTGGGCCAACCACTTGACGACTGTCGGCAGCCTGGTCCATGACTCGAACCCCGGCGGCCAGGGAGAAAACTTGGCTTCGCAGTCGGGCGGCACCACCACCTACTTCACCAACGGTGTTCAGCTGTGGTTGGATGAGAAGCCGTTGTACGATGGACAGCCCATCCGCACCACTGGATCGCCCAACTACTTGAACTATGGTCACTACAGTGAGTACTTTGGGCTTTGATTGAGAGGAACATTGCAACTAACAAGTTGATAGCTCAAGCCATTTGGAAGAACACCCAAAAGGTCGGCTTGGCCATGGCCACCGACTCCAAGGGTACCACCTTCGTGGTTGGACGTTACTTGCCTCCTGGAAACTAGTAAGTATATCATCTGATACTCATCAACCTCACAAGTCTAACTGTTCTCTTTCAGCATCGGCCAGCTGCCCTACTAAGCATGGAAGGATGGACTACCAGTGTTGTTTGAGATGTTTTAATCAACACCGTTGGCTGGGCTTGGCTTTTCTTTCGATTCTAGACCGCTTCTCCTTCACTAAGTTGCTTATGCTCATGGCAAGATCTCCATGCCTTGGACCACTTCACTGCACATAGATTGTACAGTTTCCGTTCAGAATCTTCAACAATTCGAGAGAAATGAAAAAAGCTTAGACACAATACCGAGCAATCAATGAATCAACCTCTGCCACACTTGCAATGAAAACAAAATGCCGAATCCGGAAAAGGGTTCAAGGTAAGGTTCTGACTTGGCAACGCCGTCTCATCTTTCGCCGAGTGTCCCCGCCCCCACCAAACAAAGACCGCCGTCCGAAACTCGGCGGACGAACCGGACGTGCACTCAACTCATACTCACATTTCCAACACCACTCACTCCCAGTCTCGTCCGTCCGAAAAGTACACAAGCCGTACACAGCATCAATGTCTCCGCGCCTCGTACTCACATAATGGCAGGCACTGAGCGAGGTACCATCACAGTCCGCACCGCTGCTTCGGAACGGCGAGCTGCAGCCGCCAAACGCCGCTTCGTCCGCAGGGGCACCAAGAGTTGCTGGGAGTGTCGCAGACGCAAGATCCGCTGCATCTTTGACGATAAGGGACCTCGAGATACGTGTAAAACGTGCTGGCAGAAGGGGACCCCGTGTGTTAGTCAGGAGTTCCCCGAAGAGGATGCCCAGACGGCTCCGGCTCCGGTGGGCAGTCTCGGGGACCGGCTGAACCGGGTTGAGCGACTGGTCGAGCAACTGTACCACCGGGTGGACGATCTTGATGTCCCTTTGCCCACTTCGCCGCAGGAGAAGGTAACAGAGAGCTGTAGCCCCAGAGCAGAAGAATCAGCCGCCATAGGCCCGACTACAGATTCTGAGGCTCTCCGCAGCCCTTCATCAACTCGGAACGCAGACTCATCAACGGTAGGGGTAGGCCAAACGCTTGAAAGTATTGTCTACTAACGAACGTCTTTTTATTGATCAAGATCCAATCACAATGTGAGAGCAATGATGCACAACCGAACGAAGACTCATCACGTCCGAAGGCACCCTCTCATTATGAGACCACGGCAACTATCCGCCCAGCAGTCAATGCAAAATTGGCTGCCTACACAAGACAGCTTGCCGCCGCAATACCCGCCATAGAAGATTGCAGGGTCATCTACAAGCTCTACTCCGAAGCTGACATTGTCTTTCAGCTCATGTTCACGCCCCACTGCCTATTGGAGCAGCTAAAGCCAGAGTCCGTCGAGCACTACTTGGAGTCTCTCAGAACACCAATGCATCCCACTCTACTGGCCAAGAAGATGCTCATGTTGGGTACGATGCTTCAGCGCGTTCCTACCCACGCTGGAGAGGATGCGTCCGAAGAAACCTATCGTCTCGTGGACAAGCTTGCGGAGACGGCCATCTCTGTGGTGTGCGAGAATAATGTGCTCCTGGGCACGCTCGACGGCCTCGAATGTCTTATTCTGCAAACTGTCTACCACGCCAACGGAGGCAATCCAAGATTATCACTGCTGACCTGCCGCCGCGCGATTACTGTGGCCCAGTTGATGGGCCTGCACCGCCCACACGATCCGGCTACCATTGAGACAGTGGACCCGAATTCGACAGCCGTTCCTGGCTTCGTGTGGTTTCGTCTGGTATACTTAGAGCGCTTCATCTGCCTACTTCTAGGGCTTCCCAGCAGCACCCATGATGCAAAGGTTATCAACGACGAAAAGACGCAGACGTACATCAACAGCCATCACATTGACAGGCTCGAACAAGTTCACTCTTCCATCGCCGCCAAGATCATACAACGAAACGAGTCGGGGTCATATCTGTTCGACATGGAAACCACTCACGCACTAGACCAAGAGCTCCAAGTTATAGCAACAACCATGCCCCCGCGATGGTGGACTATTCCCAACTTCACCAAGCCTCACAAAGACCCCATGACAATAGTCCGTAACAGCCTCAACTTAGCCAACCAGCTCTTCCACTTCTTCCTCATCATCGAACTCCACCTACCCTTCATGCTCCGCCACTCCAAGAACGGCGCGGCCAGCAGCAGCAGAATGGCCTGCGTCGACGCGAGCAGGGAGGTCCTCTCCAGGTTCATCGCGATCCGCAACCCGGAGGGAATATGCAGCATCCCCGACGCCGCCGACTTCTTCGCGCTCATCGCGGCCATGACGCTCATGCTCGCACACATTGACGCTCGCAGACGCGATAGGGGGAAAGACATCCTCGCGCACCAGAGGCATACGGACCGCGACAAGGTCGAGCAGACGTTGGAGCACATGCGTGACGGGAGCTCCAAGAATACGGATATGCTTTCTATGAAGAGTGCCGACGTCTTGAAGAGCTTGCTTGCGATCGAGGCTGATGCCGCTGGGGGTTCGACGTTCACTGCGAGTCTGAGTTCTGCGTCGACGCCGGCTTCGGCTTCGTGTGGTACTGGTGGTGAGGGGCGGAGCACAGGTGATGCCAGAAATGTCCTGCAGCTTAAGATCCCGTGTTATGGGACGGTTATCATCTCGCCTGATGCTCCTCCTTCTCGCGAACCTTGGATGCCTGTCACTCGTAACCAGCAGGGTGTGGTTCCGGACAGTCGTGCTCCGGGACATCTCAGTGTTGCGAGCCCCTTTGTTGCAGGCCCCATGGCAGGAGTATGTCCAGGAGGAGGGGCTAGTGTGATACCAGGCTCGAGTGGTCAGGGTGAGAATATGCAGCTCGATCCCAATGTCGATCCAAGATGGCTTTTTGAACTCGGAAATCCTAACCTTTTGGGCAATGGAATCGCCGCTGGGTTAGAGGACTGGCCGTTTCAGGGGGTTGATGCTGCCTTTTTTGACAGTATGATTAGGGGGTTCGAAGGTGGTGATGACTATGGCGGTTCAAATGTGCCATGAATGCATTTGAATCCTCATTCGAGAAAACAAAAAGGACGCAAAGAAAATGAATCTGCCAGGGAAATGCAAGAGTGGAACTCTTTGGCGAAGGACCGTATTCATAATGATTCGTCTATGGACAGGATTCCAACATCATCATACATCAAGTAACTAAAGCATATGGGGTATCGAAACAGTCATCCCAGTCTTTCTTCCCAGACGACCAAAACTTCTCTAGAATATCCTTCGTCGCTAGAGGTAAATACGCACCAAGGTGTACACTCTCATCAGCTAAACGATTAGCGATGAATGACCTTACCGCCGCGCTCCCCGTTTTAGCCTCGAACCCAGCAACAATCATCGGCCACATGACGCAGCTCCTCAGAACCTGAGACCCGGCAGCTTTCTCGAGGAGGGCCATGAGCTTGCTGCCATGTATAGTCTTTACGGCCCGCCATCCCGCGGACGCAGGTATCACACAAACGCTCTGCAGGGAGGCAATGGCGAAGACCACGACGGCGGACTGATACACCTGCGCCATTGTCAAGAATTGCTCTTGCGATTCGGTCTTGGCGGCGGACCAAGTTTCGGGGGAGAAGTCTATGATCCGCTCGAGGAGGTCTTCGGCTTCTGTCTGGAGAGAGTCCAGCGTGTCTGACGACTCTGGTTGCGTAGCGAGGTACCGAAGACGGTTGACGCAGATGATGTCGATGAAGAGTTGTACGGGGCAGGGGAGGAAGGGATAGTATCCTGTTTCGTAGATTTCTTGGGTGAGATCTTTCATTTCGAAATTGACTAGTGGTGAAACTTGGTCGTATGCCGGGCTTGTTGAGTTTGCCAAGTTCTCGATGCTGTGGGTGTGAGTTTCATCAGTGCTCTGAACCTACAGTAGTAGCGGTTCATGTAGAGTGAGGTACTTACATCTTGCAGAATAGGATTACAGTCTTGTAGCCTGGCGCAGCGTCGCAAACACTTCTCAGGCCACCTCGCATCTCGATGATGGCCATGAAACCATTGAGATGGTGCCGCCAGTTGGAAGCCGTTGTTGATCCCATAAGCTGCAGACAAACAGGTTAGGTCAGAGTTTCTCGGCTAGCGAGGGGACACGGGAGGCGGAAGGGGGATGGAGATGGAAGGGGGCCAAGACACGCACATCTGCGTATAAAAACACAATCACCGCCGCCATCGTGTAGTCGGAGATTCTTCTCTTTTCATTTTGGTGGCTGATCTCTCTGTTCAAAGCCTGAATTGCGGTACATCGATGCTGATGGAATCGGGCCGTGACTTCTGCTTGATGCAAGTCGTTTTTCTTCTTAGACAAGCTCAGCAAGCGGTGGTTGATGGCCATAGCAACGAGAGTGTGTTGGATAGTATCTCCCATGTACTGGATGTACGACACGGGTACAAGCCAGGGGCTGTTGGTCAACTGATTCGCTGCAAAGAATGGGTAAATCTGCTCGTTCCCTGTTGCAGATCGAGCATACATCAGTTTCTTGGTTTCTCGAACAAGACAAAGCCCCGATCCAGTAACGGAGTTTGGTGACTTACAGTAAAGTGTGGCCTCAATAATGTCGCAAGTCTCATCTCTCAATTCGTGACCGGGAAAGAGGTGCACGAGATGGCCAGTACGAGCACTCGAAACCTCGGATCTCACAGCCTTTGCAAGTTCGGACCCGCTCTGCTCTTTGGAACTCTCCCTTGATGAAACGTCGTCTTTGTTCTTGTTGGCAGGCGGGCTTTTCCGTTTCCACGTCCGAGTCTTGACCTTGCCAGGGGCAAGCCATACCAACGGCTTCTTGTCCTCGTAACCGGGACATACGACGCCGCTAGTCTTGCACTTTGAGCAGACGGGACGTGCCGAGTCGCAAACTAGTCGACGCCGTTGACATTCCCAGCATTGCCTTCTTCCGCTATGAGGACCTGTCTGTGGATGTGCTTGTACTTCTGTCTGCGGCGGTGCACCCACTGCGAGCGCCAATTGTCTAGAAGTGGAAGTCATCGTCTGATTAGGGGAAGTTCTCCGTCTCAACGGCTCGTCAAACGGCTTTACGTTTTGAGCTATTGAAAGTAGACGGAGTGACGGGATGGCACATCCATCCTGCCACCCGCTGGCTCGGGTCGAGTTTAATACATGTGGTGCGGAGTTGAGCTGCAGTTACCTAGGAGGTCAACCACAGCTAACCGGCGACGGCGAGCAGTGCCTGACCAGGGGCACAGTGCATGTCTTGGCCACTTCAATAGCCTAATGAGGTAAAGCGCGGGGCATTCCTTCGAGATCATTGCTTCTCTAGCGCGTCAGCAAGACAGCCCTATGAGAGATGAGAGGGCGATGATAAGCGAGCGGTGCGCAAATGGATGAGTCTGATGATATCATTGGATGATCTACATGGTACTGACCTTAAAGCTATGAGCTATGAGGCGTGCTGAACGAGAGCAAGGTACTGGAAATTTGGAGAACCTCTACAAAGCCAATCAGACCACAAGAGCCATAGGTATCCATCGTAAGTAGCCCAATGAAACTCAGGAACACGTAGCAGGTGAGGTGAAGCTGGAAGATGCTTTCAAAACATGAATCACATAGAGGTAGTAATAGCACGATTTCGTCAACGTTCAAACTTTATTATCGTGACTCTTTCTTCTGGGCTGTTCTTGTGTAACTTGACAACTTGTCTCTGAAATTTGGGTTTCACTATCACACGCTTTTGCAACTAGGCCTGTATAGGTGAGCAGACACCGTCAAAGTGCATCGGAAGCCGGAAATACCTACTTCCGAGCCACTTGCGTCGATGGTTTAGTGGTAAAATTCTCCGTTGCCATTCAGCAGCGTCGGGGAGCCGGGGGTTCGATTCCCCCTCAACGCATTCTTTTACTTTCAGGGATCCTCGCTACTTTTTGCACCTGACAATCGCTCCTCAATGGGATTCAGGTAGGGCTGCGTACGTAGAGGGTTCGTTATCATTAGTGAGTCGATTGTAAATCAGGTGGACGATTGCAACATCTACATTGCACACCTGACTGAGGTGGGCATCCGAAGGGCAGACAAGTCTAGGCGAATGAACATACCAGTCCACCAACCACAGGCTCAATGTAAAGTGTAGTTTCTGTTGGATTTCATGTCGACCTCCGAGCTTCAGACGTTGGAGAGAATATCGGTGGTGAGGCACTTTCCTCGGTATCGGTTCTGTGAAGTGTCCGGCGAATGATTATGGATAGCTTTTATCATGCGATCGTCCGAGAGACTGAAGTCAAATGTTGTGAACCGGCCCAGACTCAAACGTTACTTTGGGGCCAGCTTGCTCTACGTCTAGGAGCTGACTTCCCGCGTCGCAAATAGCTTCTTAGCGTCAGGGTCCAACTCCTGACCGAGCAGAAATTACAAGTGCGACCCTGTAAACTTGGGGTTGCACCGGTAGCCGGACACGTCGGAGACTCGCGACATGAACGCGTTGTGAACCCGCACTAGCTTCACATCAGTAGGCGCTCTCATTTCTCAGACTTGTGACTGGAGTGAGAAGCCATCCGAGACTATTCCGTACTCTGTACATCGCTAGGCACAAACGACGCTGAAGGTTCCGCGTGCCTTGACTATCCGTCGATTAGACTTTGGGTTCATGTTCAAGGCCACATCAGTGCAACCACAATGTGAGGATGCGGGACGAAAGGTAATCACTTACACATCGTTGGCAAATGGCCACTTCCGCCGAGGGTGTGCAAAGGCCTTGAGGCTGGAGCATAGTCAAAGTTGAGATGAACTCTGAGTCTCAAGACTCCTGCACCTCCCCTATCCATTCATCTCCCCACGCGCCTGAGTGCAGTCATCACCACTTGATCACCACACTTAACCAGTGATCCCCAGGGACTGATTTTGGTCAAGTCGAGGACCGTGCTCTGTCGCAAAGTCCGACATGAACCTTGTCCCCTGCAGCCCTGCCCTGGCTCCGTGGATCCTTGCAAGTTCCATTGTCGAACGGTGAGGCGGGGGCATTCTCTTTCCTCGCTCCCGAGTTTCCCCAGGACAAAGACCGCCTACGAGTCCGAGAAGGATCTTTGCTGAGAGGGTTTGCACAGGCTTCAAACGGGACAGCTTATCGACCCCTAGGCACGTCGCGAAGGCTTAGCGATCCTACCGGAAGAGCCGTAACACCAGCCACTGCAGGCCATGAGCGCTTCATCAGCATCTAGATGCTGAAAGAAAAGCCGCCGGCGAACCCACTGGCCCCGATAAAAAGAGACTGGGATGTTGGAACTTTGAAATTACGCAAGTCGTCCTGCGCCGCATTGCGGATATTCCGTATGCATGTACGCTTTGACTTCGGAGCAGAGGCAACAACAATCCAGCCAAAGTTCCGTAGTCAAGACCTCGGGTCCGAGTCTTCTCGTCATCTGGTCTAAGATCACATTTGGAGCTGAATAGAAGAAGGCAAAGAGGATTGTACGCCACTGCTGTTTGGCGTGTGAAATCTTCGTTATCTCATATCCCATCATACTGGTATGTATAAGCCACTGTGCAAACGATACGCGTGAAAAGGAACAATCGCAGGGCAGGGAAGCTGAGCGGTAGCTTCATGAATCGTGTACATGATACGACTTCACGCGCCCACTTTGGTCTTCCCTGCCGGGTATCTGACGACGCTTTCAAGAGGCTCCCCGTTCTCCACCAACACCGTAAATGCGTAAGTAAGCCTATTTGAGGCTGCGTGTGCTTGCTGTCCACTGTCACTCATAACGACGCCTGCCTTGTCGTCCTTCTTATCGCCGCCGCATCGTGACTGTCACTGCTGTCAACGTCCTCTTCCGAGATCCAGAATTCTGTTCGCTTCTGGATACCTGGTTCAAGTGGGATGTCGCTGTGGTCGCTCTTTGACAAGGAGGGCCTGCGCTCCGAGCGTATAAATGTGTCGGTGTTACTGCCGTTGTCGCCATGTAATCTGCTGCCGTTGTTGTAAGCAGATCGAGAGCGATGTGACGAATTTCCGTATGCTGAGGGATGGGAACTGGGGAGCTGTTTTTCTCCAAAGAAGTAGAACCAGAGGGATCTGGAGAGAGCCAGGTTTCCAGCAATGATTCCGAGGTAAAGCTCCAAGTTGGACCAAATTGCGGTTACTGCGTATACGTCTAAGCATGCTGTTAGCTAGGTCTATTTGGACGCCCGACAAAGGAATGGTCTTACAACTCAAGTCGTTAGTTACCAGGCCGAGAGAGGCTGCTCTTGCAATACCGAAGCCAGTTGCGCTGCCAGGGAGTGTCAGTTAACTAGTTCGATTTGAGGGGTTAGAAGTTGCTCACATCAAACCGAGACTCATTAATGCGCCGACCGAGAGTTTGGTCGACAGTGGTATGCGGACTTGCCATACTACAACAAGAGGCAACAAGGAGCATAATAAGTCTGTAGCGACGGAGTATGCTAATGGGCAAATGTGTCAGTCGCAAGCCACAAAGATGACACGTCCCTGTGCCTGACTTACAGATAGTCAGGTAAATCGAGTATATTCGAATCTTGGCGTCCCAGCACACTCCATTTCCTGTCCAGTATGCCTCGACGGGATCGCACTCGGCGAGCAGGATGATGATGACGCCAAAGTTGGTGATGACCAGACCAGCCATGACGGACCACAAAAAGTACTTGAGCCGGCTGGAGTCTTTGATGCGGAGCAGTAGGAGCATGATGGAGCACTTGAGCAAGCAGATACTGGCGAATAGAAGGATTTGCGCGAACCATCCAAGCATGCTGTTGTTGACATATTCCTCTGTCGAGATGTACCATCGATGCCTCCCATTTCCCGAGTTGCCCTGAGCGCACTGGACACCATATCTGACGATACCGAGGCTGGCGACAATTCCCATAAGATAGTCATCCCACCCCAGATGCCGTAATGCGAAGCGAACATATAGGCGGATCGAAGTTGTGAAGACGACAAAGAAGATCAGTACGCCAGAGACACCAAGGAGGATCGGGTTGACGTTCTCGTCCGGCGGCAGCGGATTCGGAGGGGTGACTGGCGCCATCGTGAGCGCCTACGTAGGAGTCTGGTGGACTCAGGCCTGGGTAGCGTGAAAGGAAACGCCAGGACAAGGAACGAGGGTGCAGCACGCAAGGAAATAACAGGCCATGCGCTGGATAAATGTATGAGAGAGAAGACGAGGGCCAGCGGGTAATCGACCCACGGGATAGTCTCTGCACAAGGCAAAGACGAGGACGATCGCCAAGATCTGCTTTTGGATGGCAGCTCGTTTACCCCCGGACTTTTAGACGTCCCACTCGACGTGCGGCCTTGAGGAGGAAAAGGGAGCGTTGGTCGTCTTAAGAGCTGCGACGAAGCTGAGAAGGAGGAGGAAGAGAACAAGCTACATGCAATTCCGCAGTAGCCAGCCCTGCATGCGCGGATGGAGGAAATATGAGATGCAAGGAGGTCAAGGCACCACGGCGCATATGTCTCAGATGGGCGAGACCCAATCTACACATCCCGCGGTTGGGTCGGGAGGAGGGTGGTAAATGGTAATGATTTGATGCCTTGGACGCCGACGACGCCGAGGTGGTGTTGTGTTGGTTTGGTAGGATGCAAGATTGCCCAGCCTTTGGTTCGATTCTTCCAAGATACGGATAATAGGCATTTGGTAGTTTGTTTCGTTGCCCCGAGCAGAGAGGCTGCATGCCAAAGGACGGGAGCTAAACGCAAATGTCTAAGACCTGATTCTCTCAACTATGTCCATTTGAGGGATCGTTGTGTCTTGCATGGCAAAGATGGGGGACCCATCCCCCAAAAGAAGAAGGGGTCTTGGCTGGGAATGACTGGGAGTCCCGTATTGTGGAAGGCCAGGTTGGACGAGCATCCTCTCCTCTTTTCTCTTTCGATTCCCGCCCAGCTTCTGCGAGCTCCTCTCTGGTTGCTTGGATACAAATTGAGTTTGAGCGGCCTCCATTCCCCTGCGTATCTCTCTGGGTTGTTGATGAGGGCACGCCGCGCCCGAAGGAGGGATCAAAGTTGACCCTTGCACGTGTGGATTCTTCTCATGCTGCGACTTGCAATGCCTGCGCATCTGACAGGCTGTGGGATGTTGCGCAATGTGCCGCAGGTCTCCCAAGGGGTAAATATGATTTACGTACACAGACTTGTGGGCTCTTCTTGCCAATAATTACCAAGCAAACACCCGCAGCAGAGTTGAGCAAATGGAGTAAGTTGATGACGATCGTCTTCTTACTTTCACTTTTTGACTTTCCCATCCCATCTTTCTCCTCCTTATCTCTTGACGTCTCAACGCACACAACACATGTAGTTGGAGGCCATGAGACAGATTCGGACACAGACCAGAAAGCATAACGGGTAGCCGAGCGGCGCGCGGCAGCTTTTCTGCTCTTCCCGCTCGAGAAACGAGGGGCGGACGCTGGCGAGAGTTTCGGTCGTGCGAATGGGTGGTGCCCGAGTTTAATTAATGGAGGGTATTGGTACGACTATCAGGGGTATCCTGGGCACTCCGTCAGCAGGCTGCGCGGCGAGGGACGAGCTTTCTAAACAAAGATACCAAAGAGGATCCAAACCGTTGAGCCCCCGAGGGGAAACTCGGGAGAGAGAGAGAGAAACGGGGAGACGGGGAAGAGCCGGGAAACGCCGTTGTTAACCTGTCAATGCTTCGAGAGACGTGGAGTTATGATGGAATTGTTCATAACTGACTGAGACGGATGATTTGTTCAGACAGGGTCACGTCGACTTGTCCAAATGGGTCTGACAGGCCTATCCTTGAGTCATGAATCTAACCCCGGAAGCGACCGGCCGGCGCAGCTCCGCAATCGTCAACGGTGCTTCGCCGGATAGGCACGTTGATGGCACGGTAACATTCGCCCGGGTACACAGCCATCCCCGTCGGCGAACACGTTGAACCGTGGGACGGTTGATGTTGATTCGCGGCGTAGTAGGGGGACTTTGCTGTGCCGTTCGTCTCTGGTAGAGCAGAACGCAACCGAACCTGCATAAGTGTCTGACATTCCCTCGTCATCCATTCTTTTCTCCCCTCTCTTCAAGGTTGGGGTAGACAGTACAGTTTGGCGGTTGTCCAACAAGTCGTGTTGTTGGACCGGCGCGCTGGTAGCTTACACGCGCATTTATAAGTGCTTACGCTGCCGTGTGACACCACCACAACATACCGCCACCATTTCCTCCCCTCTCGGGACTTCTTCAGCGGTACCTACGAATAGTCTATAGCATATGAGGATTCTCGGTACCCCACTAAGCTACCATCATGTTCCCGTCCCTCCAGACCTTGAAGGACGGGCGACCTGGGGCGGAGAACAAGGATATTTCTTTGGGCCGCGTGTATGATTACTGGCGCCGTTTTCTTGGACTATGGATAAGAAGCCCTGCTAACTTGCTAAAGAAGCTTGTAAGGGGATTAATAACCGCATTATTGACATTCGACTTTCACTTGAGGCAATTTTGGGGGCTGCATACAAAAAGAGACACGATCCTGCTGCCGCATGGAACATGGCACGCCACAGCACGCCCTCCACTTCGTGTCGATTGGTACCATTGACGAGGTTTCCCAAACCTGGACTTAATGTGCAGATATCACGCTTATTGCTTTTGAAAGCTCGAGCGTTTGCTTCTCTTTTGATCTAGACTCTAGCAGAACTTGCAGAAGCGCGTTTCCCAGATCGCCGAGCCGAGGGTTCCTAAACTTTATTTTCTCGAATGTGTGGGAAAAGATCGCTGCATCGTCTTAGCCATGCTTGTCAAGTCGAGTCTCGCCCTCGCCTCCGCGGCCCTTGTTTTGGGTGCCGCTTCTTCCTCCTCCTTCTCGTCACAGCCCTATGAGGATACCTACGATTATGTAAGTTGTTCTCATCTATGCTCTCGGACGTTTGCGTTGCTTCGTTTACGGGGTCGCTCTGTTCGACCTATTCGTTTGTGCCCTTTTTGGGTGTTTTACGTTTGCCGCGGCCCGGGGGAGGACAATTACCTGACACACTAACACTTTGTCTTTCCCACCCCCAGATCGTCGTCGGCGGTGGCACCGCTGGAGTAGCCGTGGCGGCTCGTCTCAGCGAGGGGCTCCCTGCCTCCAAGATCCTCCTCATCGAGGCGGGACCGGCGGTGTGGGATGAGCCTAAAATCAACGTCCCCGGCATGAAGGGCTCGACGCTGGCCACCAAGTACGACTGGAACTTCACAACCGTGCCGCAGACCAATGTCAATAGCCGAACTTTCACGGTCAACCGAGGCAAGGTCCTCGGCGGCAGCTCCGCCCTCAACCTCATGTCGTACGACAGGGCTGCCGCGGCCGAGTATGACGGCTGGGAGGCTCTCGGCAACCCGGGATGGAACTGGGAGACGATGATTGCCGCTATGAAGAAGTCGGAGAACTTTACTGGCATCAATACCGATACGTACGGCTCCGAAGGTGTCGGTGACAGCGGCCCGGTCAAGGCTGTCATCAACCGCATCATTCCCGAGCATCAGAAGACGTGGATCCCGACGATGAATGCCCTCGGTATTGAAAGCAACTTGGAGTCACTCGGCGGAGATCCTCTCGGAGTGATGTATCAGCCCAGTAGTATTGATCCGACTCACTACAACAGGTCATACAGTGCTAATGCCTATGTCCCCATTGCCGGATCGAACTTGGAAATCCTTTCCGGTACTATGGTTATCAAGGTCAACCTCGGGAAGGCTACAAGTAACTCGAATCTTCTGGCGGCCACGGGAGTTACTCTCTCAGACGGAACCGTCATCTCAGCCAAGAAGGAGGTCATCCTATCAGCTGGCTCCATCCAAAGCCCAGGCTTGCTGGAATTGTCAGGCATTGGCCAATCCTCGGTTCTCAACGCCTCCGGCATCGAACAAGTCATTGACCTCCCTGGTGTTGGCGAGAACCTCCAGGACCATCTTCGCATTCAAAGCTCCTACCAGCTCAAGGGCAACTTCACCTCCTTCGACATCCTCCGCAGCAACGCTACCTACGCCGCGAAGCAGCTGGCCCTCTGGAACGCCGGACAAGTCTCGCTATACGACTACACCGGCAGCGGCTACACCTTCACGACCTGGGCGCAAGCCATCGGCAACGACTCGCGCCTGATTTCCCTCGCCAAAGAAGCTGTCGGCGAAGACCCCAGTGTCGTTGACCAGAAAAAGCTAGAGTTTATGACCGATCCCTCCATCCCCCAGCTCGAGGTCATCTTCTCAGATGGCTACACCGGCGTCAAGGGGTACCCCGCGTCAACATCTCCTCTCTTCGGCGAAGGATTCTTCACCCTCATCGCCGCGATCATGCACCCCTTGAGCCGGGGCAACATTCACATCAACCCCGTCAACACCACTGGAAAGCCCGTCATCAACCCGAACTACTTTGCGCACGAACATGATCTTGAGGCAGCGGTCCAGGCCATCAAGTACTGCCGCAAGATCGCAACCACCGAGCCAATGAGATCTATCTGGGAGAACGAGTACGAACCTGGATTGGATGTTGTCCAGACCGACGAGCAGTGGAAACAGTTTGCTCTTAACACGACGTTGAGCATCTTCCACCCCGTCGGAACCTGTTCCATGCTCCCGAAGGAGGATGGCGGTGTTGTTGACAGCGACCTCAAGGTGTACGGCACCTCCAACCTGCGCGTTGTCGATGCTAGCGTCATTCCTCTGCTTATTTCTGCACATGTACAAACTGCCGTCTATGGTATTGCAGAGATCGCGGCTGAGCGCATCATCGCAGATGCTTAGAAGTAAACGCGGGGCCAGGCGTCTATGAGATGATTGATGACAGCATAGACTAGCCCTGGAGGATTCTTTTCATAATTCTAATGATAATTTTTCACCAATATTAGCACAATTCGCTTAGAGCCCTAGTGTGATAAGTTGCGCTTTCTTGCAATATCTGATGAGAAGATGACGAGACCAGGGGCTTTCCTTCGATGAAGCTGTATCACGCTTGAGAATAGCTCTCTAGTGACGCCACAGCTTTGAACTTACTGAGCCCCTTGGACCGTTGATGTCATCTTGCAGGCTGTAACGTTTGGCCATTATACAAACATCACACAGATAGAACTTGGTGTCTTGTAGAACGAGTTGACTCAGGATTGTGTACTCCAACCATGCTGATGGGAGATTCAGTGAGTGCATATACGGACAACCGTCACAGCCAAAGCATGCTTGAACCAGATATCATTTGGTAGTCTGAAATGATTTATTTACGGAGAGAAACTTTATACATAAGATAATCTAGAACGAAACATGTACGTTGAAGTGGCTCAGGAGTTCATCGTCGTCACCCGCAGCCGGTACCTGCCATGATCACATCCACTCAGCACTTGAGGGCTCAATCATCTAGTGCAGGTGAGCATGGCGTCTGAAGCGCATGGCCTGGCGCTGGGCGCGCTTGGTGACGCCGTTACACTTGCTGGTCTCGGGGGCAGTAGAGTTGGAAGAGCCGGTGACGGTAACGGCAGCAATCTTCTCGGCGGCGTGCTCGGCGGTGATCATGATGATGGATTGGGTGTTGCCGGTGGGCAAGTCAGGGTGGATGGAGGCGTCGACGACGAAGAGGTTGTCGGTGCCGTAGACCTTGGTGTCGAGGTCGACGACGGCGGTACCGTCCGTCTTGCGGCCATCGTCGGTGCCCATCTTGGCGCTACCGACCCAGTGGTCACCGGAGATCATCTTGGTGCTGATGATGTCGTCGGGAGTGGCACCGGGGGTGACGTAGCTGAGGGTGGAGTTGCTGCCGCTGGTGAGGTCGAGCCAGTACTGGACAAAGTCGGACATGGCCTTCTTGTCAGCAGCGTCGATCAACCAGGGCTTGGTGTTGAGGACGGTGTTGCCGGAGGCGGTGATGCCGAGCTCGCCGAGGGTGGAGGTGCCGTGGGTCAGGAACGTGCGGACGGTGATGATGCCGTTCTGCATGGCACTGGCAGTACCCTGGAGGTAACGGGTGCGGCCGTCGGAGCCCTCCGCGGAGGTCCAGAGGTGCATACGCTGAGCGGCCTGGGTGATGGGACCGGAGCCCTGCTTGTAGAGGTCCAGATCGCTGGTGACGGGGTTGGAGGCGATGGCGTTGAAGGCGTAGGCGCTGAAGTTGGTCTTGGAGTTGAACTGGAGCATGACCTGGGCGTGGTCCTGGAGGTGGTGTCCGACGGGAAGGTCGATCCAGTCAGCCTGGTCGGGGAGAGTGACTCCAGTGCTGGCAGCTCCGGACTTGACGATCTCCAGGGCATCAGAGCGGCCGATACCAGAGTTCCAGAGGAGACGGGGAGAAGACATGGCACCGGCGGCGAGGACGACCTTGCCGCCAGCGTTGATCTTGATGATCTGGGTGCTGCCGTCGGCGGCCTGGGTGAGAACACCGGTCATCTTGCTACCGGTGCGGAGGACCTGGATCACCTTGGTCTCGAGCTTGAGGGTGAAGTTGGGCAGCTGCTGAGCGAAAGGCATGTAGGTACGGGCAGGGCCGGCACGGAGGTTGTCCTTGATGGACCACGAAGGGCGGGAGAAGACGGAGGACTTCTCGTTGGGAGACTTGATGGAGTCAACCTCGTTCCAGCCCTTGGCGCTCAGGAGGCCGGAAAGGACACGGAAGGTCAAGTCATCGTAGTACTTGCCGTCGTCTGAAGGCTCAGTGGTACCAGGGTTGCGCTCGTAGAGGCGGGAAGCGGCGTCGGAGACGTCAGCCCAGTTCCAGCCTGCGGGCCAGCGCTGCCAGTCGTGCTCGGGAGGGTGGATGAAGTTGAGACCGTTGATAGAGCTGGATCCTCCCAACAAGCAGCCGGCGGTGGAGGCAGTGTCACTGCAGAGGGACGTTCCGGAGAGACTGGTCATGGAGCTACCGAGCGCAGGAATGTCGTAGGGGGTAAGGGTGTCGTTCCAGGGCAGAGCCATGTCGGAGCCCAAGGCGACGGTGTTGGCAGGGCCACGCTCGATGAGGAGAACGCTGGAGCCCTTCTCGGCGAGACGCTCAGCGGCGATGATACCAGCAGGGCCACCACCGACGACGATGACATCGTAGGTGGTGTTGGAGGTGGTGGGAGCGGGGATGGTGCTGTTGCCAGGAACGGGGGTGGTGGTGCCGTTGCCGGGGACGGGCGTAGTCTCAACAGCCTTTGCGTACTTGGACCAGGTATCGAACTTGGCGGACTTGGCAGAAGCAATGTCAAGACCGAACTGACCGAAGCCAGCGGAGTGGTAGTTCAGGGCAGCAGCCGAGTCGGAGACGGGTGACGGGCTGGTGTCGGAGTAGGCCCAGCCGAGGATAGGGGAGTCGCCAGCCAAGCTGGTCCTGTCGTTGATGCAGTTCTGGCACAAGAAGGTGTACGAGAAGTGAGTGCTGTTGACAAAGGTACCGTTGGCGATGGGGACAGCGGAGACCTCGGTGGCAGTGTAGACGTCGGGGTTGGCATAGGCGCTTCCCAGGCGGAAAGATGTCTTGATATCCTCACCATCGGCCCAGGCAACGAAGAGGAGGCCGTTCAACATGCCACCCTTCAACGAGACGGCACCCCAGTTACCCTTTGTTGAGATGGGTACAACCATCTGACCAATGAAGTCCGTTCCGATGGTCTCGGGGACCGCGATACCGAAGCTGTATGGGTAGGCGGAAGGCAGGTAGCGTTGGAAGTCGATACCGGTCTGGGGGTCAGAGTAAGCCGAGGCTCGCAGCTGCGCGGTGGCAGATCCAGCGAGCCCGAGAAGGGCCGCTACTCCTGAGATTGTAGAGCGCATGATGGCGATCGTTTGCAAGTTCTTCTCAATATCTCGAGTTTGTTCGGTTTCGTTTTGGGGGATAAGGAGTGGATTTGGAAACTGTTCAAAGAAGGGAACAAGTCTCAAAATGGGAGTGAATGAACGTAACCTCTAGGGTCAACAAGTGAAAAATGAATGAAAACACCGTACTAGCGGTGACTCGAAAAAGAAGGAATGCACGAAAGATGCGGCTCAACGATCAGAAAGGAGAGTCAGGTCGTGTCGAAGTTGGAGGCGGCCCTCTGGCGTTGATATTATATCTCTCCATGCCTTCTAGACTTCTCTCCTATCCAACGATCCGTCATCCAACAACTAAGTGCCCACCGTACCACTTAGTATCCGTACCTGGAGGAATTGTACAAGACGGGAAGGACCCCCACTGAAGCAAGTTTCCTTAATCTCACATTGCCCAAGGATGGCTGCTGCTTGCATACTGCGCAGTCCGGGGTCCGTAGCGCCAGACCAGGGGGTCGCAGAGATTCTCCGTGTTGGTCTCGGTCGTCGGCAGACCCGCTGAAGTTGGTGAACCCCGGGATGTGCATCCTTGGGGCCGCTAGAATGTTTGATGTAAACTTGTCTGCTATCTGGTGCCAAGCGCGCCAACTGAGCCAGCTCGCGCTTTGTTTCAAATAAGAACACAGTCATTGGCAGAGCTCCCAAACGAGGCCATCGCCGCACTTGCAGGCAGATGCAGGCAACGCAGGCGACTTGTCCCTATGACGTGCCGTGTAATTTGAGACGGCTTGTTTTACTTACATGTGAGGTGTCCCACTTACCGCAATCGCGAAGCCTGCAGGTGATCTGGGCGCGCAGTGCCGCCCCCTTTCGTCCCCTCTTCGTTGGTGTCCAGCGGTGAAATGGACCGACCTTCAGCGCCTCTGCGGCCAACCAGCTCCAGCCACTTTGAAATCTTCGGATGAACTGACCGAAGGGGGGCGGCGGCCGCAGTGGATAGCGGGAATAATGCAACCTTGAGGCGACCGAGAAGGGCCTTTGGGAATTGGACGTGATGATAAGTGAGCAAACAATCCTTCCAGTACGCGAGATGTCGAAAGAGCCTCCCTGCAGCTACCTTTAATCTCATGCACTCCTGTCTACCTAGCGCCTACTCCGTCCACTACCGCCATGACGTGACTTCTGCTCACCAAGACATGTCAAATCGAAGACACTTTGCTGGCTAGGCTAGACCATCGGGATCAAGAGCCGAGACTAACCAGTAACAACTAGCTTTTGCTGCAACGCTGATCTTCTGGACCAGAACTCTGACAAGATCGAGTTGCTTTACTCGAGACTCTCCAATGTCTCCATCAGCCTCAGGTGGGAGGTCCCCCATGTTTGTAGTCCACAATTACCCCTCATAAGCTGGAATGCCACCTTCTCAATTGGCGGAATTTGTTTGCGTTTAATAATTGGGGTCGATGGATATGAATAAATTGAACCATACTCGGTGGATTCTCGTCCAATTTTACCGAGCTCCTCGGTAAAAGTTGCTCAAATTTGCTCCGCCGCGAATAGTGGACGCGAAGCTTTGTTCCCTCTTTTCTTTTGGGGTCGTGAGATTGGGTATGTTTTGCCATTTGGCATTTACCCTTTTCTTTCGGCCGAACATTCTTGGACTCGCCGCGGGAGACAAAACTCATCTCTACCGCGCAATGCGAGGCTACTACGCGTATACAAGCCGCCTATTTATCCGGACGGGTATTTGTGGCATTTGGTGGTGGACGAGTCAGAGAATCCCCAAGCAATCCGGGGACACGGGAACGCGACAGGGACTAACCTTGAAGTAACAGGACAGAATTCACCCGAAAGTTAACGCCCAGATCTCTGTCTCTCAGGGGCTTTTTGGATGTTACACTGGATATTGCTTGATCAACACTTGACTCGCAGACGGGAGCGCTGCTGATCTGGTGATCGAGCCAACTCCATGGCGCGTTAATCAACTGTCATGCCAAGCTTTCCGACTAGCTTCCCCGCGGGAGCCTTGTTCATGAACAAACGGAAGGCGGCGGGTGACTCTCTCGCGATTCAAGGTGCAAAATCCCACTGGCTGCTTCTTCGGGGGGACCTTCAAATTCTGGAACCGATCCTTGCCAGATTGATGGACATAGCCACTAGCGGAACAAGCCTGATTATTGGCCACCGCCGAGGTCCTGATCATAATTTGACTAGTGACGAGTGACGGCGACCTCGATAGTGAGCAGATTCACCAAGGACTGTTTCGTTTTCATGCACTCTCCCTTTACCTTCGGCAATTTTTGGCCGGAAGAAACTCTGCTTTATTGCGATCATCGATATCGCCATGTTGGTCCTGATAAAGATCTTTCATGTAGACCGATGAAGAATTCATGCAAGAAGCTTGACTAGGCCGAGTTCGTCCAATTTTCAATCCTTAAGTCTCCAAGCCCTCTTCAGCGTACTTACTTGAGTCATATAACAAAACCTTCGCCGCGTGCCGTCCATAGCCGTGACCGAGTAGACGACTTGCCGTCTGCCCGCCCGGGTGTTGCGCCACACAACTGATAGGTGGCTGGTGGTGCGGCTGGACGTGTAGCCCATAGGGGTGCCTTTTCCAGCAGAAGCTCTGCGCGTATTACAGGGTACTATTACACTTTTTAACTTAACGAGATACGTATATGCTAGTATACACCATTAAAGGGAAACCACATATAGAGATATACTTATACAGGGTGAGCTTTTTTACGCACGTAGTGCATAAAATAAAATAAAACCAAATAACAAAACCTTCTCAGCCTAATGTTTTGACCGAAATAGCACATTCTGTTAATTGTCTTACTTAAGCAAGGGGGTTCCGAGCAGAACCAACGCTTAACTTCAGGGCCAAACATGATGCAAAAAGCGCGAATGGCTTCCATGCTCTCTTCTGTCTTCATCTATATCCGTTTGGCTTATGTTGTCCGTAATGTTCAAACGGCAGTCTTAAGAATATTGAAGTCTTAGATTCGCTTGACCTGCGTGTTCTTCGTAGTTGATCTTTATAACGAACCAACGTCTGCATACGCGTCACTGATCACAAGAGTGTCTTAAAAAGCTGTCATTTGGCGGGCTATGTTTTATCTAACGAAATAGTGAACATTATTTGGGTTTACTAGCACATCAAATAGACGGCTGCGCTCTTCTATTTGACGTGATCTGGAAAGAAAAAGCTCATGTATGCCTAGTATCACCAAGATTCACAGCTAAGTCCCTCATGTTTGCAAGGATAGTATGGCTTAACCTGATGCATGGTGAGCTTTGGAGGCCATGAGTGAAGAGTCAGGGAGCAACACTTACAATATCCGGATGTTCCGGCCATGGGGTGCCATGAACATTGAGCTCTTCAAAGTCTTTCGGCGGATTCTCCAGTATCGCGTCCATCAGGTACTTGGTGCAATGTATCGTATGACTGTAGTTGAAAGGGGGATCGTAGCCCAGAGAAATCCACAGGTGCGTCTGCCGCAGAGTGTACATGCAGTGGTATGTGTGTTCCTTCCTCGTGACCCAGCCGGCGGTCAAGACTTCGCTCGTCGGTGGTATCTCATGTTTTCCGCCCTTATCATAGTATCGATGCCATGGACCTTCATGGTGGAATTCTTTGAGTAGCTCCACATTATCTTTGTGCCCCATAGGCTCCTTGGGCCACCATTTAAACGACATGGTGTCGAACTCGCAGCCCCTGTCGCGCGCGATCTTGGGTAGAGCGCCGTTGGGCGCGCAGACGTACCCCGATAGGTCGAGGTCCATCTTCTGGCAGGTTTCGCATGATGGAAAGAAGGCGAGATACGCCAATATTGAGAAGATGAGGATGGGTGGAACGAAGAGATACCAAGATCTCCAAGCTGGGTCGAACTTTTGCCATGGAAGGTGTTTTCTGACTCTGGCGAACCCGGCTTCTTGATCGACAGAGGAATCTCTCGACGCGCCTTCTTCGCAAGACTCTCCCTCAGTCTCCTCTTTGAGGAGGGAGTACTTCTCTTCGCGTTTGTCCGACTTTGGTAACATGTTGTGCGTGACAAGTGACCGACACCACCTATTTAATGCTGAACCACAGTCGTTTAATTGTGCAAGACGGCTTTTTGCTCAATTCTGAGACGACTTGACGATATGGCATCAGTCTGGTTGTGTAGGACTAAAACGTCCAGGCACAGAGTAAGACACAACGCGTAATGACACGAGTATGTCGCATCAGACCCCAGACAGTACTACGACGGTGAGTGCAAAAGGTTTGACGATAACCATACAGCCGAGAATTCTTCTCTTCGTTGACTCAGACAACCGCTGGTACATCGGCTCCGGAATACATATCGTCGTGCGGAGCATAGCTCGCCATCAGATCGGGATTGGCGGACCGAATGCCCCACATTTCCGGACCGAAGCGCCGATCCACCATCGGTCCGACAGAATTGCACTGCTCCGGTCAACTCGCAGACGCTACCAGCATTGATCATTGTCAGAAGCAATTGGCACAGCTGATAGCTTATTGTCTACCTCTAAGAGAGTTGAGCTCGCATAGGTATCTTTCCAAGTCTCAGTCTCAGTTGCCGTAGACTCAAGCAGCAATACCCCCTATGACCACTGAAGACTATATCGATGAGCCAAACTATGATATACTGGTGGTGATTCAAGCAGAATCGCAGAATTCCTTCGACCAAAGCCTTCTATATCTTCCGTCAGATCTAAACCCTGGTCTGGAGGAAACGTGGTCTTTGCCGTTGCTGCAAAACCTTGATCCAAGGGCCGTGCTGAAAACACGAAGTGTCAACAAAAGCTCGACGCGACAATCCGCCCATTCTTCTCCTCGCAATGCTAGGTTGAACTAGCCAGCTAGCCAGAAGACAAACCTCCAGATAGTTCATGAGACATGGCAATGACAATCGTGATTTATCGTCTCTCCATTTCTCATGTGCAAGTTCAATTATGTAAGCCAGCATTGATCCCCCGAGGAGTTAGCGCCTCTGAAAAGGACGAGTAGATCTTACGGTCGCTTGAAACATGGCTGAAACCTCACCACCAAGGATCCTTGAAGCTCCCATGTTCGCGAATGCCCCGATGGGCCCGTTGGGGGTCTTTCGACCATCCGTTGCTCTCCATTCTTCTCGATGAAGAAATGCAACTGGAGTTCATCTCTTGGCAAATTCTTGGTGTTCTTGGCCTCCCAATCGGCTATCGTGGCGGCGTTCTTCCTTTGATGATCTTGTTTGTTTGATTAAACAACAGCCATGCTCTCCGAAAACCGTCCACTGGTGTGGTCCTTCTTGGCGCTATTTCTTATTTTTGTCTGGAGCCTTCGATTACTAGGCGTTCACGACGCGATCGCAGATACGGTTTCAACATTTTTTCCTGATGAATCGAACGAAGAAGCGACGACCGAGAGCGGGTTCGTGCGACAAGCCATTGATGTCGAATTTCCAACTCCGATCGACTACGCGCCCATTCGGGAAACATGCTCTCGCACTCGGTTTCGCCCTGGGCTGCTCTTCAGCTGCGAAGAACAGCACGGCGGCATTGGCATGGTGCGAAATCAAATACTGAAGTGCGTCCGGTATGCGATCCACGGCGGAGGTGCACTCGTTTTGCCTTCAATGTCCCTGCGTAACGCGAAAGACATTACCGATATCGAGACGGGAAACGAAGTGCCCCTCGATTACCTACTGGACCGCGAGGCATTCATAACACGCCTGACAGAGGGGTGTCCGGGGATGATCGTGTACGAAAAGGCGACGGACTTTCCCTCCTACGAACACCGGTTAGGGGAGCCTTTGTCTCTGGTAGGAGACCATTTCGAGCCAGACCACCCACGAGAGGGACTGAGGCATCCGCGAAAATGGCGATACTTCTTCGACAACTGGCTTGAAGAGCAGGGAGTTCGAGAACATATGGGTCCAGAAGCCCCGGTACACATCAAGATGGAGCAGTCCTTCCTTGAGTATCCCGTGCGCGACGACGGTGACGCCTTCGTACACGAGTTCGGCAAAATTCTGTCCTTCAGGAATGACACTCGTGCTCTTGCGGCAAAGATTCTCTACCTGCTCAAGGAGAAATTCGCGCTTCCTTTCGATCCGAGAAAAGCCATCAACCCCAATGCTTATTTTGGGGCGCATCTACGGCTGGAGAAGGATGCCACTTCCGCCTGGGGGCCCGACGAATGGCGCTTTTCGCGGATGGATGACCAATTCGAAGAACAATTCCGCTATCTCGAGCGCACGGGTCTGAACGTTGTCTATGTGGCATCCGGGAACCAAACTGTGGTCGACATTTTTGCGGAAAGGCTCAACAAGTATCTCTCAATAGAGACTGGTACGCCGAGGAGGAATATTACGGTGGTGACCAAGAACGACCTGCTTCTCGGGGCCGATCGCGAGCAACTTGATGCCCTTACATTTGATCAGCATGCCCTGGTGGATTTTCTGGTCATGTTTAGAGCGAGCGCATTCATGGGCGTCGCTCATTCCAGTTTCCCGTGGACGATTGCCCTGCGGCGGCATGAGCTGAGTAAATATTCGAAGTTCGGCAACGAAGGCTCAGATCTACTGAGAGACGAGTACAGCATCATTATGGGCATGGAGGCCGACTACCCATATGTCGACCCCTTTGTTTATGGCCTGTGGCCGTAAGGACATTTCGGCATCCCGGAAAGAAGCGGGACAACGACATCGTATGGATGGATAAATGAAAGCATAGATACCAGCATGTGTATAAGTTTTGACAGGCATCAAAATACATGTAGAAAGACTCTAGCATCGTAACAGTAGAAAAACAAAAGCAAGAGCACGTCTAATACCACGAATATGAATTCAACCCCTAGTCCCAAGTCCGTTTCCACGTGGTTTGCGAATTACACTAGGAAGTAAGCGTTGCTTTGATGTCGCCCACCGTCTGACTCTGCTGATCGATTAACAGATCAAGTAGACGTCGATATGTCTGAGTCAAAGTCTTCACGGTAGTCTCAGAGAATAGGGACTCGAAGTAGGTAAGCGTAGCGTCAAGTCGGGATGGCCCTTCGTTGAATGCCAGTACCAGAAGTTGCTGCCGATCTGCCGGATTAGTTCATGCACTCTTGTTCAAGGGCATGGCTTTTGACTCGCCTCGTGGGGATCTTGCTTCCAGATTGACCGAAACCCAATCTCAACATCATCATCCGAGTACTTGACCTTTCGGTAGTTGACTAGCGTATTGAAAAGTCCAGTGCCTTCGCACCCTAGATGACGCTCAACTTCGGTCAAGTCAAAGGTCTTGTGATTCAGGCCGCGGATGTTCTCATCTTGGAAGGCTTGCAAGGCCTGAATAATCATCGTCGTATCGTCAAGAGTAGCGCAGGCTATCATCATTGATAGCATTGGTCCGACAACCTCATCCGCGTGCGGCAAGTCAATGTCTCGGTCCGAGACTAGATGCCCAAAACAAACGGTAGAATGACCAGTGTAAACATGGAGAAGCATCGCCCATGCGAATTGAAGAACGTTCGAAAGAGTCACTCCGACCTCGCAGAGAAACCGCTTCATCTCGACTGTGATATTAACTACGAAGTCGATGGAACCCATGGTATGAGGGTCTGGGCCGCTTCCCACCATAGTCTCGATTGGGACCATGTATGGCTTCACGCCCCGTAGCTTGTCGACCCAGTATTCACTACTTGCGCGGAGATCTCGCTCACAGTTGATGTGCTCGATGTAATCGTGAAAACCGATTGGAGGCCTTGCCCCTGGAATCTGACCACGATAGAGCGTGACAAAGTCGCGGAAGACGTGTGCCAAGCTGACATGATCAATCAAGATATGTCCCATGACAAAGTGAACGAATATCTCTCCATAAGAACTGACAAAAAGGCGCACCGAAACTGGAGGTGAGTCGTCCTTGAACAAATTCGAGCGAACGGCGTTGAGATGGAGCTCAGCTTCTTTCGTGGCTTCTTCCACTGAGCTGACATTTAGGACGGCGATGTCAGCCTTGTGATCTTTGAGAACTCTCTGGAAGATAGCTCCCGAGGCAAGGTCGTGGATAAAGACAGTCCTCAATATCGCATGCCGAATGATGGTTTGTTGCCACGCCCCCAGAAGCGCGCCGGTGTCGACTGACGGAGAACCTTGAATGGCATTTAACAAAACAAGACTGTTAAACAAGTATGGTCTCTGAGGCTTGCTAAGGAACGCTTGATACATCCTGTTTTGGAACGGCGAGCAGGGCGACACGGTCTCAACATTGTCGGGAGCTAGGACAGAACGCGGTACAGGGGCCGATTGGCTTGCAATTCTAGGTAGGGCGTGGTTTGTTTCGGGCCTGGTGGCTCGCTTCGCAATTTTGCTTGCCAGAAGCCTGATTGTTGGATTCGCGAGAACATCCTGTGTTGTCACGTCGAGGCCAGCTGCTTTGCAGAGTCTCATTGCTTGCATCGCTAGAAGATACATCAACATTAGCCCCTCGTAAATCGGTCAAAGAATCGAATGGATTCTCTGCAGATACTCACCATAGATAGAATCGCCTCCAAGTCTAAAGAATGACTGCTCAAGACCAATTTGATCTGGAAATGAAAAGTCAGATGTGTCTCACGTTGCCGATTGCCAGTTGAGGAGCTTCTTCACTTACGAGGATCAAGCCCGAGGATTTCCGCCCACATGCACCTCAAAGTTTCCTCCGTTAAAGAGCCGCTTTCATGATATGAGTCACCCTTTTGATGAAGATCAAGTGCGGCCAAAAGGGTTTGATGGTCAATCTGCCCTACCCAGCTCATTACCCGTTGCCGATCTAGCTTGAGTGATAGCTGGACTGGGAGGCTTTTGACAATGAGCCATGTTTCCGGGATCATGTACTGAGGCAAATCTCTCTCAAGCGCCGAAGTCATTGAATTTAGCGCATCAGCAAGCCTTTGACGCATCTCCTGGCTGAGGTTATCCTTTTCGACGATGGTAATGTCTTGGCTGTAATCGCGTGTCTCGAGATTCGATGATAGAACTGTCAGACTCACGACAGCCACAAGACGTCCTTTGAGTTTACCCGATTTCGGAACCAGGACCATGCTGTGCACGATGGTTTCAGAAAGATTGTTGAGATGATATTGAATTTCGCCAAGCTCAACTCGCTGGCCACGAATCTTGACTTGGGAGTGATCTTTCCTGCGTTGGATGAAGAGGCTTCCATCTTCGGCATACCTCACCAAATCACCGGTCTTATACAATCTTCGAGTGCCTCTATCACCTTCGAGTGAAGAGCTCTTGTCAGATGCCCATGAGGGAGGCTCAATAAAGGCGATCGCGGTTTTGATATCGTCGTTGAGGTAGCCTTTGCCGACAATGGGTCCCTCCAGAAGTAGTTCGCCAACAGCCCCAACGGGCATCAATATGTGGTGGTTCTCCGGATGAACAACCCAAGCGCGACACCCTACCGGCCAACCAATATTCGTAGCGACTGTGTCTACCTTGAATGGAGCTCCGATGGTGCTGGTCACTGAGCACTCCGTTGGCCCGTAGCTAGGCCTCATGTGGATCTTCCCAGCCCAACGAGCTACGAGATCCTGGCTCATCGGCTCCGCATGGACAGTAATGAACTTGACGGACTCCAAATCATCGGGATCAAGGGTGCGAAGAAAAGATGGAGTGAAAGCAGCCCAGTTCACCCGCTTGCGCGCGACGAATCCGGGGATGTCGGACATGCGCTCTTCCTCGGACGGAATGCAGATGCAACCACCCGCGGCAAGAACCGTGAAAATCTCTTCGAGAGAGGCGTCGAAACAAAAGTTTGTGAACTGCAAGACGCGGGACTCCGGTTTGATTTGCAGCCAGGAGGTGTTGTATGCCACGGCTGAGCAGAATGACTTGTGCTGGATCACCACCCCCTTTGGTGTGCCTGTTGTTCCTGAGGTGAAGATGATGTAAAGTGTGTTGAGAGGAGTAACAGAATGGGTAAGCGAGATCGCAGATTTTGAAGAATTCTCCATGGAAGTCTTGTCAACGACAACAAGTGTTTCCACGAGACTTGTCAGCTTGTCGTATTGTTTTGACGAAGACAGCCCAATCCTGGCCCCAGTCTGCTCGACCACAGACTTATTCCTCTTATCAGCACCGTTTGGATCAATGTGTACGAATGCCGCCCCGGACTTTGCCACCGCAAGCATTGAAACCACTGCCCATAAGGACTTTTCGAAACAAAGAACGACGATATCTTCTGGCACAACTCCCATAGCCTGGAGTCGCGACGCGAGATTAGTGGATAGGGAGTCCACTTCGGCGTAAGACAAATCGCCGTCCCATGCACAGATGGCTGGCCTCAAGGGTTGTCTGTTGACTGTCTCCGAGATCATGTCGTGAATACAGCACCCGTTGATCTCGAGCGGGGATGAGTTCCATTCCTGAATCTGCTTCTCATCCAGTGCGCTGGTGAGGCATATCTTCGAGATCTGGGCCTCTGAGTCGTCGATTATAGCTTGCACGGCGTTCAAGTAGACAGCTAGAATACGCTCCGCTTGAACTTCCGACATGAAGTATGTTGCAGTCTCAATGGTAATATGAAACTGCTCTTGATCTTCGGTGATACACAAGGCGGTATCGTACTATTCAGGCGAGTTAGCATTCTCTTGGTCCATGATGCCATAACTGCACGAAATTGAAACGGGGAATAGCAAATTACCTCGCTTGTGTCATGAACAAAAAGTAGCTCCGATTTGATCCTCTCCGATCCCAGCGTTGCGGTCGTCTTTTGGAAGTTGAAGATCGTGTTGAACAAGGCCTCTCCACTGCGCCGGGCTGCATGCTGGATTCGCGCCAAAGAAATTGTCTGTTTGGTGAGATGATCAATATTGTCCTCCTGTAATCTAGTCAAGATCTTCGAGACCGTCGTTTCCGGACTAATTTGTACTCTGACGGGTATGACGTTAGCCATCGGGCCCACGATCTCTGACGCCCCCGGAATCGGGATGTCTCTCCCGTGGCCGAGAAGACCAAAGACTACGTCGTCTGAGTGCAAGTATGTGGACAGAATCATTGACCACGCGGCCTGGAATATGATGGGAATTGTGAGATCCCACTTTCGACATGCTGAGCTTAATTCGCTCTTGGGAAAGGTGGAAGACGTGCGGGTAAACTCGAGAGTTTGAACTGATGGCGGTCGATGTTGGCGTAGTACGGGTAACAGGCATGACGGTGCCCCATCCAAGTAGCGACACCAATATTGTGCGATCTCATAGGCATCTTGCTTCTCGACATAGTCGATGTAATTGGAGTACGGGCAGATCTCTTGTAGCGGACGATTGTCCAAAGCAGCCAGGAAATTCCGAATCAACAGACGAGAAGTCGTTCCGTCAGTGATGACGTGATTTTTGTCCAAAAGACAGTATACAGAACCATCGTCTGCGGTGTACAACTGAAGCTTATGGAGTACCTTGCCACACAAAGGTTTAGATGCGACCGAGGAAGACTGCTCCGCCCACAGGGCTGGCAGGTCGCTCTCGCTTCGAAGCTTGTGGACCTTGATATCGATGTCGACAGCCTTCAAGGCGAGCTGAAGAAACCTCCCAGCCGCGTCCTCAATGAAGACAGTTCTCAAAATTTGGTGCGTCGCAACAACCTGCTTCCAGGCTGCTGAGAGGTCATCAGGATTGAGTGGGATTGATCCAGACAGCTTGAAGAGGAAGTGCTGGCTGTACTGATTGCTTGTACTCTTCAGTTGCGAAAGAATGAGGCTATCTTGAATTGGAGAGCAAGGAATGACTGATTCTATCTCGTTAGGTGTGATGCCGAGACGGGATTGAGCGAGATTGAGGACGGCTTTGAGGTCCTTGTGTTGAAGTCCAACTGAGGTAACCAAAGGCTCCGAAGGCGATGGCGGTAAGCGCTCGTGTTCATCCGCGAGGCCGCTAGCAAAGGTTCTCAGACTTTGTTCAAATTGATGCAGCCAACCTACCAAAAGATCTTGGTGGTGCATCCGAGAGTTCCACTCAACCTGCAGAGACAGCTTATTATCTTTGATGGATGCCAAGATTGAAATCAGGGCATATCTCGATGACCCTGCACGTTGCTGGTTTCTGAGGCCCGAGATCTTGTCCTGGATCTCGTCGCTGCATCTTTTGAATAAAGAGCCGTCCTTCTCGAATTGCTGGAAGACCCCGAGATAGTTGAGAGTTACCTCCATTGGATGATGGTGCTCGAACGCCTTCTTGCCAGCTTTGCTCAGGAAACGTGATGCGAAGTAGGCTAACCCATTGAGAGGTACATTGTTACGGAACTCGCTGATGTCGTTGAGTATGTTGCCATGGCTGTTTGCGATCATGGGAGAGAATGTCGTGAACCAGCCAACAGTGGTAGACGGGTCCACCTCAGGGATGAAGATTTCTCGTCCGTGACACTCACTGAACAGACCAGGGGAGCGACCGAATATTTCAACAAACGAGTCGATAACAGAGGCTAGCAACAAGTCATGAGCTCCCCGTACAGGAACTCCTTGCGCTGGAACAAGTTGTTCGGAGATAAATGAGTCGAGAGTGATGGTATGAGAAACACAGTCCCCGAAACAGTTCCTCTCATCTGCCATGCCCCAGAATGACAAATCAGTGACAAGTGCATGAGCCGACGGAGGCACAACATTTTGTGGTAGTAAGTTCGATGAGAAGCGATGCTGCTCCAATGTCCAATGTTGGAAAGATGTTGCTTCGTCTGCGATCGGCGTCTTGAAGAGGAGGTATAACTCCAACTCACGCAGGAGTATCCGCCACGACACTGCATCTACGACAAGGTGATGGATTGTCATAGATAGGAGGGTCCGACCCCGAGACTCAAATAAATCCACGGCCACGAGAGGACCGTTGGAGAGATGAATCGACCTCTTGGCCTCGCTGACGCACTCGACAACGTAGTCGAGATGTCTGCGACTGTGAAATCTCATGCGACAGTAGTCAACGACGCTGATGGCAGATCTAGCAGGTAGACATTGCGTCCATTCGCCATCGCGACACTTAAACTGCGCACACAACATTGGATGAGCCTTGAAGAGAGATTCCAAAGCCGCCAGCAGTTCTTGCTGGTCCACGGCCTGGGTGACTTCAACGACCATGGTCTGCTGATCAAGATCGTCTCCCTCGGGCGACGTGTGGAAGTGAAGTTTCTGAATGGGAGAAAGAATGAAAGCTTGCGGTCCTGCTGGATCTATGGACGTGTCAACTTGAGATGGGCTTGGCGAGGCAGCTGCTCCAATTGATTTGGCTAGTCGCTCAATTGACCGGTACCGAAGGATATCTGCAGCCGAGATGTTCATCCCAGTCTGCCTCGCCAAACTGCTAATGGTCATGGCTGAGATGGAATCTCCGCCTGGATAGTTTGATAAGCCTCGTGGGAATCGCGCGATATTGATACTGATAAACTCACCGAGGTGGTAAAATGAGGTGTTCCAGCGAATTTCGTCCTCGCCGACGTTCAGAGCTTCACTCCAGATACTCCTCAACCTCGTCTCTAGCTCCGTACCATCTCTCTCAGTGCTGTTGTCATCCATACGTGGCAACAAGCCGGCGAAATCATCGGGAGTGAGTCTTTCAAGATATTGAATTAACCCCTTTCGATCGAGTTTCCCCGAAGAATTCCTTGGCAGGGATTCTAGAAAGAACCATAGCTCTGGGTTCATGTAGGGCGGTAGCTTGTCAAGAAGAAATCCTCTCATGCAGTTGATATGCTCAAGCCAAGGTGCGTCCAGAATCTTGATAGGTGATGTGGACATGCTTGAGGGCGGCGATACAATTGAGCCACTGAGCATGACAACGGCCACCAATCTCTTCGCACAAGGTCCAGATTTCGGAACAACGGCGAGGCAATGCTGAACTCGGGGCTCAAGAACCAGATGTCGCTCGATTTCTCCTAGTTCAATCCTCTGACCCCTGAGCTTGACCTGCCCATCTCTTCGCCCGACAAAATGGAGTTGACCAGCAGAGTCGTATTTGACTAGATCGCCGGTCTTGTAAAGTCTTCTACCAGGTGCCCAATCAAGGCCCTCAACGAACGAGATTGATGTTTGTGTAGGATCGCCCAGGTAACCCCTTGCAAGAATTGGGCCTTCCATCAGGAGCTCACCTAACGCACCAATAGCTTGAAGGATGCTTGAGTTATCAGGCCTAGCAACATATGCTGCGCACCCGGGAACGGCGAACCCAATGTTAGTAGGACTGATGTCCTTTGTGAACGGCGGACTGATTGTACTAGTCACGCTGCACTCCGATGGGCCGTAAACCTGGATGAGTTCTGTGTGTGATCGACAGGCCCAGCTCTGAATGTTCTTCGCAGTCATTGCCTCTCCACCAAGAACCATGGTTCTCATGGTTGGCAGTATGGCCGGCGTGAACATCTCGGCGAATGAAGGCGTGAGATGTGCCCAATTTGCCCCTGACGCTGATGCAAACCTTGCTAAGTCTGGGCAGCTCAACCGGTCATCCTCATGCGGGACACATAGACAGGCACCCACAGCGAGAGTTGTCAAATGATCTTCCATACTGGTATCGAACCCATAGGAGGCGAATTGTAAGACTCTAGAAGCGGAATTGATGTGTATTCCATCGCTATGAGCTTGAGCCGCATATGCATATGCTCGATGTTCCACAACGACTCCCTTTGGCCTGCCCGTAGAACCAGAGGTGAAGATGACGTAGGCTGGACTGTCGGAAGAAATAGATGGTAGCGGTATAGGCTCATCTTGCAACGGAGAGACCCGGTCTACATCAAGTTGAAGGACCTGACCAGCCAAATGCCTGATTGACGGCGCTTGTTGCCTCGAGCAGATGACGAGCCCAGATCGAGGAGAGATTCCTAACTGCTGCAGAATTTCCTGCCGTCGAGTTTCTGGATTCGAGATGTCAACAGGCGCGAAGGCGTTGCCACTCTTCAAGACGCCGAGAAGGGCGATGGAATACCATTTTGACTTCTCGAAGCAAAGCGCGACAAAAGCTCCAGGTCCAATACCTCGCTGCAAGATCTCTTGGGCGACAATTGAAGCAGCTTCATCGAGCTCTTTATAGGTCATGTGCCCATCCCACGAGTGGATTGCCTGCGCTTCAGGCTGAAGCCGGACCTGATTCTCGATTAGGTGATGAATGCAGGTCAATCGAGGATCAGGCGGCGGAGCATGCATACGTGAGTTCCACTTTCCGACTTGCTGCATGTCCCACCTGCTGATTGCGGTTGTTGTCTTGACGGTAACTTGTGCATCGTCTATACCAATTAATCGTGATAAGATGCTTGAAAAGGTATGCGAGACGTTGCTTGCCATTGCCGATGACAACGTGGCGGTTGAATAAGCGAGTCGCACTCGAATCTCCGAGTCTGAGTAGACAGCCTTTAGCACAATATCGAAATCGGAGGCATTATGGGATGAGATTAGCTTGAAGAACGTGCTGCTGGTGGCGTCGGACATGGAAGGCGAGTAATACGAGGTGATGATGGTGTTGAACAGCTTGGTTTCGTTGGTTCCGAGTATTCGCTGCACCTTGCCAATGGAGAAGCATTGGTGTGGCAGCGCGTTCAGAAAGTCTTCTCTGACAGTATGGAGAAGACCTTCGAGCGATATGTCGTCGATTCCACCGACGCGGCAGACTAGCAAGTTCATCATCGGCCCAACGATTTGAGACACTCCAGGAATTGGTAAACTTCGCCCGGAAGAGAGATAACCGAAGCAGATATCCGGGTCACCCGTATAAGTGTGAAGAACGAGAGCCCAGACAGCTTGCAGCACATTCGATATGGTCGCATTATGCTTTTGGCAGAAGACGCGGATGTCATCTAGACCAACATCAAGAGGCATCACCGTGACGTGGAAGGACCCGGCACCACCTGCTTGGTGGTCGTTCATAACAGGGAAAAAACATGGTTCTGTTCCGTCCAGGTAGTCAATCCAGTAGTCGAGCGCGCCGTCTTCATCCGTCTGGGTCTGTAAGTAGTCGATGTATCTCCCGTATCCAGGTGCTTGGCCAAGAAGCCGAGAGCCCTGCAGCCCCTTGACCAACTCATCTACGATTATTATCAATGAGCTACCGTCAACGGTCAAGTGGTTCAAGTCCATCTGAAATAAGACTCGACCGGGATTTTGGATATCGATGTAAACGGTGATGTGGTGCTGGTGCCTCTCTTCATCTGTATTGACTGTCCCCAAATCCCCAATTGCGAATTGACGTCGTATCTCCTCCAGATCCTTCACATGGTCGATGACCAAAGGTTCTGGTTGAGACTTGAGGACGACTGCATCTAAGAGACGGCCAGATGCGGTATCCGAGGTGTCGACGTAGATAGTTCGGAGAGTTTGGTGACGGTGGATAATGTCGTTCCAACAGGTTTGGAAGTGATCCAGATCAAACTCGGCCTCAGTCTCAAAGAGCCCGCGCGTCCGGTACAGTCGCTTGGAGACCATCTTCTGACCAATATACATGCTCTCTTGCATTGGGCTGCAAGGATAAACGTCTTCGACAGCATCATCGCTCACATTGTGCTTCTCTCGCAGCTCGCGAAAAATCCTGGTAAAATCATAGTCGGGAGGCATCTGCGGGAATATACCATCTCCCTGTCTCAGTTGTTCAGTCGAAGAACACCCTGCTTGATTGCTGGAAGCTAGCGAGGCGACTTCTTTCAGAGACCTGTGGAGTAGATCTTGGAACCGGACGCCCAGGCCTTGCTCAGCGCATTTTTGGTACAGATGAACTGCCTTGAACGAGTCTCCTAGAAAATCATGAGCATCTCCATGAGTATAGAACTAAGAAAATCTTGCGGGGCTCACCTCCAAGGGTAACAAATGAAGACGTATCTTCAATATTTTCAACCGGGATCGTCAAGATGTTGGAAATGAAAGTTCTGAGCTGACTGAAGACGACTTGCGTCGTGCCTTCCGGAACGGCGGTGGCAGCCATGACGGGTAAACGTGAGATCTCGGCCTGGATTGTAGCACAACAGACTTGACTGAGGTTGAGTATGTGCACTTCACTGGCACCTCTCGTCAAGTACTGAGTCACTCGTCAAACAGAATCGCAGCTAGAATGATCTATATCAGATTATCCAAAGTCAACACGATAGCTAGAAACGATAAAATGCCCTAAAAGCTTCGAGGAGCTAACTGTTCAGGGTCTTCCTACTATGCATGGCTCTATGCTGAAATGCCGCTCCCAACTTTGAGTCGTTCTCAGCATCCTGGCCTTCCCCCTGCGGACTGGCGTGAACATGTTTCGGTCCGAACCCCAACTCTATTCCGAAGCAGCTTAGAACGCCAACTACATGTAACTGGCTCACAGCAAAAGATCCTTTATAAAACTATGAAGCACCATGGAGCACCATAAGTATCGGCTGTTGGCTGACCTTAGAGATTCTGAGAGCTGGTAAAGTACGTGCAGTGAGGTGTGGAGAGCCCAGTGGTGGTGTTTCTCACTGTCCGTTGCGGGCTTAGACAAGGCGATTCGGAGCAACTTGGGTCACCACAGTGTGCGCACCGACATAATTGACAGAACCGAATTGTGAACTGAAGGACTCTCGGTGTGACTTGAATTAGTGGCAGCGATCGGCACTTGAGCTAGACGCGCATGCTCCTGCAACGCGACAACTCCAAATTTGACCACACGCAACCTTGCTTGACTGCTTCTTGAACTGAAGCTCATACTCGATGCTTCGTATTAAAGTGAGTTGGCCGGCAGCCGACGCTCAACTACCAAGACATCAAGGATGAAAAGCTCCGGTTCTTAAAACCACGCATCGCATGAGCGCACAGCGACGTCACCCAAGCACATCAGGTGCTAGCAGGGGTCAAGGCAATCGAGAATAACAAGCAAATAAGGGCGCTTCATCCTCGATATCGTTTGCGCTTCTTATCTCTAGTGTCTTGAAACTGCCAGGGCGCCACGAGATAAACCTGCTTGCCCACGCGTCCACATACCCACAGACACTGACATTCTGCGGCTCGCGTTTTGACGTATGACGAAATGACTTTGATTTCATATTAATAGCGAGTACACTCTTTACTTCCCACGATGGCAATTGTAGTTTTGCGTACATCAACTGTTTTTCACCCGACGACTGGAGCCTCGTTGAATCCTTAAGTGCCCAAGTGGTGATATCGCCGTCAATTATCGCAATTCGAAGGCCACAGGTTGAAGGTGCGACAACATCAATAAAGTCGGCATTATGGGCGATCTAGGTAACTTCTAATGTACTTCATCAGTCTCGATTGCCTACTGACGACTCCTCAGGACATGAACAGCAGCCGACTCGCGAAAATGACACCATGTTTCAGGCTTTCGAATGGAATGTTCCACCAGATCAACAGCACTGGAAACGCCTGAAAGAGGCAGTACCGAAGCTAAAGGCCATCGGGGTCGACAACATTTGGCTTCCGCCGGGCTGCAAAGCACAGTCAGCGGAGGGCAACGGTTATGATATTTACGATCTTTACGATCTAGGCGAGTTCGACCAAAAAGGCGGCAAGTCAACGAAATGGGGACCAAAAGAGGACTTGATTGAGCTTTGCAAGACGGCCAAAGAGAATGGAATCGGGGTCTACTGGGACGCGGTACTGAATCACAAGGCTGGGGCTGACAAGACGGAACGGTGCCGCGTTGTCGAGGTTGACGAGAACGACTGCAACAAGGAGACATCCGAGCCCTACGAGATTGAAGGATGGTTGGGTTTTGACTTCCCGGGTCGAGGAGACAAATACTCCAGCATGAAGTGGCACTGGGAGCACTTTGGTGGCACCGATTGGAACCAGGAGAATGAGCGCAAGGCCATTTATAAGATCATGGGTGACCACAAAGAATGGTCTCAATCTGTTGGCGACGAGCAGGGCAATGCCGACTACATGATGTTTGCCGATATTGACTACTCGCACCCTGAGGTCCAAGACGACGTCAAGAACTGGGGGACATGGATCACCAAGGAATTGGGTCTCAAGGGCTTCCGTCTCGACGCTGTGCAACACTTCAGTCAACGGTTCACGAACGAGTGGATCGACAACTTGCGAGATGAGTGCGGCAAAGACATGTTCATCGTCGGCGAGTTCTGGACCGCGGAGACCGAGCCGATGAAGGAGTGGCTGGAAACGATGGACCACAAATTCTCCCTTTACGACGCGCCTCTCGTCTACAACTTCAGTCGAATCAGCACCACCGAAGGCGGCGATCTGAGAAAAGTCTTCGATGGCAGTCTTGTACAAGAGAAGCCCATCAACGCCGTCACTGTGGTAATGAACCATGACACACAACCAGGTCAAACCATGGACACGAAGATTGAAGGCTTCTTCAAACCCCTCGCGTACTCTCTCATCTTGCTCCGTCAGGAGGGCTATCCCTGCCCCTTTTATGGAGATCTATACGGGATGAAGAAGGGCTCGGAGCCGCCATCCTGCGGGGGAAAGCTTGCTGACTTGATGCTTGCTCGTAAGCTTTATGCATACGGCTCTCAGGAGGATTACTGGGATGACGCGAATTGTATCGGTTTCGTGAGGCGCGCGACCTGGGATAAACCTGACGGACTTGCTTGTGTGATGAGTAACAAGGGCCCTGGCGAGATTCGCATGGCGGTTGGCCAGGAACACATCGGTGAGAGATGGACCGATTTGCTAGGCTGGGAGGATGGCGAGGTGGTCATTGACGATGAGGGCTTTGGCGTCTTCAAATGTCCAGGCGTCTCGGTATCTATATGGGTTAACAAAGATGCTCAAGGTCGTGAAAGGTTTCCTACCAACTTTGATTCAAACATCTATCAGGAATAGATGAACGAATAGTAGTTGTATCGGTAAGGCATTTGCTCAGGCAGTCACAGGTTAGAAAGATGTTCCAGTTTCGATGACAGCGAACTTCTCTTAAATAGCTTCATTGATAAAATCTCCAGACTCCTGTTTAAGTCATACTGCTTCATATGTGAGCTTGCGAAGTCAACAATTGCATATTTAATGAGTCTTTACGCGACATGAAGACATCTATGATGTGAGAGCAGCATCATAAACTCAGGTGCCGTAGTAGGAGCTCGCAAGATTGAGTTGACAGAACGGGTTGGCTCCGGGTGTAGTCCCTCTCACCCACGTCCCACCTACGCAACACCTCAGAATTTGTTGAGGCACTCGGTCATGACCACTCACTTAACCACCTAAATCGTAAACTTTGCTTCACAGTGGAGCAAAGACAACGTTGCAGCTTCACCAGATTCTGCATTCGGACTCGGAGGCCGCGCACAATTTTGGCCCACGTGTCGCTCGCGAGGGAGACTCATCCCGGATTCCGTTAAGAACCACCGCCTTAGATCGCGCCACCACAGGCACCCTGATGAATTCTCCTCTTGGTTCGGATTGGTCATACTTTCCTTGACATCGTATTTCGGCAAGTAAAGTTTGGAGGCGAATCCGCCGGACACAATCCGAACCCGCAGGCCATACTGGCCTCCATCCCCCAAGCTGTGTGGCAGCCGGAATACACTCCGTCAGTTGACGTTCAAGCCTTTCTGGAATCCAACATAGTTCGAGTTGGTCAGTAGATCCCGTTCCTTACTCTGATTCCTAAATCTGTTACTAAAGTCTGACATGTTGCTCGGCTTGCTATATGTGGTAATGCGAAGAGCGACGGACAGTCCGACAAACAGCGGAAGATCAACGTGATGTCATTCGGGCCCGGCTTCCGGGACGTTCGACAGCCACCGCCTCAACCGAGGCGCCGCTTGCATCAGTCTTGACACTCATGGGGATTAAAGCGACTGACTCCAAGCCGAATTCTTTGCCTAATTGGTGTTGAAGGTCTTGTCCTTTCCAGATTCAGTGTTGGTGAGGTCGGTTGGGTGGGCTTGTGCCCAGACCGGCGTAGCCCAGCGTGGGGCTCGTCTTAGGTCTAGATGTTGGAGGCAATTGTGCTGGAGAAACGCCAATCAAGTTGGCCATGTGTCAAGGCTAAACTACACAAATGTCTAGCTAAAGATTCTACCAGGAACCAACATCACCGAACCGAGGTCAAGTGTGGCTAGAAAGTACCTGAACGGTCGTAAAGTGGCAGAATAATTCAGGCGAAAGTCGTGAAGTAGTTCGTTTTTCACCACATCGCAAGCTTTGAGGGAATCGCGGGTGAAACATGAGTCGAGTTGCGACCAATAAGCCCCATTTCAGTGACAGCGCAAGGAAGCTGAGCCCTGGCCAGTTGTTATCGAAAAATATATCCGATTCGGGCGATCGTAAAAAACATAAGCATCTAAGATCCTTCCTCAGCCTCCTGCTCAAGAAGCTTGGCCCTGACTGGAGGGACGGGAGCATCGGGAGGCTGCCGGCAGTGCGCCATGACAAACATAAAATGTCAAAAAATAGCACACCAGAGTGACCAGACAGCGCCAGCAAGGCACCCAAATGGAAGCCTGCGCGCCCCCCTGTAAGTCGTAAGCCAAGCCACCATGCTTGATGGGGAGCCTAAAATGGTCTAGGGCCTTGACATCCCCGTGGGTAACCCGACGATGGCGCCCTTGAGAGATCCTCGTCGTTGTTCAATGTTGATGAGCTGTTTGGAAGTGTGGGGATACGGCTTTGCCCTATGAGGCCCCGTATGCGAGGATCTTGCTGTTGATCCAATATTGCTACCGAAGTTCAGGTTTTCCCTGCAGCCGGATCTCTGAAACTCCGGGTCTGACACCCGCACCGGCGCGTGTTCTGCTTTCGCGACATATGGCCTAATTAGCCTTTGAGAATTATCTAGACGCCAGCTGTGAAAGAGACCATGATGTCATTTCAAGTTAAGTGATCTTCATTGTGCCTCCCTCCCTTGAATGCCATGAAGCTCTTGGTCAGTAGAATCAGGCCCTAGGCCTACCACTGACTCGAGTCGAGTACCTTATTCAATCATAGGTAGTTGTAGCATCGACGGTCTACACCATCAGGATGAAACACCTTCAACTTCTGTGTACACCGACTGGCTGGTTGTCACTCGATGTTTGGACGGAAATAAGCATTGGGTGGCGGCAAGTTGGGCCAATCTACCTCGGACGAAACCAACAGTACTTTAGCATCGGCTTTTTTGAGCCGACTAACCGCAGACCTGGACTTTCAATGATGAAGTCTCACATCATCTGGGCCAATTCCACAGTCATTCGATTTCTAGGAAATTGACATGACTAGAGTTTTTCGTGGTGGACAAATCAACGATGACTTTGCTATGAACCCCATACTGCTGACGGTGGGACGCTTTTGCTTGCTGGTGCTTGTTCAGCTAATGCCGTTGCGGCGATCCTGAAGGATTCTGGCTCCACGTGTTAGCGCACCGCGCTTCGGGGGTATCCCAACGCGTCTGTTGCATTCCTTCTATGTTTACCGTGTGTACGGCTGGCGCAATGGAGAAGCGAAGATTCGGTTAGGAGCTCGCACGCAGACGTTTGCGGCGCATCTTCTGCGGGCACTGCGTGCAATTAATCTAAAGAAAGAATCAGTTCTCTGTAATTCGATGGCTTCCGTCCATAGGTATCCGTACTTACCGTAAGAACGATACCCGCACCATTCAGTGATTAAAGTACACAGTCACCGTGGTTCATTAAGTCTCGGGACCTTCATGATTCAACCACCGTGGCCCCGCCGGGATACATGTAGCGAAGCGTCGTCCGCCGAAGGATTCAATAAAGTATCGTCCATCAAAGAAACCGTTCAACCACTATCGCTATTCCAGGAAACCGAAGAACAAGGTGACCGGGTTTGGGGGCTGTGAGGAACGTCGCTCCGGCGCCAGCATGCAGGCTAGTCTTCCTAGCGCAGACCCCGGCAAGCCTTGTTTTCTTACTGCAAAGCTGAGCCCGTCCCGTTGTGCCTAACACACAGCCTCACCTCGCCTGTTTAGGCTACTCGTTATTCCATCATGAATCCCCGAACACGCTTGTCTGCTGTCGAGGCTGGGGAAAGGCGGAGACCTAGCTGACGCTCAACTCGACGGTCATCATGGCGACTGAGGGCCTGATATAAGACCCTACGCTTCTCCCAGACTCCATGTCAAGCCAGCGAGAATCTGAACAACATCTGCAGCGTCCCGGATTATCATCCTATTTACTTGTTCATATAACTATTTGTTACCGGTTGCCAAGATGCGATCATCGTTCACCTGGGCACTAGCCCTCGCAGGAGCTGCTTCTGCAAAGCCTACGCAGACAATCTCGCAGGCAACACATACCGGACACCATGCGACTTCAACACCCGCAAATGCATGTGCCGTGGCACAAGCAGCCGCAGAGTCGTTCCTCTCATCCAGACCCAGCGCAACAGCAGCTGCAATAAAGCCTTCAATTGCGTACGAGTGTCTTAAGTCAATCCCTGTTGATAAGCAGAATGACCTAGATCTCCTCAACTACATCGAGCCATACATCAACTTCCAAAGCACCTTGGAGCCTCTGGCGAATCCTCCAGAAGGCTATCTCGTTCCCGGTGTGGATGTCATTGGGGGACTCGGCCAGATCCGAGCCCGTGTGATGAAAGACAAGTACAAGAGCCAGATTGAGTTTGCGCTCGATATCAAGCGGCTGGTAGGTCTTGATCGTTATGAGATCCGCAGTCTTGGCTGCTTTTTCAACAAGCTCTGACATTTCCTAGTTTACCCAAGCTTCTGATGGCCACTTCAACTACAACCCGGCCCTTCTCAACCTCTTCACCTTCCGCAGTCTGAACAACCTTGTTTCCGTCTCTGATGATGGTCTCAGCGTCCCGAGAGTGTATCTCATCAGTGACTTCCTCAAGTCTTATGTCAATGACACTGATGTCTATGATATTAAGAGCATCGATGATGTCCCAATCACCGAGTGGCTTGAGGCACAGTCTGCCCGAGTCTTCACCCAGGATCCCGACGCCAAATATAACTCCCTCTTCAACACGAACCCTGCCACAGAGTTCCAAGGTGTGGGCAACGAATTTGTCCTACGCTTCCCTGGACATTGCCCGGACAAGCAGGTGATCAAGTTCACCAACGGCACCGAGTACGTTGATCAGCTCGTAGCTATTGTCGGTGAATCGTTGGTCGAGTATCTCAGCAGCGCCGAGGCCATTCACTCCAAGGTGGAGCTGCCCCCCACAAGCACCAGCTCTGTTGCGTCTTCCTCGTCCGCTACGTCCTCATCTACCTCCAGCGCAACACCTACCACGACCCAGATCCCGGGATACCCGTTGCCAGTATCCAAGCACGCCAGTGACTGGATCTCTACGTACTTTCTCAACGGTTCCTACGGGGACACCGCGGTCCTAGCCGTGTCTTCTTTCGCCCCGTCCGATATCGACACTGCAAACAGTACCTTTGAGATCGCAGAAGCCAGACGGGTTGTTGATGTTTTCCTAAAGAAGGCAAAGGAGGCAGGCAAGAAGAAGCTCGTCATCGATCTCCAGGCTAACGGCGGTGGATTTATTGCCGCTGGTTTCCAGCTCTACAACCAGCTTTTCCCTAAGACCACCGATATCTGGGATGGAAACCGCATTCGTGCTCACGAAGCCTTCGATGCTATTGGACTGACCGCCCAAGAAGCTTCTCCCGATACTCTGGCAGACTTGGTTTCGAACGTACTCAACGAAAAGCTTGAGCCCTTCAATACTTGGGAAGACCTCTACGGCCCGGAAGTGATTGCCGGACAGAATGTCACAAACCTATTGCGCTACAACCAGACTCGCATTGGTTACTCCAAGAGCACCGGGGACCAGGTCTTCCTGCCAGAAAACATCGTTGTTATCACCGACGGCATCTGCGCCTCTACTTGCACCATCTTCACGGGTCTCTTGGTCAGAGAACAGGGCGTCCGCACGATTGCCTTGGGAGGTCGCCCATCGGAGGCTCCGATGCAAGCCATCGGCGGTGTCGAGGGCTCAGAAGTCCTCGACTGGCCGTCTTTGCAGGCTGCTATCATGCAGGTTGCCAGCGACGCCATTGCTGCTAACGAGACCGACATTCTCGAGGCAGCATTTGATGTCCTCCCTGACCTCGGCGACCCTCCTCTACTTCCCACCCTTGCCAAGTCAGGTGGCAGTTTCAACTACCGCAACGCTTACGCTCGTAAGCGCCCGGATGGGTTCCCAGAGCAGTTCATTTATGAGGCTGCCAACTGTCGTTTGTTCTACACTTCGGATATGCTTACCAATATTACTGAGATCTGGACCCGCTCCGCCGATTCTGCATGGAACAAGGCCAAGTGCGTCGCCGGATCGACTGTCAGCAATGACGGTATCATCAGCAACGACATTCTGCCTTACAGCGACAAGGTCATTGGCATGAACTTGGAGTACAAGGGACCTGGTAGCCTGTCGTACAAGGGCGCCTACGAGCCTCCTTCTCCTTATGTCCAGAAACACACCAACAACAAGCGTTCCATTGTCGAACAGCTCAATGTTCCCGAGAACTTTGTCTATGAGCCCACCAAGCACAAAATTGGTGATCTGAAGGAGTACCTTGCTCAGAATATGCCGGAGGACTTCAAGTACGAGCAGAAGGACAAGATTGCGATCAGCCACACTCACCTTGACCGGGCTTAATTGAGTCAAAGTTCTGGAGGGGAATGCTTATGAATGATGCTGCAGGAGGATGGTCTTCATCCGCTGCTTTTGTACCTATTTAGCCACTCGTTGATACCCAATGGATTGAACGTCCCGTTGAGATTAGTGTCCCCCGACCAATATTTCAGCGACTTTGAACCCGTGAAATCATTGAGAATCCTGCGAGACGAATGTTTGAACCGCGTGTCCCAGGAAACTCCGGATTCGGAGAGTCACATAAAAATTTGCCCAGGCGCTGAATCCAAACCAACACAAATATTCTCAAAGAATTATCGCCGCTCCTGCATTTGGCTTGTTTGAGGGTGGTCGAAGCTCTAGAATCTAACGTTGCCGAAAATGTCTACCGAGTCGCAGTGCTGAATGAGAAGCTTTTAACAACCCAACATGGCATGCGTTCGGCGAAAAGCAGCCCAAGTCCCATATCTACACATGCTCTGCTCAAGTATGCCGCTAAGGACTAGTCAAAACTTACATTTGCATATTAGTCCATATCCGCATCATATGCGACATGTAGAAACACTGCCCGGGCAGCGAGCCAGTTCCGCGGCTTGGGGTCTAATTCTCGACAGCCTCAATTGTGATACAAATAAGTGAGCTCTTAGTCGGATCCGTTTCCCTCTAAAATCTTTGTCTCTATCTTTTTGAGTTACGCACCTTGCCAGCTTGAGCGATCTAGAACTAGATCCACTTTCGACGAAGCCGTCGCTCTCGGTCTTCGACTGATTATCTCATATGAATTGAGGTACGCGTATCTCAACAAACTTTTACTTTGTAAAACTACAAGATCATAATAAAACCCAGACAAATCTTGGCCTGTTACGCGGCTTAATCTTTCTGCTCATTCCTAATTCTGCGTTCTAAAGTACTATCACAGATTACTCATTGCACCGTGGGGTCTCATTGCAGGTAGGGTGTCCATCTTACCACTGATGTCCAGGTCAAGGACTGGCAAGATCTCTACAATTCCCATAGAGCTCTATGTATCTCGGCAAAGTCCAAATCGGGCTGTGACTTCTTTGTTAAGGAATCCCTGCCGGGCTCAAGAACGCGACTCATGCTAACCTCTCGTAACCTGTTGCGAAGAGGCCGTTTTCGAGCGAACATAAAGGCTCGGGCTGTGGAACTGCAATTAAGCTTTTCGAGCCTCGGCACACACAACCGGCTAAAACAGTGGCATCCTTACTTGCGAGGGATCCCAGTCATGCAGTGATTGCACTTTCTCTACGTGACATGGAGCTGGCTTCACGTGTCTCGTCTCATTGAGCAAGTTTGACGATTTTGCTCCAATGTCAGTTAACAACACTTGACCTTATTTGGTAGCAGTACGTGTTGAAAGAAACATGGAACAAAGCATCCAATCCTGAAAACGTAAAAAAAGCTTAATGTGAATACAGCCTGAACTTCTGCCCATGTCCTTGGGACGTTACGTTGACACCGACTCCCACCAACCAAAACAGCCACGTGTAAGTGCGGAACAACGAAACTCTGTGTCAACATGCGCAGTTGAACCGAGTTTATTTGGCTCAAGTAAAGCTCACTATTTATTTCTCGATCTTGCGAAAATCTTGCTGCTTCATACCGCCTGGGGTTGATGCCAGGTATTCTTGTCACACAACACCAGACTGACACGACTCTTTACCACTAATTTAGGTCTAGTTACCCAAAGCCTCATCCCTTTTCCGAGCGAGTATCATGTGAACCTGCCATTTGAGTTCCAACGGTCCGTTTCCAATCTCCTCTGTAATCTCTTGCCATTTGGGCGACTTCCATGAAGCTTCAGTGAAACCAAAACGCATAGACTCGAGCGATTGCTTCAGCCACTCAACCGAGGCTGAGATCCTCCAGTCCTCGCTATCATCTATGGCAACACGCTCAGATACACCCAGATGACCCACCGGATCTTCTGTCCCATCGAGGGGCTGGTAGTCTTTGGCATACCATCCATCCCCACAGTTGATCTCAATGCGCTTGACATCCTTCCAAACTTCGTCTCTAAGCGGCACAGAGTCCATGCCGTGAAACATTTGGCGAGCAGCTCGCTTCCAATTCTCGGTCATCCACTCTTGCTTCAAGAGGTGGGCGGCATGCTCGCCAATGAAAGCCTTGAATGCTGTGTTTGCACTCGTGTTGTTGGTGATTCCCGGAAAAGGGCCGTAAATGACGGCCGCAAAGGTTCCGTTTCCCCGCAGACTCTTTGCGACGTTGTCAAGCGTGGGTTCCAGGATAGTCCAGTGCAGTGACTCGCAAGCCATTACGAAGTCGATGCGGTCTCCATGCACCACGGGCTCCCAGGGGTCTTCCCCGCGACAGTTCCGGTATGAGAACTCGGTCCCAGTGAACCGGTCTCTGAAGCGTGCGCGGCAGTCTTCGATGTTCTTGGCTTGCGGTTCAGTCAGGACGACATGCTTGGGAGGCGAGGGTGCGTGCATCAATAGGCCTTCAGCGGCGTTGCCGCTGCCGGAGCCGATATCGTGAATGGCATCCAGAGGGCCTTCATGGTAGTTTGTCCAGAGTTTCCACATAGACCTTGGATAGGGAGGCCGGTGATCGACGTAGTGTTTTGCCTCCTTGGCGATGGCCACATTGAGTTGATGGCCGGTATCTAGCTGAGGGGCAGTGAGGGGGGGACTCATTTTCGACAGGGTTCAAACGGGCGCTGTTCTGTTTCTCTGTTGATGGGTCTCCTTATAATGGCCACCCGGGAATGATACGATATGAAGGCCAAATGGTCGATCCGCGTACAATTCTGGGCCCACCGCTTTTTCTTATCCTTGACAATGGCGGTTGGCCTTGTAGTGCTGATATCCGGACTTGAACGTGGTACCGAGAGAATCCCATCGGACTGGCTGGGCAGAAAGGGAGCAATTCTTAGGTTTGCATGGTCTGTGTTTCTTTCCGTAACCGACGGGTTGCGACGGTACCTCGCAGAGCTAAACACTTTCTGGTCCGAGTCGGATGGAGATGATGGGGTGCAGGCGACTGACTCAATCCACGGTTGCATTGCTTAAACTTTGACGTTTCTGATAATTAGGTGGTAGTAGATAGGCGCGTCTATCGAGTCTTTCAAAGCTTCTTGGCTCTTGAACGAACAGCCACGCACTACTTGAAATAAGTTTTGACAACACTGGAATTAGTGGAAGTTAGTCTCTGATCATGTTTCCAACCCCTGCCTTACCATCGGCGCTGCCTGCAAGATTGACAGATGGTTCATAGAAAAATACCAAATTTCTAGCGGAAGCGTGATTAGGTTCCGTTGGCCTTGAAGTTCTTGGAAGCTGGCTGAAGAGGCTGTAATAGCCTCCGCCTCAAAACAATGCTCATCTACTTGTAGACATGTACCTCAGCTTGCAAGGTGTGAGCGGGTACTCGCGAAGTAAGTGGACTCGGGGCACGCGGATCAAGATGCCCCGGGCACGATTTCACACCATCTTTAATGGAGCTTCATGTACTAGCTGCAAGAGGGGCCAAGCCCATCATTCTGGTTTGATTACCCTTGCCATCTCTCCCAAGACGGGGCGAGTCATCCACAAAGCCTAAGCCCGTCTGATGTGATGAACACATCCCACCCAGAGCGAATGGTGCAACATTGCCTGTGGGTTACGCGGCGAGGGGAAAGGAAAGTCAAACAAAGTAGTTGCATTAACAACTCTGATTGGCTGATTCCTCATAATAAGCAAGCATCCCATGCCGTTGTCTATTCCCTTTGTCATATTGTGGGACTTTGATAGAGCTGGTTCCTTGACGAAACAGTCTTATTCTTTAGGATCTGCTGTCAAGCTAGAGAATCTTGGGAAGTCCGGATCTTTCAACTTGGGATGCGCTGGGCCACAGTCATTTCTAACAGAGCTTCAGACCAGGGAACTGTAACATTCTTGACTGGTGTATTCCGCGAGCTACCTATTAGGGAAACCTTGCTCAGTTAGCTAAAACTCTGTGTAAGTGTTTGGATTCGTCCGTTGGTGATATCGCAGCACTACTTACTTAGACCAAGCTTATCTTGCATTCAGCTCGCCATTTTCTTTTCAGCAAGTGCCGACGCTTTTCTCAACTTGGAACACTGCCGTCCGGTGTTGTTTCTAGAATACTTCGAAGCTTGAGAGCACATTTCTCGCGCGAAACCTAGCTCAAGCTATCAACATGCGTCGAATCACACGTCGGAGAGGAGCTTGTCAGGCTTGCAGGTCCAGGAAAGTCCGCTGTGAGTATCCAGACTGGTCAGCATGTTGAACTCGTCATGACAGTTTCAGGCGACGGGGCCGACCCGTGCCTCAATTGTGAGGTAAGAATAGATTCCCCAGAATATCCAACTCAGGTCTATGCTAATGAATACTTTATTAGCGAAACGGGCAAGCTTGTTACTATCCGCCATTGGATCCTCGGCCAAGAAGAACAAGCGCACCGGGAGCGACCAACCGAACTGCCCCCAATAACCGAAGACTGGGAATCAACACCGACCAGAACTGCCCCGTATACGATGCTTGGCAACAAATGCCCTGTGATACAACCCTTCTGACACCGAACTCAACAGAGGGAACCACGACCAATGGCGGTAAGGTTGATGGTGAAGAGTTTAGCTGTATGCTCCAGCTATCGCTCTCGGAGGCTTACCCGGACTTGGGGCATGATGGGCCGTTGAACCTACTCGATCTACCATTGCCGGGTGAAAACGAGCTTATGGAGCTACTGGATACGACGCCATCTGATTGCAATTCCGGTGGTGGATTCAACTTTGACTTTACGACTTCGAACACAGAGCAGTTTCCGCAGTCGCCAACCGCTGGTCTATCGTTGCCGAATGATAGCCAGCCTCGCACCAGGCCGGAAACGACAAGCCCTCCAGACTATAATACGGTAGGTGAGATTGGACACGTTTACTACAAGAACGTTAATGACTCGGAAACCACGCAGTTGTTCAACTTTGACGAAGCAACGGATATTCCGCCACCTGCTTTCGACCCGAATGAGAAATCACCGATTTCGAATAATGGTACAGTCCATGTCGACTTTTCTGCCGCTAATGTCTATGGCCTCCCTGAGTTCATCTCTCAGGGAGTTAGAGATAGCCCAAGACATGAGACGATCAAGATTGTGAACGGTCTACGGAGGGTTCTGTGCGAGAGTGCAGTGGCGTCGGGCGAAGATGGACCACTTGACAAGACGAGAAAATTTCCTGAAACCGACAGTGCTCTTTCACGATACTGTGATGGTAAGTATTGTTCCATTATTGACCCAGCCAAGTGGAGGTAGCTGACATTCTCCACTCAGCATGCTTTGAAGATTGCTGCCCGTAAGTGGTTAATATGACGCGGGGAAGACGAGCAGAATCGCACGAAACTGACATCATCTTCACACGAATAGGATTGGCGACTTTATGACGAAATCTGCAGTCGAGAATATCATCAAGCAGTCCAGAGAACCTGAGCCCGACAGATTAATTTTAGTCTTCGCTGAAGCCATCGTAGCCGTGGGCTTTCACACAGCTTGCCTACGAAATCGGCAAACCCGAAGCATTAGAGAGTGCTACGAAGCACAGAAGCGCCTTACATCAGCCTTGCGGCGGTACAAAGACATCCAAAACAGCCCGAGCACGTTACTGAAATTTCAGGTCACTCTGGTCATGGTAATTATGATCCAAATCCCAGCATATTCATCATAAATATGGCTGTAGACCCTAACTTGAAGAGCAGGCAGTGATTGCATACGTAAGCGAAGAGTCCTCGATTTGGGAGAAAATCACTGCGGCAGTGTGTTGTGCGCGTGATCTTCGTCTCGTGCACGCGGCAAAAGGTCAGCAAACCAGCATGAGCGATCAAGATCAGGAGCTGGCTCAACGGGGAGTTTGGTTTCTCTACAGCCTCGAGACAGACTACGCTATCCATCATGGGATGCTCCCAGTGAGTCCAACAATTGGTTCATTCGGTCAAGGCAACTGACGGCTCGCTAGATACTAGATCTGGGTTGGGGGGTCCAGTTTCCGTCGTTCGACAAAGGAGACGACATGATTGCCGTGTCATACACCTTCTCCGAGCTTCTACACTCGGTACTCAAATTTCAGTATAGTCCGAGAGCTCTGAACAAGTCTGCATCGGCATATGATCGTCGCGATCGACTGCAGGCCAGCTGCCATGTTCTCAATGAATGGCTTAGTGGCCTGCCAACACCTCTCAATGAGGCGAACGATGCCGGGGTTCTCCAAAGTGTAAAAGACGACCGGCAGCTACGGAAGGCATTCCGTGTCTTCTGCATGTATCATCGGGCTGTGTTTTTCATCCATTGCCCGTGGATAACACCCATCGCCACAGATGACGCAGATGTGTCCGGTGTTGCCGAGCAGACCAGGGAGAGGTGTGTTGAGCGCTGTGTCGAGTCGGCATTTGCAGTTGTCAAGCTCGCAAATAGTGGACTGTTTTGGGAAAAGGGACTTGAAAGGTACGTTGTGCGACCGTGAATTGAGACTAAGTTGTTGACGTTGCATGTGTGAAGGGATATAGGATCGTCAAGCATGAAATGGGGCAATATGGGACAACTTCTTCTAGTATCACTTTGCTTCATCGTTTACTACCTCATTAACGGAGAGAAGGCGAATCGCAAGACAGCAATGCCTTACCTGGCCATTTGTGGAGGCTTGTTTGGAAGATTGAGCCTGGATAGTGATGAGGGTTCTTTGATGGATCATTACCTAGAGCTCATTCAAGTAGTGCGGGCAAGTTGACATATTTCGAAGGACTCATAGCGAGAGCGAGGACGACATGAGACCCATGACGTCTTTCAGAATAGCGCCTTAGTCGAAAATGACAAATCTACAGGCTTCATATTCAAGTGTAAAGTAAGGTTCAGGAGCGGCCCGCTCAGCTAGCCGATTGGTAAGCTGTGGGCTGTCAAGACAATCTTGGCTCTTGGCAAGAACTAGATACCCAGCAGTAGGGGAGGGAACATCGGCAGGGCCTAGCGGCAAATAAGTGTCCTGGGCGGTTGTATCTTACCCGCTTGGGAATGGCATTTGCCTGAATACGGAGAATATGATCACGAATTGATGCCGGCGGGCGGAAATCAAACAAACTTCATTCATCGCTATGTTCTGCAACATGAGTTGATTCAGACTTTCAACTTACCAAAGTATGATTGCCGTCGCTGTGGAGCCAGCGGGTTAGGTAACCCTTGTAACTCCTCATCGAAGTTCCATTCTAACTAGAGCTGTTCGGACCAATGTGGATACTGAAGTAGATATCAGGGATAGATGATATGGATGGCAGGGTCTCTATCTTAGAAGTTCACCTCCTCCTTCCTCCGCCTGACAAGGACCTTGGTGGTGGGGTTTGCAAGCATAGAAAACCCAAACTCTAGAGGACTGGTATTCGTGTTTCCCGCCAGCTTGATATCGTACTTGAGCAATAGGTGGCACATGACCAGCTTCACAGTATTGGCGCCGAAGAAGCGGCCAGGACAGGCGTGAATACCGAGGCCGAAACCTAGATGTTCAGGCGAAGTGCTGACTAGCTGGGATGTCTTTTCCCCTTGCTCAGAAGCTTCCCGCAGTCGCAAAAAACGGTATCCATCATAGGTTCGCGGGTTCTTATAGATCTCCGGGTCCCACATTTTTTCCGCATTAACAGCGATGCCAGAATCTTGGGGAAGAACTGTGCCATCCTTGAGGCGGACTTCTTCCATGACTCTGCGGCCTAGACCCACTGCAAAGCACGTTAGTTGAGCCTGCCAAAAGTGGCAAAAAGTGCCCGAGTGATGTGCATTAGAATCGTTGATAAAAGAATGGAACAAACGCACCAGCTGCAACGGGCTTAAGACGCAGAGTTTCCTTGAGAACACTGTCGAGGAGCTTCGTGTTGTAAAGACTCGTAGGTTTCCATTGCCCGTCCCCGAGAACAGACCGGATTTCGTTCCTGAGTGGCTCAAACATCTCTGGGTTCTTGCAAAGATCCATGATGCTCTGAGACATGAGATCGTTACTTGTCAGAATGGCAGAGATGCTAAGGGCCAGCTGCTGATCGGCAGGATCATACTGAACGCCCATTCTTTTCGCTGCCGTCTCGTACCAGTCCAGAGCGTCATGATACTCAAGGTTTGGATCTGCTGCCTTCTGGACACGGCGCTTTTCTAGAATAGGCGCGATGATTTGCCGTGCTTCAATTAGCATCATGCGAACTTCACGACATTCTGGAAGAAACCAATGAATAGTGCGATAGAGAAACACTGGCCAACGCCTCAAGACTTTGGCAGCATTTGTTGCTTTGTTGGTGTAATTCACTGTGATTTTCAGCCAGTCGGGGTTTCGGCACAGCTCTGGGCCAAGAAAAATGACGGAAGACACCCGAGCAACAATTCGAATGATTACGTCGCCAAGAAGAACCTCATGCCAATCTGAAGAGAGGGCAGGGGCTGTCAGAATTCGATGCTGTCGTGCAGGGCTCGTGTTGATGACTGACCTTCGTTATCGGTCAAGATATCACTAAGAGCAGCGTTTGCCTCATCAGACAATGGTTTGTTCAGCTTGGCTAGGATCATGTCTAGGTCAGTAAAAGAAAAATGACTATCGCTGAATCCCCAATACGACATACCGATACCAGCAGGCGTGAGATTCCATTTGATGACATTGTGTAGTATCTCAGTTCCAAGAGCAATGTAAGGCTCGAACCCAGGAATGCCAGCTTGCCAGTACTACAAGAACAGCGCAAAAGTCAATAACCGAGCTCTAATAACAAACTTCATTTAGAGCTTGCCATACCTGGAGTAGAAACTTCGTTGAGTCAAAACGGGCATCATTTCGAACCTCTGGCATGACGCTGTGGTCGAGAATAATGACACCACCGCCAAGACCGGTATTGACTCTGAAAGGCTTCCCACCAAATTCTTTCAAACCCCGGGCCAACATCGCCCTTCCGCTCATAAGATACTCGTTTTTCGAGGCATTGATCACCGGGAATGCAGACAACTTATTCTTACGCAGTGAAACGGTCATCACTGAGGCTACCAATATGATAGCCATTAGAAAGGGCACATAGCCGCTGGTCTCCATCGAGCTTGGGAGCCCGAAGTTGGCTAAGTCGACCCATGATGGCCGGGGAGGACTAAGCGTGGTTTGTGTGTTGGTGTTGAGGTAACTGGACATTGTGGATTGATTGATTGAAGAGCCACTTTCTCACTGTGAAGCTCTAAGAGGCATACGTGGGTGATTGGTTTCAGACTTTGTTAAACTAGCGTGTGCTCTACGCGGGTGGGACGACGAGGACCTAACGATCCCTTCAGCATTCAGCTCACCACATACTTCCACTCATGGCGATTCGCATCTTGGGAACCCAACACGCTACCTTTCGTGTTCGGCTCCGAGCTGCCGGCGCCTTGCCGTCCTTCCGTTTCCCACCGGATCGAGAGGTAAAGTTGACTGGGGTAGTTCGGTCCGAGTGGGCGGAGCCGGGGGTAGCGCGAGGGAGTTCGCGAGTCAACGCACGGTGCTGACAGCCCAGGGATAGCGTCGCGCCGATGTCCCGTTTATGGTTTCATAAAGCAGTTTCCGAAACCTTATGCCACTTGATGCCACCAACCCCTTTGTTCCAGACTTTCCGGGGTTGTGTCCATCTGCCTCTTCGGAGCAGGAAGAACAAGGAACCCTTTGAGTTACGGTAAGCAACTCTGTGGGAAAAGACTTCTGGCTAGACGCTGCGAGGCAGGTGAAATGTTTCTACGAACCACAATCTGCTACTCTCACTCAGGCTTCGCAAGATGGACAAAGGCCTGAGTCGCTCATTCTTGGACCGGCACAGGCCGTCGATGCTGGTGCTGGCATCCCAACTCTCTGCCGCGGCACTAAACGGCTTTGCCAAGTTTTTCGAGACGGGCGAAGACCCAGTACATCCATTCCAAGTTCTATTCGTTCGGTTCCTTATCACGGGTACGGCATGCACCATCTACCTCTGGTTCACGAAAGCTCCAAATTTCCCGTTCGGATCACCAGAATTGAGATGGCTACTAGCTCTGAGGGCAGCGGCCGGTGTTTTTGGAGCCTTTGGTTTCTATTGTAAGATGGATTCTGGCGTCGTAACATGAGTTTTTGGTGAAGTGACCTTTTTTAACACGTCATCTGCTAGTTTCTATCATGTACCTCAAGCTTAGTGAAGCAACGGCCTTGAATTTCCTTGGGCCGCTCACTGCTATGATCTTGATTCGATACCTGGACTATGGAACCTTCGAGGTTATTGATCGGATCGGGGCCTTTGTCGCGCTCGTTGGTGTGATCCTCGTCGTCCAGCCAGACGCGCTATTTGGCTCTAAGCCAACACTTGCAACCGCTGCTCAGTCAATTACCGATGGGACCTCAAAAGGCAGAATGATGGGTTTTGGGTTTGGATTGATTAGTGTGTGTGGTGGAGCAGTAAGTCAACGATGAGTCACTGGTGAGAACCTTTACTGAATATCTCTATAGGTGGCGCTTACGGCGATTCGCTCCATCGGTACACGCGAGCACCCTTTGATGAGTATCATGTACTTTGCTTGGACGATTGTCATTGTTTCTACTGTGGCATTCCTTCTCATGGACAGCGTTCATCTCACAACAACAGCCCTGTCGTGGATAAAGCTGATACCCCTTGGCATCTTCGGCTTTGTAATGGTTAGTATTCGTCCTGTCAAGTATACTGTTCCACGTCCTCGACTAACACCACATGCCCTTGTAGGAACTTCTTCTCACTGCAGGTATAGCCAACGATGTCTCATCAGCTGCTACGATCATGATTTATTCTCAGGTCGGATGGGCGTTGCTACTGGATTGGATTGTATTCCATTCTCAAGTTAACCTGTTGACGTTGATTGGCATAGGTGGTGTTGTAACTAGCTTGATCGTTGTTTCCTCAGCCAAGGAGTGGAAATGGCTACGCAAAGGTCGATATGAAGTGGTGGAACAGGATTTCCTCAATGAAAGAGAGCCGGATGAAGAGATAGTAGAGATGAGACCAAACAGCTCCGTAGCATGATGCATACCTGGAGACTTCAAGAATAGCGATTTAAATGGATTCAAAACATTCTTTCTCAAGATGCGGGCTCACCTTGGTGCAAGTCGACTCGCAACTCGTGTGAGATACTGAGCTCTTCACAAACGTGAAGGTGACAGCTTCCGCTCTTGATGAGATTCGGGCTGCGACATGATAGAAAGCTTCAGTAAAGTGGAGAGATTGTACTTTCACAGCCATTGCAGATTTCTAATTGAAAACAAGAAAAACATTATCTGAAGTTTCTTATGACCTGTGCCACTAGTCTGATGAAAATAGCAACGTTGCTACCCTTGAGAATTGCACCGTTACACAGAGCTCTGATGACAATTTTAGCTAATTACACGGATAAAATGACTTCTTCGATGATCTTCTCAGCGAGATGCATTAGAGAAGTACACTGGGTGACTTCCATAGAAGTTAAACCAATGTGGAATTGTTGATGAATCCAGTCCACCAACTCAATCGAAATGATGGAGTCCAGACCAATCGAGGTCAAATTCTCAGTAAGGGGAAAATCCTCAATTGGCCTCAGCATAAGATGACTGAGAGTGGCACTGATGAAGCGAGCGAGGCTGGCGGCTGTCGCGCTGTCTCGGAGAGTAGCGGGATCCGATCTGGCGAGCGAGATGAATGTTTCGGCCTCATCATTCTCCTTGGTCTCTCCAGAGCTTGCGGCGTTCGCTTTATGGAAATAGTGAGACTGAGCGAAACG